TTCATGTGCTTTGGAAGACTGCCGTACCGGAACGCCGATGGTATCGACGAAGACAGCGAAGATCTTGATGAGCTGAGAGCCGAGATCTCGACGTGGACCGGCATAGACGACGAGCAGCGCGTGCGTTCCGACTTGCCCGAGAAGTTGTACAGATCACTCAAACGGCTCCTTGCCCTCGACCCTGACAACCGCCCTGGCGCCGAAGAGATTTTGCAAGTACTCAAGTCGCCGCTGGTGTTCGACGAGTACGCTACATATGCCAACTCACCCGCAGCCGACGAGTTCAGCCCTCGCATATCCCGTGCAGATACACCCAGCCCGGCTCCGACGCAAGCGAGCAAAAAGCGCACCTCGGTCAACTATGCCCGTCCTGGGCGATCGAACCTCAGCGCCACGGTCATGGACCGGTCACCCAGCCCACCAGATACACCAGCGATGCGGAGAGAATCGTCTGGGGATGGAGCGGTCATTCTCAGAAGGAAGGTAGACCTTCGGCCTCCATCATCGTCAGCCGAAAGAACTCAGTCGCCGCAGCGGCTCATGTTGCCCCCTCCACCACCAACTGACATTGTGTCAAGATTGTATCGAGCATCCGGGCATCCTGTGGCGCTTGGACTCACAAAAGTGGCTTTGTTTTGTGCAAAGGCGTTTAGTCTCCTTTCACCCTGTCAGCCGTTTGCGGCCGATGCTCGCGTTCTGTACCCGCTGCTCTGTCTAGCATCGATTGATTTCTTACACGTGAGCTGGGTTGGACGGCTCATGGGCAGAGAGTTCAGTCTGGGTGGACTAGGCGCGTCACTGGTGCTTTTACTGGTGCACGTGATTGTGCTGGGAACGACATTGAGATTAGATAAACTTTGTGAAAGGAGAGGGATGGTCTGGGACGCCCTCTGAGGACATGCAGCGGGGGTGCGGACTTGTGCAAGGCGTAAGCGGTGGGATTGATTCCAATATGACTATGTATCACTGTATTATAGCGACGAGAAAAAAAATCAAGCGACTTCGCTCTGCGCGTTCTGTCTTCTCGCAGCACCATCACGTGCCAGCGCGACGCTGATGACGATGTTGCACGCCTTCTTTGGGAGAGGGGCTGGAGGGCCAATCAAGGCCGACTGGGCGTGGGTGGGGCTCGGATGCGTTAGCGTTGTTTTGGTAAACACGCCCTCCCGCTTCATTCATATGCGACACTGCATTGCACCTTCCAACATCAACACGCGCCCCCGAGCCATCTTATTCCCTTGGGCTGGCATTTTTTTGGACACGACAGCGTGTGGCTTCACTAGTCTTTACGAAGCATCTCTTCTTGTCCCTATATACGTGTTTTACGACGCGCCTTGATCATCCGCAACATCAACGCTGCCATCGCAGCTTCACACATTGGACATGCAATCTTCTCCTCCCACCAGCGACGGGAAAGCACGCGCAATCCGCGAACTTTCTCGCAGCCTAAGTCACAGCCCAAGAAACATCGAGTCACCATCACCATTGCCAACAGACTCGAATCCCACCCAGCGATCGGGATTCGGCGTCACTGACACATCCCAATTTTGGGACAACCCGGACATTGTCCACTCGACACAGCACAACATTGTAGACGACACAAACACGCTTCCCAAATTCCCCCGCATTCGCTCCACCGCGAAAAAGCAGAGTGCTTGGGCACCCTTCCGCTCCGAGCAAATCCAGCCCGACACATCCATGGTAAACAAGGAGTTCCTCGACTTCGACCAATCCATTTCCGACGAGGAAAGCATGGCTGTGGAGCAAGCACGTGGCGGTAACCGCAGCAACCGTGGCACTCCTAGCAAGATTAGCTCGCCGTTCAACAGCCTCTACGATATGACACCCCTTACAAACAGGTCGCGTAGATCACACATGGCAGACACAAGCAGCCTTCGACGCGACGCGGCAATCCGACGCGCCTCCCGTAACGACCTCGACACGATATCACCTCGCCCTTCGAGCAAGCGCAACTCACCAGCCCTGGCTAAAGAGGACCGCAAGCGCAATTCTCTTTCACAGCTGCACGCCAAGCTGTCTGAGGATGAGTCGTCGTTTATGGACCAGCGACCCCCGACACTCACAATTGATTCCACTAAGAATTCGCGTTGGGGCAACCGCAGCCGCCAAGCATCACTTCAGATTGACGGCAATGTCGATACCCTGCAGAGTAAAGGAACCCCTCGCTCGAGGCAAAACACCACACAAAACGCGACTGGCCAGTCGTTTATCCTTCCAGATCTTCCCAACCTCACCGAGCTGGTCTCTGGTGTCTTTGATGATGGTACCCCAGTTTTCTCCAAGACAACGACTTCACGATCACGCTTTTCTGCCCCACCAAACGGTGGCCGCCGGCCCTCATACTTTCCCGTCGAGGGTGTTCCGATTCCCGACGAAGAAAAGGCTATCTTTTCCGCGCTTCAACAGCTGCAGGAGAAACTTGCAGAGATGGAGCACGAGCGTGCAGAACAAGAGAAGAAGATTGAAGAGCAGGATCTCGAGTTAATCGAGCTGCGAGCCACAGCACAGGCCCAGGAGAAGCTACGTCGAAGCGACAGTGCGCAGGATTCCGACGCTGGAAAAAATAGCTGGAAGATTGAGAAGACGCGTAAGTGACGCGAAGTCTGGAGATTGACATCAACACTGACTGTTTTTAGGACTCGACGCTACAGTACAAACACTCCGAACCAGGATCGATCGTGCCGACCGAAAAGTTGCTGTTCTGGAAATCGAGAAGAAGCGTTTGAACACTGAGAAGGAGAGCATGGCAAACCAGCTCGGTGTTGCTTTCCAGACATGTGAAGAGCTCAAGAACGAAAAGAGTGCCGTGAGCAATGAGAATGAGGAGCTTCGCCAGGAAGTTGAGACACTCCGTTCAGAGAATGAGGCCCTGCGTGATCAGCTCGATCACGACGAATCTCAGCACCGAGAAGAAACGACCCAGCTTCGACGACAGTTCGACCAGGCCGCGAATGCAACTGAAAGGGAAAACGCCAACCTACATGCTGAATTGGCTCGTGTACGCGCACAGCAAGACGAGAATACTCAGCAACTTAGCCGCAGAGATACAGAATTGCGACGAGTACGCCAGGAGCAGGCTGAGTTTACTCGTCTGAAGTCAGAACACGATTCTCTCAGGTCTCAACTCGCAGAAATCAAGGCCAAACGGGAAGAGGACGCTCAGCGCTGGGCTCGCTTGGAGTCTTCTCTGCGTAGCAAGGTTGATCGACGTGATGAGACCATCCGACAGTTCCAAGATACTACTCAGGAGCAGACAACTGAGGCTATGCGCTTGGACAACGAGAATCTCCGTATCGAACTTCAGGAGCTCCAGGCACAGCAAGACGAGGAATATGAGCAATGGGCAAGGAGAGAGGCAGAGCTGCAGCGAAAGATCCAGTCGCGTGAAAGGGCTATTCGGAGGACTCAAGAGCAAAACGATGGGCCCCAAGAGCAATTGCAACGGAGACCCAGTTATCGCCGAGAAGACACGCGCACGCGCATTAAGAACCGTGTTCAGCAGGAAGTTCGCAACAGCAGGCTTGCAAACGAATCCCAGCAAGAAAGCCCACGAAAGTCGTTCACTGCTCATTCAAGGTTCTCAACTCGAAGTTTCTCTGCACCCGTTGTTACCGACAAGCATTCACGTGTAGAAAGCGAGGTCGAGTCAACTACTGACTTGTCTCTTGCGCCTCGTTCAGCCCTTCGTATCTCACGCAACACCCACTCTGCCAGGCAGACCTCAACTATCCAGCCTCCTGCAGATTTGGATCTCACCGAATTGAGCTACATTGATAAGGATCAAATTGCTCAGCTTCGACGTCGCCTAGAGGAAGATCGAATTGCTAAGCGTGAATCTGCTTTGGCAGATGAGGTGACTCGCGAGGACACTGTCCGCTCTCAGCGCCAGACTCGTGAAGATACCGTCCGGTCAGTCGCCTCAGCTAAGAGCGAACGTCGCCCTTCTCTCGTCCGCAAGTCTTCACTCAAGGATACCACACAACGCACCAACAACACGCAGTTTGAGGAAGATACGGGCAATTTTTCCAACTTCGATGCGGATGGTGATGCTACACAGACGAAGCAGTCTGCTTTCGACGCTTCAATGGTTAGCAACACGAGCCGAAGGCGCCGCAGTGCTCCCACTGAGATGACATCGGCTTTCATTGTTCCAGACATTAAGCTCAGTACATCAAAGCAAGCTACGACCACTATCAACATGCAACGGACACTTCCCAAGGAGCACGACAACGCCAACTGCACTTACTGCCGCCGCGAAGGATACACCACCGCCACCGATGCTCTCCACGTGCCTAAGCTTGTTCCAGCGTCTGTACGCACTGCGGATGATGTGGACGCTACTCTCCGTCCCGCACAGTCGCCAAAGGAAGCCCTTGCGCTTGTAGTAAAGGGAATGAACGATGAGCGCATTCACTTGCACGCTGAATTAGCTGTCCAGCGCGCCCTGTTGGAACAACACGACCCCAGTCTCGGACAGCGTAAGCGTATTGCAATCAATGAAGCGATCCAGGATCTTCTCCGCCAGATTGACCATCTAGACAAGCAAATCTACCGCCTCCATGATGTACTCGAGGGCCAACGGGCCGATGATCTGACTGAACAAGACGTTGAAGAGCTCACTGGCCAAATCCGCGTCGAGGAAGAGAAGACTGGTCAAAACGAGAAGAAGGCCAAAAAGGTTACCATCCGCAGCTTCGTCGACGAAGACGAGAGCGTCGAGATTGGTCGAGGTCGCGCAAGCAAGGACAGCGGCGCTCACGATGAGGAAGAAGATGACGATGAGACGCACGAACTTCCTTGGGAAGGGTTTGGAGATGACTCAGGCCCTGAGGGTGATGCTAGTTTCTCGGCCATGGCATTTACCTAGGTTGGCTGATTGTATCGACTAACTTGCCTTGACTCCTTTTTTTTCTTTCTTTACTTCCTTCCGTTGAAGGGTGGATCGGATATTGTTTGAATAGGAATAGGATTCAATAGGGCGTCATTTGTGTTGTGGGTCTACACACAGAATCCGGATTAACTCGGCCTTGGGGGTTTTTTGCATTTCAAATGGGTATGGGGTTTTATTGGCGTTTTTTTTCCTTGCTTTCTTTACATCCTTTGCTCCATTTCTTGTTGAGTCAGGATTTGTTCCTCTCCTTTTATCCTTCCGAGGGGATTCTTCTCTTGTTGTTGGCTTGCTCGGGCTTGTTCTCTTTTCCCTTCCACCCTTTTCTCTCTCTTTGATCTCTCTGTAGCTTTTCTGCCTTCTTCTTGCTCACAGACTGGCCTTTTGTAGGCGCCTCGACTCACTTTTTTATCTTCTGCTACTCCTGCTTTTTGCGGTTGTTTCAGTGGCGGGGATGGGAAAAGTTTGAGTTGGTGGCCTCGGCGCTTGAGAGTTTGAAGGGAGATGGGGAAAACCTTGAGATTTTGGAAGAGGGGAGGGAGGTGGTGGGGAAGGGAGGTGGTGGGGAAGGGAGGAATAAGGAGACTTTGCCAGTGGTAGAAAGGAAGAATTGAAGGAAAATGTATGAACATGTTTTTTTGCTTGAAACGCTGAGATTGTGCCAGTCTGATTTCTATCTCGTGATTGGGGATGTGTGTTTCGAAACTTGACCTTTTTCGACACTACCAACGGTGTTGATCGCTCGTTCTTAGGTGATTTATTAGCTGTGGGCATTATCATGTAAGCTTCTCAGGTAACATTTTATACATATCTCGATGGAGAAAAAAAACAGCGTTGCCATATATGTATATAACTATTTTTTACCTTGTAGCCCTTTGACTTGGTTCATCTTGTGAAACGAGGGTTAAGCGACACAGCGGGTATTTACAGGTGAAGAGCATACTTACACTATTGACTCGGTGTTCTCTCCTTTCAGTATCATCGTCGAAGAAAAGGTCAAGGGTGAGTGCTGTTTGTCAGTGACTACTACCTAGGCGTTGTGCGTAGAGTAAAGTAAAAGGTGTGGGCAAGACACTCGATACTGCAAACCTAGCCATCTGCATCGTTGCACGATATCCCTATCTCGTTATTGATCGTATGAGGAGAGTTATGTAATGTATTGCCACGCTGGCATGCAGAGCCGGTGCAATATCCGTCTTGCATTACGAGCCGTGTCCATAATGCTCTTAATTTTCTGCTGGTTCCCATGACTATGGCTTGCATGGTATACTAAAGTAGCGTTTCTAGTACGTGATGATTAGGGGCTTAGTGTGGATCTAGATACCGGGCTGAAGAAGTTCGAGAAAGGCTAGATATCAGACTGAAATCCACGATGCTCACGGCACATGAATGGCCTTGTGTATCGGAGATGCATACCAGATAAGAAGCCTTGCATGTTACTACATGCCACGTGAGATGCTGTGTTGTTCGTTAGAAAAGCCGAATAACAAGGCCATGAGCATGTCCGATCACATCGATGAACAAATATTTCTAAGATCCCAGTGTATTGTCCTGCTGACACGGCTTTCCTTCCCCTGCTTATCAGCAATACCGGTCAAAGCCGGGGCTTGGGTAAGAAAAGACATTGAAAGATGCGGAGCAACGCAGCCCGAGTGATCGTGCTGTGTGTGAGTCAGGAAGCGAAGGGTAGCCAATCGGGCGGCAGCAGCACAAAAAGGCATGGGGGACGGCGAAGTCGAGGTTCTTCGCTTAGAGGTAGGTGGAGCGAGATGGCGAAGTGGCGATTATCCGCGTTCCGGGGTGTGCAAGATAGGGTTGCTCTCGGGACATCGCAGTATCGACGGGTTGTCGGGCGCATACGCGACGACCCGGCGGATAGTTATCAAAAGAGCTGCTGGTGATATCCGGGTTTTCTTGGCTTGGATGTAGGACACTCAGATCACACGCAGGTCAGTACGCTTCGGAGCGTGCGGCGATTCGTACATGGGCGCCCGGGTGCAGGGCCTCGTGAGCGTGGCTTGGTGTTGCTTTGACATGGCCAAGTAATACTCAGAGGCGAAAATTGGGCGTTGTTTGAGTTGTCTAGCGTATGCGGAGACGGGAGATGATGCAGATGCAGGTATGACTTATTGATAATAATGATAATGTTTACTAACAAGGTTAACTAGCGTATGTGGGGTTGGCTGTGCTGTTGAAGTAGGCATGACTTTGTGCCTACTTACAGTAAACATATCCAGAGCTTGTGACAGGCGATTTGTAACTGTACGTGCAATGCAAATTCAAGTTGTGATATGTGTAGTGGACGTTGTTGTACAGTGGGTTGTAGTAGTGCGCGTATACTGCGATTTGTAGATCTTGAGACATTGAGGCACTGGGGTCTAGTGCAATTGAACAACAGTTATGACATAACAGATGAATCAGATCGATAAAGCTATCGCCCGGTTTGAGAAGTTCAGTCGACTTATTGACCCACACCGATTAACCAAGGAAAGGTCACACGTTGCGTTGATGCATCAGACTTATGGCGAGAAAGACAACCACGCCTGGATGCGACGAATGTGGTCCGAAATATCCCTGTATATCTCTTGCCAAGCATGTTTTTTGACAAAAGAAAAGATGCACGGCTGATCGCATCCAATGCAGCGCATGCTGAGTAGCAGTGCGACCAGAAAGAATTGGCGCCAAGAGTCCGCTGGTGCAAGCTGGAAAGTTAATTTCAAGTTAGGTGAGAGTTTACAGGTCGTTGTACAACCTTCAATACATTGTGTGTCCATGTGGTATTGGTGGGGATTATCTCTTCGATCGCTAGTCGTCAAAGAGCCGCACACGGCTGTGGTTGGTGCGACAGGGTGCTATCGGCAGCTATACGTGAGCAAATAGTCTTGATTTGCCAACACAATAGAAGGTACTTGTTCCGGCTAGGTGGGCGGAAGGGGACAACGATAGCAATGGAAACTGCAGATTGACACTGTATGTGTGGCGCTTCGGCCGTTAGCTGGCGCGGGAATGACCGTGTGCTTGCAGAAGCCCCCAGTGCTCGCGTGCCACTCGTGTGGAGCCAGCTCAGTGCGACGTCCCGAAGACTCGACCGAACTATGGGAACGACGTTTGGAACGGATGGACTTGTAGGAATAGAGCAGACGTCCAGGGGGCAACTGGGGTAGTTGGTGACGAACGAATGGGAGGCTGAGGTTGAAGGTTAGCGTGCCGAGCCCTACCTACCTCACTCCCTTCCAGATCTTCATGGGGATCCTCATGTGTGTGCCCACAATCCAGGCTTCGACCTATTCAGATGGTGCCGGACGAGATCGACTAGCATGATGTTACCCTGCATACGAGGGCTTGCATGCTCACCGTGATGACTTCGACGTCGATGCACGGGGCTACTCCATGCGAGCCAGTCCCAGCGGGAGAGTATGGTCGCGGACGATGGGCACAAATGCAACCACAATGCCACTTGGATCTGATTCGACAGCGGAGATGCTGGTAGGCCCTGACATGTAGTAATATGCACAGGCGACGCCGAACTCACTGGGCCTGGCGATTAAGCGCTCTTTGGACCTTTGGGCATAGACAACAGCATCTTCAACGCAGAGAAAAGCGTCGTGTTGGCTGGAAAAGCACTGCCCCGCATGGAAGAGAGAAGGACGGCCGTTTGGTTTTCTTAGGCGCCTAGATACAGCGGTGTGGTTGCAATAGCTCACGACTCGAACGGTGAGGTTGCCATGGCTGGAAGGCGGCTAGCCCGATTTGGCAGCGTGGATTGCGTCGGATTGCGTGACCAGAACAAGTCACCACCCGCTTATTTCTTTGTAAAGTGCGTCAGGGCTGCGCCTTGCCCACACAATCCGTGCTCCTAACGCTTAGTCTGGGGCCTCGTGTCGCTCTCGCCATCTATAAAGCACCTTCGGTCCTCACTCTGACCCAAACTTGACCTTACTCTATTATACAAATCCTCTTGCTCGCTGGATTATACAACTCGGGGAAAGAGGCCAGCACTTCTATACATACAATTGATACAACACTATGGCCCCCAGTCTCTTGCTAGATCAAGAATCGCCCCCACCTGCCTCTGTTCATCCTGCCAAGCAAACACTCAAAGAGGCCCACGCCCCTGTTGGTGGCGACCTTTCCTTCACTTCTGATTCTACCAGCAACGGCAATGGTATCCATCTTGGAAACGGGACCAATGGCTTCCTAACGGGCAATGGTGTACCGGGTGGTCAGCAAGGCGGCCACGACTTCATTTCCGCTCAAACCCTTCGTCAACAATCCGAGACCTATGCATCTCAGAGTCGCATCCTTGGTGACGGGAAACGTCCAAACATTCTGTACATCATGGCTGACCAGATGGCTGCTCCAATGCTAAAGTTCAATGACCCAGAGTCAGTGATCAAGACACCACGCCTAGACGAACTCGCTCGAACAGGTGTCAACTTTGCGAGCGCTTACTGCAATTCACCTCTATGTGCACCATCCAGGTTTACCATGTGCAGCGGTCAACTCCCCTCAAAAATTGGCGGATACGACAATGCTTCCATTCTGGGCCCAGAGGTCCCCACCTATGCTCACTATCTCCGCCGAGAGGGTTACGAGACTGCGCTGGCTGGGAAGATGCACTTTATCGGTCCTGACCAACTCCATGGATTTGAACACCGACTCACCTCCGACATCTACCCTGGAGACCTGGGCTGGTCCGTAAACTGGGATAAGCCAGAAGAGCGTCAAGAGTGGTACCACAACATGTCGTCAGTCATGCAAGCCGGCCCATGTGTGCGCTCCAACCAACTAGACTACGACGAGGATGTCATGCACAAGGTAAGATTATTCTAGCTTAGCAACGCAATGCAAGACGCAGCAACACCAGATATTCTTGCTAACACAGCCACTCAGGCTCAACAGTACCTCTACGACTATGTCCGATCAGATCCCGAGACTCGCCGGCCGTTTGCTTTGACCATCTCTCTAACCCATCCACACGACCCCTATACCATGATTCGGGAATATTGGGATAGATACGAGGGTGTGGATATTCCTCTACCCAAGGTCGAGATTGCTCAAGCCGACCAAGACACGCATTCGCAGCGACTCCTCAAGACCATTGACCTGTGGGACAACCCAGTACCAGACGAGGCCAAGATCCGCGCCCGACGTGCATATTTTGCCGCCTGCAGCTTCGTTGATGACCAGGTTGGTAAACTCGTCAAGCTTCTGAAAAATTGTAAGCTAGACAAGGACACGATCGTTGTTTTTTCTGGGGACCATGGCGACATGCTTGGTGAGAGGAGCCTGTGGTACAAGATGAGCTGGTATGAGAACAGTTCCAGAGTGCCCATGATCATCAATGGCCCCAACATTGCACCCAAGCAAGTCAAGGAGTCAGTGTCTACGATGGATCTGCTGCCAACATTTGTCGACCTGGCTGGGGCCAAGGTTGATGAACGCCTGCCCCTCGACGGCACCAGTTTATATGAGTATTTAGTGTCTGACAAGCCAGGCAAAGATGAAGTGTTTGGTGAGTACATGGGCGAGGGAACTGTCACTCCAACGTATATGATTCGCCGCCATGAGTGGAAGTTCACCTTTTCTCTCGCGGACGGGCCACAGCTCTACAATCTTGTCGAAGATCCGCAAGAGCTTCACGATCTTGCAAGGTCCACGGAGCCTCACAACCGGAAGGTGCTCGCCAAGTTCGAGGCTGAGGCGCGTGAGAAGTGGGACTTTACCAAGATCCACAACGACGTTCTACTCAGCCAGCGCATGCGTCAGCTTGCTTGCGGTGCGCTGAAGATTGGGCGCAAGGAGTCGTGGGACTACCAGCCCCCATACAACGACCGAGACCGCTTCATCCGGTCCCACATTCCGTTGGATGAGCTGGAGCGGCGTGCTCGGTTCCCTGTAGTGGACTACCTGGGTCGCGAGAAGTCTGCTGCGGCAACCCACCATGGCCTTGCGGGCGCGGCCGGCGAGTGAGGAGACAGATGTTCAGGGATGAGCAGTTTTTCTTCGTTCCATCATTTCTTTTGATAACTCTTTTCGAAAGGGGATTTTTCCCGCTTTTTTTCTTATGATTTGGTTGGGGTCACAGCTTCCCGTTGGTCTTGCAAATTAGCGATAAGGGCGTTATGGTTTTACGGACTTTGACGAGGATGTAAGTATGGCGTGGTATTGGGCATCCAACATGATGAGATTCGGGTTTATGGGGGCATTCATGATGGAGTTTGGCAATATATGATGTATTACTGTAATGTGCATGTACGAGGATGCACATACGCAGGAGCGGTGTGCACAGACAGGTAGTAAGGTTAGAGGCAAATGTAAATCAACCGAAAACAGCGCAAACCTTGCTGGGGAAATGTTGAGTGTCGGTGAGAATTAAATTTGGTTGTCATGCAAGAAGGATGGCGAGGAGGCAGAGGGGAGCGGCGGCGTTAAGATGAAGGTTAAGTGGGTCTGGCGATTGGCCGTCACACGTGAGGTGGCGTTGGGTTGGGGGCAAGACAAGGTGGTGGATAAGCAGCGGAAGGTGCCAGCGACAACTGCCCGACGCTCGCAACCATCTGTGCAACACAACAACGCCAATAGCAAAGGTACACGGTGCACACCAATCTCCCAGACTCCTTCTTGATCCCCGTCCTTTTTGTTTCTGCTAGACATATCCTCTTTCTACAACCAAACTCGGCTTGTCTATCTCCGCCATCATGTCTACTGCAGCCCGCCGCCGCTTGATGCGCGACTTCAAGGTGCGTAGTGATTGCCCCCCCCCCCCTCCGGGAGAGGTACAGGCAACTTACACGACTGCCGACTATGCATAGTAAATTGAGCTGACAAAGTGGGATAGCGCATGCAGACTGATCCTCCGGCCGGTGTATCTGCATCCCCGGTTGCTGATAATGTAATGACCTGGTAGGGCTCTCCGCAAGCATGGAGCACACGACATGATTATGTCAACAATGCCATGCCCTTGGGACACTTTGGACTGACAAGTGTGCAGGAACGCAGTCATAATAGGCCCTGCCGACACGCCCTTTGAAGATGGAACGTTCCGCCTGGTCATGCACTTTGAAGAAGCGTACCCCAACAAGCCGCCAGGCGTCAAGTTTATCAGCCAGATGTTCCATCCCAACGTATACGGAACCGGAGAGCTGTGTCTAGACATTCTGCAGAATCGGTGGTCACCCACGTACGACGTCGCAGCTATCCTGACGAGCATTCAGAGGCAAGTTTACACTGCAGCATCCTCGAAGACATTGGAGTATGGGTACTAACAAGAGACACAGTTTGCTCAATGACCCCAATACGTCGTCGCCGGCCAACGTCGAAGCATCCAATCTGTACAAGGAGAACCGTAAGGAGTACACCAAGCGCGTACGCGAAACTGTAGAGAAGAGCTGGGAAGACTAGGGTAGCAATAGGGACATGAAGTTCACGACATGATATGGCATCGTATGGAGTTATGAGGTACAAGGACGATATCACTTGTGTTAGCCTGGCAGTCTGTGGGCTTTTGCCGGACAGCTGTTCCAGCACGGCGTCTGATCTGATTTTCTGGGTGATTTGGGCAAGTTTGGCTAGGTAGTCGAATATACGAGCACTCCCTTTTGTCTTGTTCTCGATGACGACTGTGTGTTGCAGCTATGGCGGGTCTTTTGGTGGGTTGCTAATGCAGGGCCTGGTGACATAAGCGCCCTGGGCACAGCCAGGCGGCCCAAGGGTGCAGCAAGGCAGGAAGCGAGAGGGAATTGGAAGCCTGTCAGCAGGGACTTGGATACGTTCTTACATATGTATGTGCTATTTAGTTACTACACTCGGCCCAGGCTGTGTGGCCCGAGACGTGTGCTATGACCAGTCGAGAGACAGCGGGACCTGCGTCAGAGCCGTTGGCTGCGGGGAGGAAAGCAGTCCCGCTACGGGAATTGCAGGCCCTTGGCCGCAGCACCACACGTCCACGCCTACGCCCACGCCCGCCCACGCCCGGCCTGCAAGCTCAACAGCGCCCAAAGCAACAATAAACATCAACACCGCCATATCCCGCCACCCACTCACACACGCTCTCTCGCACCCGTGCCTCGAGCGCCGCTAGGCTGGGATCCCTTGCTCCGCCCAGCAGGATCAACTTGTTGCCGTTTCATCGGCTCCCCTTAACCATAGCGGGGGCTGTAATTACCCACCTCTACGCGCCGAGTCACTGCGAGACGTGACGGTGCCACCCGAAAAGTGTACGTCGGCTTTGCACACACACACTCGCCTGCCACAGAGCCCGAGAGGAGTTAATCGAGCGAGGCCGCTGGGCCGCTGTGCCATCGTCCAACAGCAATCATGTCGTGAGTAGCACCTTCACCGACTCGGGCGAGGAGGGGTCACGCATGGCTAACAAATCTACCGCAGGGGCTCCAACAGCATCAAAGGTGCGCCACACTCCCGCCAAACAACGCAACACACTGCCCCGTGGTCTATGTATCGAGTGTGTGCATTTACTGACAGTGGCACGCTGCAGTTGTGGCCCGCTTCCGCCCCCAGAACAAGGTCGAGATAGCGAGCGGTGGAGAGCCCATTGTTGAGTTCAAATCCGAAGACACATGTACAATCCAAGTGCGCCTCCCCTCCCTCCAAATACCTTACTGGCCCTATGCTGCCCTCTCAACAGCACCTTGCTGACTGCCATGTGCACAGTCGAAAGAGGCCGCGGGGGCCTTCACCTTCGACCGCGTCTTCGACATGAAGTCGCGCCAGGAGGATGTCTTCAACTACTCCATCCGCCCCACTGTCGACGATATTCTTAACGGATACAACGGTACCGTCTTTGCCTACGGACAGACGGGAGCAGGAAAGTCCTACACCATGATGGGAAGCGACATGGACGATGAAGTAGGCAAGGGAGTCATCCCGCGTATCGTCCAGCAGATTTTTGCCAACATCCTCGCCTCGCCGAGCAATATTGAATATACCGTCCGCGTCAGCTACATGGAAATCTACATGGAGCGCATCCGAGATTTGCTCGTTCCCCAAAACGACAACCTGCCAGTACACGAGGAAAAGAGTAGAGGTGTGTACGTCAAGGGTCTGCTTGAAGTATATGTCTCGAGCGAAGAGGAGGTTTACGAGGTTCTGAGGAGGGGTGGCTCCGCACGAGCCGTCTCAGCAACGAACATGAACCAGGAGTCGTCACGATCACACTCTATTTTCGTCATCACAGTCAACCAAAAGAATGTCGAGACGGGTTCACTGAAGAGCGGTCAGCTCTTCCTGGTCGATTTGGCAGGTTCCGAAAAGGTTGGCAAGACGGGCGCAAGCGGACAAACGTTGGAAGAAGCCAAGAAGATCAACAAGAGTTTGAGTGCCCTTGGTATGGTCATCAATTGCTTGACCGACAGCAAGACGCAGCACATTCCCTACCGAGACTCTAAACTCACCCGTATTCTTCAGGAATCGCTAGGTGGTAACTCGCGAACGACCTTGATCATCAACTGCTCTCCAAGTAGTTACAATGACGTCGAAACACTGGGCACGCTCCGGTTCGGTATGCGAGCAAAGACAATCAAGAACAAGGCAAAGGTCAATGCTGAGCTGAGTCCGGCTGAGCTCAAGGCGATGCTCAAGAAGGTCCAAGGCCAAGTCACTACGTTTGAAAGCTACATTGGCCAACTAGAGAGCGAAGTGACACAATGGCGTGGAGGAGAGACGGTACCAAAAGAAAAGTGGATACCGCCGCTCGAGACTAGCACAGTTTCTCACAAGAAGTCGTCCTCGTTGGCACGGCCGGCAACGCCATCGAGAGTGGAATCGACAAGAAACGCAGAAACACCACGTCCGGACTCTAGATTGGATCTGGACCGCGCAGGCACACCGAGCATACCGCTGGACAAGGACGAAAAGGACGACTTCCTGCGAAGAGAGAATGAGTTGCAAGACCAGGTTGCCGAGAGGGAGTCGCAGCTCGCAAAGGTTGAGGATCAGCTCAAAACTGTCAAAGACGAGCTGCAGTACTACAAGGACCGCGATGCCAAGACCAACAAGGACAATGAGCGAATCACCATTGAACTCAACGAGATGAAGATGCAAGTTGAGAAGATCCAATTCGAGGGCAAGGAGGCGCAGATCACCATGGATGGACTCAAGGAGGCCAATGCTGAGCTTACTGCTGAGCTGGATGATGTCAAGCAACAGCTCCTAGACGCAAAGATGAACGCTAAGGAGACGTCTGCTGCCATGGACGAGAAGAAGAGGAAGAAGGCCGAAGCCATGGCGCAGATGATGGCTGGCTTCGATCTTGGTGGTGAGGTCTTTAGCGATAACGAGCGTACCATACGCAAGATTATCGAGCAACTCGACCAGCTTCACGAGATGAGCTCAGCAGGCGAGGCAATCGCACCAGATGCCATTCAAGAATTGCGCGAGAAGATTGTCGAAACTCAAGGCATTGTGCGACAAGCAGAGCTTTCCCTAACTGCACGGAGTGAAGAGGACACCGCACACGCTAAGCGCCGCGAAGCACTCGAGGCACGCTGCGACACTCTGCAAGCTCAGTACGAGGAGCTCCTCGAGGGTAATCTCTCTGAGCAAGACAAGGAAGAGGTCAAGGCGTGCCTTGCTGACGCTTACTCGGCTCGCCAAGAGGGCAACCTCGAACTTGTCGAAACCCTCAAGCAGGACACTGCGCGTCTGGTTGAAGAGGCCAAGAAGCTTCGGGCTGAGAACGAGAGTCTCCAGCAGCGCATCAAGAGCGGCGCTATTGCTAACGGCGTTGCCAACGGCATCAACGGCAAGACTGTGCAGCAGCAAATTGCCGAATTTGACAACATGAAGAAGAGTCTCATGCGTGACCTGCAGAACCGTTGCGAACGGGTAAGTGGGTTGATATCTTGGTAGGAAACAGGATGCTAATAACTCGTTAGGTTGTTGAGCTCGAGATTTCGTTAGACGAGACGCGCGAGCAATATAACAATGTGCTCCGTACATCGAACAATCGCGCACAGCAGAAGAAGATGATGTTCCTCGAGCGCAACCTCGAACAGCTTACTGTTGTTCAGCGCCAGCTTGTTGAGCAGAACAGCTCCCTGAAGAAGGAAGTTGCCATTGCAGAGCGTAAACTCATTGCCCGCAACGAGCGGATACAGTCACTTGAGAACCTTCTCCAAGATTCGCAAGAGAAACTCACAGCAGCGAACCATCGGTATGTTGAGCGTAAGCTTTTGCCAAAAGCATGTGCTAACCTCTTACAGCTTCGAAGCCCAACTCACGGCCGTCAAGGAGCGTCTCGAAGCCGCAAAGGCAGGTTCAACGCGCGGTCTCGGCTCGCCCGCCAACGGCGCCTCCTACGCTGGCTTTGGCGGCGTCGGCTCCCGCATCGCCAAGCCCCTTCGTGGCGGCGGTGGTGCCGTTGCGGACGGCCCCGTGCTCCCAGTCATTGGCAACCTCCAGAAGCAGGACGGCGACAACGGTAGCGATTCAAGCAAGGGCAAGAGGACAAGTTGGTTCTTCAACCAGCGATAGACTTCTGCATGTTGCCTTGATTGATGGATGATTATTGACTGCCCAAGGACTTCAAGATATGAGACTTTTTCGTGGTTTGGCCGGGAGGTGTTTTTGGTGTTGCTACTTTTCATTCTTTGGCATGATGATCGGGATGAGATGGAGGTAGGTGAAAGGGGAGTGGGGATGGTAGGAGGAAAGTGGCTCTGATGTGTGTGTCTCTCTCCTCTAGGAACGTTTTTGTCGCTGCATTTTCATATGGGAAATTATGCAAACGGAATGGGAAATGTTATATGTACGACGTTGAATGCGTCATACGCCTAGGCTACATAGTAAAGGGAGGGAAGTGTCATATTTCTGAACTATCGTTTTCTCATCTTATCGTCTTTTATCTCCTATCTCCTCTCAGCATACCTTACATATAGATTTTTATACTAAATCACATCATTACCTCTCTTCCACCTCACATCCCCCTTTTCACCCCAACCTCTCCACACAAGCCCCCACCGCGACATCCGCCGTCGCCCCATCAAAAAAATCATTAACAAAAACTACTACGCCTTCCCTCTCCCGCACCAACTTCCTCCCCACATCCCCCTTCAACAGTGGCAGAATCTTGGCATCGCACACCGGCTTCGTAGCGAGGATGGGACTCGTACTCACGTTATTATCCAGGACTGTCGCTACGATTACATCTCTGATATTCGTAGCCGTGGCTTGGCACTGAAACAAGGTAACTGGCGCGTTAGCATCGGCTGGCGGGCCATCGCACATGGAATGTAAGCGGGCGAGCATGGAATCACCAGTTAGTGTTGCGTTAGCTTCGTCGTCGTAGTTTGAGTATTGGGGGAGATCGGTGAGTATGATCAGGCGTTTTTGCTCGTTGCGGAGGTCGCGAATGGATTTGTGCTGCATGTCGTCTTGAGTGCCTATGGCGAGGTTTTTGTCAGCCAAAAGGGGAGATAGCGTGTCTGTGAGGTCCGAGGCGTTGGGCCGCGGGCAGGCGTCGGGTACGCCGTCCCATCTGTTATGCACGACGATTATCTCGTCCGGGTGGGCAGCCAGGAAGCGGGTGATGTGGTCGAGTAAGACGCGGTACGGCATTCCGGGGATAGCGCCGTGCTGGAAGTACAGCGTGTCGTCTAGGTCGCTGAGAGAGTGGAGCTGGCGGTGGCATTTTGCAGGGCGAAATTCAAAGTATCGAGCGCCGATTTTGAGGATGGCGTCGAGGGTGTCCTTCTGGGTTATGGCGAGGGCGCGGATGATGTCCGGCGCGATGTGGTTGATGGCTCCATCGCTGACTTTGTTGAGGATGGATAGGGCGCGGGGGAGAGAGCGGCCGAGGACTTCGCGGATGAGGCCTGTGCCGGCGTTTTTGATCAGAGACAGGCTGGACGCCATGTTGTTCATCCCGATGTCGTGGGCGGAGGGTAGGACCATTTTGTGGAAGGGGCGGTTGGCGAGATCAGAGTCCTGGGGGATCTTGTCGCACATCCAGTTTTCGTAGTTGGGCGTTACGGTTACGTAGCATTGATGTTGTTTTGGTAGTTCTGCGAGTCCGGGTCCGGCGTCGTAGAAGCCGTAGGTTATCACGACGTCTTCTGGGAACAGGGCGGGTGTCTGCTCCATGTTGACCATTGTACCGTCTTCGACTTTGCCCGTCATGCTGTTTACTCTGACCCATTGCTTCGTCAGTTCCCGGCCGTCGCGGCGGACTATGAATTCAAAGTTTCCAGTGAATTTAAAACGGGGTAGGTTCGACGACTCGATTTCTAGGTGGTCGAAGAGAAACTCGCGTTGAGCATTTCGCCTGACGCTTTGTTTCGGAACGGTGAATTCAATCTCGACTCCATCGGCTGCAATGTATGCAAAGCATTTGACTCCTTTGGATGGCATCTTGTAGTATCATACGTCCAAGGTCCTGCCGTTGGTTGGGACTATATTGGTGGCAATGCTCGTCCTACGTAGCGACTTGTGTACATCTACGACCAGATCTTCCAGTGGGGTAAGGAATGGCTAATGTCAAGCCTCAACTGGCGCGGCGCCATCGCGGTATTAAAAAAAATCCGGTAGTTAGTCCAACCCATGCTTTCTCAGCCGTCTCAGCCGTCCATATTCCGTGGATTATCGGCGGTGGCTTAGCAGTAGTATTGAGGTGGGGAACTCTGTCCAGCCACGCCAATGGCCTATCACTCTGCCGTCAACATACGCTAGTCGGGCCGGCAAAGTTTCAAGTCTTTTCATCGTCTATCATGGATAGTAACTAGTTTAAGCCATGTTCCTGATTTCGTTTGAGTGTTGTTTGCAGGAGCAACAAAGTCTTAGATACTTCACTCAGGCTCTACTAGTCTTCGAGTCAATGATTTTCGCCACTGGTCCAGCCAGATAAACAACAACCATCAACATATCATCAAGACATTGCATGTCTCTCCAAAATACCAACCTCTCATCTTTCCTGTCCATGGTTCATTCTTGTTCTCCAGCTACCCAAAAGCCGGTGAAAGAGCATACCCCACAACCAGCTCTTCTCCTTGCTTGAAACAGCTCCATAGGTTTCCCACGCCCTCATCCAGCCCAGGACTAAACACACTTCCCACGTAGCAAAATACGCTCTCATGCTCTTTCACACCCAGTCTCTTGCGCAGAAAACGGACTATGGTTGCAAAATTCTGATTGGTGCTGAGTTTGAAGATACGCTGAGTGAGATGCGGGGCTGAGCCTATGGGTTGGAGGCGGATAGTTACTGCAGATGAATGATTTAGCCCAAGGCACATCAAATGGTTGAAAAAGCAATGTTATGTGGTAGGATAAATTCGGACAGCAACACATGTCAAACACGTGGAAGAGTGTAATGAGCTAGGCTGTACCTTTCTGAACATTGAGATTTCCGGCCGTTTCAAGTGCTTTGGATGCATCCTTCGGAAGGCTGCTTAAGACGACAGAAGCTGCCATGCTCAGTGGCGCTTCCGTCGTGTCATCTTCTTCTGGTATCCTTTCTTTGGGTGATTCGGACATGATGTAAATCAGGTGAAAGTTTGCCTCGGTGAGAAGGCGACAAGGCCTCCAGAAACCAAGAAATGGGAGTTGTCGACGAGGAAAAGCAACAGTGTAACGAGGGGGCCCAAGTGATGCGCTGACTGACACACGGCTAAGAGAGCGTAGGTGAAGGTAAGAGCGATGGTCAGGTGGAAGGTATGAACGTCGACTTGACCAATCAGCGCCCCACCACCTAGACTGCATCCCTACAATAAACCAGCAGAAGCAACAAAATACGATATCACTTTCATATTGATATCTAGTAGTCTACATATCTGAAACAATAGTGATAAAAACATAAGCTCCGGTATTGTGATAATCAGCCCGTTCATCCGTCATCAAATCCTCTCTTAGTATGACAATGTCCTTCAAACCACCATGGGTACCAACGCCTATTTTCAAGCACACACGCACGTGCGCACACCACCAACCAACCGGTTTGCAATCGCAATGACCAGCAAAAAGGACTACAGGGCCATGATGCAATAGGTATATACAAAGGAACGCGTGTATCGTTAGCGACCAGGGATCGGAGATCGTGGCCTATACTGAGCAAGGAAATGAGCAGGTTGTGCTAGGTCGCCAAAATGGGAGGGTAAAAGCTGCGCCAGAAATGCTATGAAGAAGGGGTATTTGCTCGCAGTTTTCACCTGCGAGCCTCAAGGTGAGAATTGTAAAGGGGGAAAAGTGACCTTTTCGTGGGTATTAGTGGAATCATCCATTACGCCGTGATAGATGCAAGGGGTGACCGTGTATTCTGCATGAGCCACGAGGCTCACCGACGGTCAAGTTGGGCGAGTAGCTGGTCGAGCTCAACCCAGTTGTCAATGTTTGCCGCGAATTTGCGGTGCTTGCGGGAGACGATGTGCTGTATGCTGTTAGCAACTTGCCCCAAGGGCGATGATCATGAGTCGTACCTCATCGAAGTCATTGAACTTCTCCCTGCAGTTCTCGCAGTAACCCGGCTTTAACTCCTTCTCGACATTCTTGCGTCTGCGGAGAGCTGCAGCTTTACGAGCTTGTCTCTCTTCATCTCCATCATCATGCATTCGGCCGAGGGTTTCTTGGGCTTTGCGCTTGGCTGCTCGCATGGGTTGAGAGTGTTCTTGGCTAAGCGCGGTCCTGACATCATTGGTTACGGACGAATGGCCACTATTCGTATTCGCCGAGGGCATGCTGTTCTTTTCAAGGACCTTTCGTTTCAGCTGGTTGACTTCCTTGCTGTTGCCGGCCCGAGGAGCAGCAGCGGTGGAGGAAATCATCTGGGAGCGGATGGCAGACGTGACGTTGGACTGTTGCAATCCAGATGCGACAGGCTCACCAGCAATGCAACGGGGCATTGCTCGGATGCTAGCCTGGGCGCTGCCAAACATGGGTGGCTGGCCATCGGTTGTGCTACAGCGCTTGAGGGGGAGGGCCTTTGGTGGGTCAAGTGGTTTTGCGTCATCGGTCTCTTCCTTTGTGATGATAGCGGGGGCACTAGGACGGCGGGCGAGGTTGTTGTTCTCAACAAGGGCGTTCTTCTCTTCCATAGCAGAGACGGCACGCGTGCGTGGGGCTGCTGCCGATTGTCTACGACGCGCTTCCTGCTCTTCCTGCTGTCTGCGGCCGAAATGGGGATCCTCCACAAACGGACACTTGCCGTTACCTGAGGCGCGGAACTGCGGCCACTTCCCCTTCTCTTTCTCGACCTTTTGATATTCTCGGATCATGACTGGTCGCGTAACCTCATCCATATCATGGACGTAGACATAGTATCCACGAAGTGGAATCATGTCTTGCGAAGCCATGACGTAGTCGCGATCCAACTTTTCATTTTGCAGTAACCTTTGTAGATCAGCAGGACGGCCCTTGTGCTGCGTGGTCGTGCTCTGACGCGTGGGGTGGCTGGATACATCTTCACCAGTCTCCTTGTTGAACATGGTATCAATCATTCGCTGCACCTTGTCGACAGACCATATCTTCATTCCCAGGCTCTTGGCCTTGTACAGGATATCACCACGGTCCGACTTTTCAAGGGCAGCATCGAACACTGACTTCTTGTTTTCAAGCTGGGCGGGATTGACGGTTCCTTTGTGGGCCGAGGAGCTACCGTCAATGTCGACGGGAATAGGGCGCGTAGTGATTACATGGGTGACTTCTCGAGAGAAAAACTTGACCTCGCGCTGTATAGTGTTAGCAATGGGAACGTTATGGTAGGGTGAGTACGCGTACCGAGCCGAGAATGCGGGCTCTGCTCATAAGCTTGTCTTTTTGCGGATCCGAGACGCTGTCAAAGTAAAAGGCAAACTGCGGAAAGAGCTTGCGGTAATGGCGCTGCCATTGCCGAATGGTCTCCAAGTCCTGGGCGGCTCGCTGTGCGGCCTGCTTGGTAGGGGCCTTTGTCTCTCGTGCGGCCTCGAGCTTCCGGGTCAAGGCGGTTGGTTGGGCCCCACTACGACGCACAAGGCCGTGACGACGAGCCTCGGCATCGTCGACCTCGATCATCTGCTTCTTGGGCGGTGGTTGGCCATAGGTTCCATCACGCTGCTCGCTGGCGTAGGAGCGCTGGCGCTTTCCTCCGGTAGCTGGGGCGCGCATTGGGGAGTTTGTTGCATTTTGAATATTGGCGAGAGGGACGCGACGGTTCGACATGACTGTAAGAACCTGCGGCGAGGGAGGAACAGCCACTGCTGCCATGCGTAGTTCGCTATTAACAGCAGTGGGTTGGTGTGGTTGAGTAGTGGTACAAGATAGGCTGACGGGAGGGGCAGGTGAGCGTGTGATGGTGGTGGCAGCTCACGACGCGACGAAACAGGCACGTCAGTAGGGTTTTCAGCAGCGCGTAGCAGCCATGTCGGTATGGTAGAGTGAGCGAGAGACCAGGAGGGAGCTGTACAGGAGCGGATTGAGCGAAGGAGAAGCGCGTCTGCAGGCCAGGGTCTGCGTTCTTTGACCAAGGAAAGAGAGAGTTTGTTGTGGAGGCTGGTATGATGATGGATACTCGCTGGGTGCTAAGCCGCATCCGGTACTAGCCCCCAGGTGTCGCGCGAACCACGCAAATAATCTGCCTGGCAACCAAACAACCGAACCCTTGCTGTCAACATCGTCCATGCACGACATGCTGCTGCGAACACACTAGCCTTCCGCCACCCTCATCCTGTCTGTTTCTCCAAACACCTACTCTCGACGATGCTATTGGCACGCGTCTCTACAGGGCTTCTTCCTGCTAATCAAACCACAACACCCCTTTCCCGTAGCCTGAGTCTTCATCAAACATGTGTTAGGGGCCTCGTTGACAACCCCTCTTGGCGTCGGCCCTTTGTTTAGCCAGCATCTGCCTTCATGGCCACTGTTTCCCCCCCGTGTTCGATACACTAACGGCTGCTCGCCCTCATCGTTCGTGGCCCCCGAGTCTGTGAACTGGATCTCCACTACCCGGTTGCCGTCGTGGTCACCGTCATCCCATGGCTCAGGTGGTGATCTGACCTATCCGATAAACTATCCGGAAAAAGGAAACGCTGCTGTTATATAACCCCCGGCGTTAGCCCAGCCTAGGGAGGTTTCTATGTTACTTATTCTGCCCTCGCCATTGGAAATGAATGGCTAATTGATGCGTATCCATGGACATGTCCCCAATTACAGCTCATAAAACATGCATCGGACACATGCACCCAGCAAATTACCCCTTTGAAGGCATTTCTTCTTTCCAAAATTCACTACACTGATGTCATCACTCCATCTCAGGAGCGAGCCAGGCCCCATGCCTCAAGCATTGATCGAGTCCTCTTGAACTCTTGTCGTCACCTCGATTTCGGTGTCAACTTTCCTTTCTACTTAATTCACAACGGTCGAAATTTCCTTATGCACTGCATAGTCCGTGCTGACCATGTCGTCATCTCCGTTAAATGCGACTCTTGAGTAGGCTGCCGGTCAAATCGAGACACGAAATTATATACGGGTCATGGACATTTCCCTATATGGCCTTGCAGATGCTGTATGCAAGTATTGCGAATACCTCCAGGAACTCATCCACGAGGTCAATCCCACTTGTGTCAGCGCATGACCAGAACAATATGAAGAAGGAACATGACAATAGCTTATACTCAGAGTCGCGGTTGCATTGAGGTGGTCTGACTCGAACGATTGTTGAGCCTATTAACATATCCAAGGTATGTACAACATCAACCTTCCAACCCCAACGCCACCGAGCCCACCGACGATGGCATCGCAAACAACGACATATCGTTCCCATCACTACCGACGTATATATATAAAAAAGGCAACTGGCATGTTGATCCCGCACCGAAGACGGCTTGGAAGGTGACGCGCTCACACATTCGCTTTTGAGGTTACGATGGAATGCTGCACACGACTACCATATCACTAGGCGCGGGATCGACATACGGATGACAAAGAGCGGAAATATGCACGTCTTCACCACGAACTTAATCCTGGAAGATCCAGGATAGATCTCCGTGCAGTCTCCTTAGTTGCACACACGAGGAAGGCTATTTGAGAAGCAAAATACGACTTTGGTCGCTTACATAGACACAGCTAATCAATACTGTTGCTAAATTTAGTAGGCGCTTAGCTTGTAGTCACGTGTAAGCGGGGTCGTGGTTCTATATTAATATAGACTCTAATTACATATGAAAAACACTCGATAAGTACTATGCTATATTTCATCTAGAATTCCTGATCTTGACTAACATACAGCAATCTCTTTCTTACCTAAACAAGAAGAATCTAGTATAGTATGCCTGCAACTAGCGATTCTGCGAGACTCCGCTCTCTTTACCCATCTCCTAGTATGTTATCATATTCAATTAACGTTTCCCTTCACTTATCTCTGTAGAAAACGTACAGCAGAGCCTACTCAAACGCCTATACCCTAATGGGATCCCACGTTCAACGATAGAGCAATTCCACAAATACAGCACTATAGATACGCCTCAACAATGTATGTAGAGCCGTGCGTTCTTTTGCTATTATTCTTATGCTCACACTAGCTAGGTTGGCATATAGCCTCTACCGAGAGTCTTCTTAAAGAATTATGCCCTTGGGATAGTAAATGCGTAAGCATAGCTACACCAGTTCTACACCAAGTTCTACTACATCATAGTGTGTGGCCGTTTAAGCCGGATAAGACTACTACTCTCACGCTAGAAGGCCTTGCAGTTGCCATAGCGTTGATAATAGGAGGGGATCAACCTTACATTTCTTTAGAAGAGCGGCGTACAAACTACGCAATCCGCGAACGACCCCGCAACTGCCTAGACAGATACAGGCTTCTCTTTCAAAGCCTCTGTAGCAGTAGCATCTGGGAAGAAATGTCTACCAACAATCACAGAGAAGAGAGTGACGACGAGGATCTGGTTGCCGTACTGTATAACACCATGCCACAGCCCCAGAAACAGAGCAGACAACGCTTTCTTCCAGTGGCTGCAATGCTTCCTAGCTCATACTCCCATAGGCTTACTGGAAGAGTACGTGTTCAAGCTGTCGAAGCATTAGTAGAGTTACTTTCGGCTATAGCTATCGGAGACCAGAGAGATAGCAAGATTATCAAGATACATGGTGAGACAGACAATATAATCAGATCTATTACGGAATGGCTCTCAATGTTAGAGACTGGTCTGGACTGGAAACAGTTTTGTACGCTTATAGAGATGTCTACGGTAACTCAGTCTCATCTTTTAACTTACAATGTTATACTAATATATCTTTATAGCCTTTCCTACTTGCCCAGCTAGCTAATACCATATGGCGTTGTTTCCCAGACCACCAATGTGGCAGTCCGGATTTTCAGCGTTTTGGGATGATACCACCAGCGGTAAGATGTTCTATTTTGTATTCATTCACTTACTTAGGAAGCTAAGACCTATAGGTTGCAACGACGATATCTCGGCGGAAAGATAACTCCCTCAGTCTCCACCATCTCACACAGCTTAGCTTAGTAGCACCTGACTTGATTCTGACCAAGCTAGTGCTGCTTGCTCATGGTACCCCTACAGAGCTATCCTGCCAAACTATATGGAGATTGATCACAGAACGGTCTGCTGGTCGACTCTTATATATCCATGGCACTACAGAGCACGGGCCTTTAGATCTTGTTCTCTGCCTCTATCCATCTTGTCTGCTCAAAGATGATAGAGTAGCTAGCGATCCGTTCGTAGATGTACTTTTGCCACTCGGAGCGTATACAGACTGTCTTGTTCAGTTCTACCCTACCCACAGGGTATTAAAAGGGAGCTTTACCCAAGCTAGGATAGACTATCAATCTATCGGCGCGCTCTCAGTACACCTAGGAGGTACCTCAATTTGGTTTGATGACGGGTTGGAGAAGGGTGTCATGTATACCAGTAATACTCCTGTACTCTCCTTTACATCTACAATAGTAGAGATTTGGGGTAAAAGTGAGTTATTCTAATAATATTTCTTCAGGCTGTTATTCTACTTTTTATCCTCTATAATATGGCATACCTACCAGATTCTGTATATACACCACCATACTCTGCTATATTGTATAGTGTAGTATTTCCTGCTTTACCTTACATTGACGCTTCCTACGGTGCCCTGCACTAGTAGGCTCCGCCGTGCCTCATATCAGCGTTGCCCGCTACGTACTACTTGATGCCACAATTAGACCCTGGATATGACATATGCCAAGACTATGCTATACGAGAATGCAAAGATCTCAGCACGTGAAGGGGTGCGAAGATAAGGAGGCGGAAAAGATCGGGTAAAAACGCACATGTGATACCGCGCATCCACAGTTAGTCGCGCACGTTGTCAGGTGGTACATAGCAAGTAGGGGGAAAAGACAAAATAACAAGAAGAGCCAAAGGTTCAGTTAAACTTTACGAGGTTAAAGGCCCAGACATGTGACGAGAGTGTAAAAAGAGAAGGATGATCGAACGTTGCACACACGTTCTCGCCCGATCCAGCTCATTGGTGGTCGGAGGGCTCGGCTATCAGGGGTGGAAAACCCCTGGAAGGTGGCGCTGCTTCAACGGCGGCGCGCGCTCAACACTTTCACATGCAAGCCGTCCTCGCCAGCCTTGGGATTTAGATTTTGACAGATTTGGCATAATGCAGTCTCAGCGAAACAAGGACGGCCGTTGTGCAGCCGCGAAAACTCAAAATGACCTCTGCAATTCCTCACAAACATCCTCGCGCATCCTTTTGCTTGTCTGTTGTTCTCGCTCATCCGCCGTTAATCGTGGGTGAAGCATCGCGTTCTGATAGTGTAGGGAGCGTCTATTAGCGGGGCGGTGGTACGACAAAATGCTCCTGACCGAATCGACAGAACCATCTGCGACTACTTTCAACTCGGTGTCTCCTGCCCAGATCAAAGACAGCAGCTTTCGGCCCAGCATGCTTTACAACGTACTTCCCACCATGGTGTCGAGTCGCCTACCCACGATACCTTCGCTCCGCCAGTCTCTTGGCGATGTACGGAGTCGAGCCTATTACAATAAATCCGATACCGTGATAGAGTTACCGCAGCCTGTGACGCCGCCACCGGGATACTCTACCATGCCTCCAAGCGAAACCGTTTCACCACACAAACTTTTTGCTGCTTTGGGTGAGGCAGAAGTCGATTTTGCGGACGATGTGTCTGAAGGCCAAGCTTCTTCAAGGGCCATGCCTCTGGTGGTTCCTGGTGCTCAAGAAACGCGTTCTGGCGTCAGATGGAGATATGCTGGCTTAGGTATGATGAAGACGGTGCTTTAGGAGAAACGTTGTTGCTTACACTATATCTAGGCATAAGTCTACTGCAACAGGCATCTCGAGAGTCAAACGCATCGTCTGGTGGCTTGGACGAGGCGTCTGCAACACTCATTCGACAACTATACATACATGGCATCACCTATCTGCTTCGAGGACTCCCAGAGAATCTCACACCAGACGAAAGGCTGAGTCTACAGGCCGCCCTTCCCCAGGTTCTTGTAGAATCAGTCAGTGATTCAAACACAGGCGCGCTTGTACGTGCCACGCCACAGAGCTCCGACCCTGCACAAAGACCACCACAGAATCCTACTATCATACACCGCATAACGGCAGCGTTTGTACTGCAGACGTTTCTCTTCCTGCAGTTTCTGCTGCCGTACATTCGGCTCTTCCTTTCGCATGCGTATCGATTTGAGAAGAAGCACCGAGTCACACAGCGAATTATCAACACGAGTGTAGCAACTGCCGATGAACTTGGCCAGAAGGCGCTCAGATTCTCGCAGGTTGTATGTCAGATGAACGATGGCATGGTTATCCAGACCTTTAACGATTTGACCATGTGGTGGATAACTGGTGTGACGGGAGGGGTGCAACAAGGCCTCGCCGAGGGTCTCCGAACTATGAAAGCGGTGGAAGGGCAGCGACGTGGGGAGGTAGAAGAGGAGAAATAGAGGGGATGTTTTTTTCTTATTGGCATTGGGGGCGGTGTTTGAGCATTTTCACGGTTGCATAGACGCATGGCTTTATGAATGGTAACACTCGTGTTTACTTTTGGATTATTCTGCAATATTGTTTTGCTGCGTTGGACCCTGAATGATGGATGTGATTCTGGTGGAGAGGAAGGGCCTTATCTTATCGGTGCGGGCGGCGGGCTTTCTACTAGTATGTGGATTGTGCACGTACCCCATCGAAAAAGTGAATGGCAAAGTTTCTGGCAACTCGACTGCCGCACATTTCTCTCTTGTGCCCACCCGCTTTGTTCATTGAGGCGCACGAAAAAAAATACTCGCATTCTTTTTTGTCGCATACTTTCTAGATACCCCTTTCATTTCTTCGGACTGCGTGCCGTCCCCTCCCCCACATCATGTTCGGCGCAGTAAGAAGATGCCCAGCGACCCTCTCGAGGAGTCTGGCGGCAATCTCAACCAGGACACTTCGCACACCTCTCACTCAGACTTCCGGCCTTCTTAGGATACCGCTGCAGTCGTCGCGCCTTGCGAACGGTGCCATTGCCGGCTTCCATCACAGCGCAAAGTGGCAACAGATTGCGGCACAAGAGGCGGAACAGAGTGAAGAACATAATGAAACTGTCACAGAGTTCCAGGATCTCGCCACTCGAGGACTCGTCCACCCCAATATCATAAACACCATCACCAAACAGATGAAACTCAAGACCATGACGGACGTGCAGAGCAGGACCATCAATGAGGCGTTGAGCGGGGTGGATATGTAAGAATCTTTGCTTTGTTCATTGCGAATGTTATACTAACGCACCACAGCATTGCACAGGCAAAGACTGGTACCGGTAAAACACTCGGTTTCCTCATTCCCGTCATCCAGCGAATCATCCAAAATGACCCCAAGCTCGGCGAGAAGGCCAAAGGCTACAAACGCGCCAAACCCGACGACATCAGGGCCATTGTCATCTCTCCTACCCGCGAGCTTGCCGAACAAATTGCAGTCGAGGCTAAGAAGGTAGTCTCTGGCACTGGCATTGTCGTCCAAGTTGCAGTCGGAGGTACACAGAAAAGGGCCATGCTTCTGAAGACGCAGCGTGAAGGATGTCATCTCATGATTGCGACGCCAGGACGACTATACGACATTCTGTCTGACGAGTACTCTGGCATTGCTGCACCCCGTTTGAATGCGCTGGTCATGGATGAGGCAGATCGCCTGCTTGACGATGGTTTCCAAAAGGAGATTGACGACATCAAGACGCTTCTTCCCGACCCCGCAGAGGTCGAGCGCCAAAATCTCATGTTCTCTGCTACGATTCCCCGCGATGTTGTCAACCTGGTTCGTCAGACGATGCGTCCTGGCTTCCACTTCGCCAAGTGCGTCAGTGAAGATGAGGAGCCCACACACGAGCGCGTTCCTCAAAAGATGGTCATGGTGGCTGGCTTTGAGAACAACATTCCTGCTCTTTATGAACTGGTTCTCAAGGAGCACCAGAAGTTCCAGGCCAATGGTGGCCGCCCATTTAAGGCCATTATCTACTTCAACAGCACTGCTGAAGTCACGCTCGCGTCATCAGTATTCTACAAGCTCAGCGGCGGCTTCAAGCGCAACACCCCTCTATCCGGCCTCCGTGGATTTGAAATCCACTCCAAGCTCTCTCAAGCGCAGCGAACAAGGGCCGCTGACGACTTCCGCTTCGCCAAGTCTGGCATTCTCTTCTCGTCTGACGTAACCGCACGTGGTATGGACTTCCCAGAAGTCACGCACGTCATTCAAATGGGTCTCCCTCGCGAACGCGATTCGTACATTCACCGTCTGGGTCGTACCGGTCGTGCTGGCAAGGAGGGCGAGGGATGGATCATCCTGACTCCCTTTGAGAAGCAAGAAGTCCGCCGTCGTCTCCGTGACCTGCCTCTTGTCGACGCAACGCACGAACTCGAGACTGCCACCATTGACATGAGCCAGCCTGTTGAGGTCCCGGAGAACGTTGGCAAGATTCTATCTGACTGCGTCGAGGCGCACAAGAAGGTCTACCCCGACCATCTCGATGCCGCGTTCCGTGGTCTGTTTGGAAGCTACCAATGGTATGGCGATAAGCGGAGCCTGATTGAGGGTGCCAACCGTTTGGCAGAGTTTGGATGGGGTATGGAGACTCCGCCTCCACCACCATCTTTTGTCATGTCTGGCCAGAGGCGATCTGGTGGCAGTGGCGGCCGTAGCGGCGGATTTGGAGGTGGGTCTGGAAGTGGCTTTGGCGACCGACGAAGCGGAGGAGGTTTTGGCGGTGACCGAAGGAGTGGAGGATTCGGAGGTGATAGGAGAGGTGGAGGCGGCTTCGGTGGCGAGAGGAGAAGCGGTGGCTTTGGTGGTGACCGAAAAGGCGGCGATAGCTTTGGTGAGCGAAGAGGTGGAGGTGGTTTTGGGGGAGACCGTAGGGGTGGAAGCGGCTTCGGAGGGGACAGGAGAGGAGGAGGTGGCTTTGGAGGTGACAGGAGAGGAGGTGGTGGTTTCGGCGACCGCCCCAGAAGGGAACCTCGACTCGACTTTTAAAGGGGGGGAAAGGGAAGAGAAAAGGGAAGTTTCTCTGAGTTTGGTCTCTTCCTCATGAAGTAACGGTCACGCCTCTCTTTCTTTGGGGGGGTTTCTTTCTGTCATCATCATTGTATTATATATTGTATACCCCCTCCTTACCAAAAAGTCTTTTTCTTCTCTTCTTCATCATGTATTTTACGATCACTTGCAGAATGCATAGGGCATGATTTGAATGAGGAACCAAAAAAAGAGTAAATATCATGTATTGGTTCACATAATGAAATTGAAAAAAGTGGACTTGTAACATCACCATCGTCCCTGCCCATCTCTCCTCCCCCTTTCTATACCCAAATAAAAGAAAAGAAAAGACATACTCATAAATTCTCAAATCACAGCAAATCCACCTTCTCCCTCTCATCCTCCACCACCCTCTCAAACTCGTCAAACTCCTCCTGCGCCATGGGATACGTATGCTTCTCCTCGGGATACACCCTCTTCTTAACCTCATCCCTATACCGCTCGAGCGCCCCCAGCGCCTCCCCCCAAACATTGCCGTATTGTTTTACGAACTTGGGCAGGAAGCGTCCTGGCGGAAAGTTACCCAGCATATCAACTTGCACGAGGACCTGCCCAGAACACGCATTGCCAGCTCCAATCCCAATCGTCGGGATGCGCAGCTGTCGCGTGACGAGGTCAGCTACTTGCGCGGGTACAGCTTCAAGTACGACTGCAAATGCGCCGGCATCTTGGACTGCCAGTGCATCTGCCAGGAGGGTAAGCGCAGAAGCTGTGGTTTTGCCCTGGACGCGAAAGCCGCCTAGTGCGTTTTGGCGCTGGGGGGTTAGACCGATGTGAGCGAGGACGGGGATACCAGCTTGAGTTATTTTAGAAATGGTAGGCGCCATTTCGGCGCCGCCTTCTAGTTTTACGGATTTGACGCGGCCGGTTTTGATCATTGTGATTGCGGATTGGAGGGCTTGGGTGGGGGAAATTTCGTAGGTGCCCATGGGGAGGTCGCCGACCTGAGCGATTTCGCATGTTAGTCAGTTGTTATATGGGAGGAGAGGATTTTTTTGGGGAGGGAGGGGAAGAAGTACAGTAAAGGCGGATTTTGTGGCGCGCGCGACGGATTTACAATGCAGAAGCATTTCTTCCATTAGGACTTCACTTGTGTCTTCCATGCCCAGGGCGACCATGGCGAGACTGTCGCCCACGAGTATCATGTCCATGCCGGCGTGGTCGGCGACATGTGCGCTGGGGAAGTCATGGGCTGTGACCATGGTGATTGGCTCGCCCTTGCGGTAGAGTGCCTGCAGGGTATTGAGGGTGACGGGTTTGCGTGTGTTTGTGGGTGGTGTGCCCAGCGGGGAATGCGAACTCCATCGTGCTTGTGTGGCGGACAGTGTGATGCGCGGTATTGTTAAGGGTGAGGAAGGCCGTGGTGTAAGTTGCGAAGACACTCGTAATGTCTTGGATAGCGCACGCGACATCATGGCGGCACCGGCAAGGCTACAGCGACGGGGGTGGTATTTTCTAAAGGGAAGAAAATGTGTCGCGGCGGCTGAGAGAATAAGGAGGCAGGGTGGTCAGCCATGATTTAGTGCGACGAGCGTTCTCTTATGCTTTGGGACATTGTGATGATATCTTCAGCGAAGTTCTGAGCAGACGTTGTTTAGAATGAACCGAGGATCATCGTTGGCCGAGACGGACAGGGGGGCGTGGTTGGTTCCTTTCTGGCCAGACAGGTATGTAATCGCTGTAATTCCCCGAGTTGAATGCCGAATACTTGGGCTCTCAACAGTCTTCAGCAGTTGATTTCTTGATGTTTTCCCTCACTCTTCTGTTTTGCAGCACATGTCCTTGGTGGGGTCGTCGTTGTCGTCGTCGTCGGACAAGCGGTGAATTGGTGGGCGCAACCTCGGGGAAGCTGCGGCATTGCTCCACACTGATTGGGCCATGCCCGCCCTGGACTGCCAGAAACGGAGTCCGAACAAGACAGTATAGACGAGTCGAGCAGGCTTGTGGCTGAGGCATTGCAGCCTTTGTTCTCTCTGCGTATAAGATCGGTAATACTTTTGCACATCGAGTCATGCAATCGAGTAATGACCGGCTATCCAAGGGGTCCCTGGACTGGCTAATGATGCATGGATGGATCAGTCAACTATGTCTGAGTACACGCATAGCTTTGAGAGATTCGAGTATGTATCATAGAAAGCACGTGCGATCTGTAATGCAGCTCCCTATGCGCATAATGACTTTTGCTGTAAGAACTGTTCAGTCTCTCGTCATAAGGTAAGGGTCGTGTCGACATGTTCGAGTACCTGGTTAGTGTGCCTAGACGTCAAATGAGTGTCGCAAGATAGCGAATCATCGCGCATCCCGGTCATAAAGAAGACTGCACAATAGGTGTGTTTGAAAGTATTCGATCGATTATTCGGCGGCGTGCGACGTCTCACCGATGGCTGGCCCAGGTGAGACGTGCGCAAGCGTGACACGCCGCCGCACTATCATCATCGCTCGTGATCTCGTGACGACTCCCTCATCTTCGTGCCTCGCGCCTGTCTGTTTCTGACTCCTAGCACGTTGTGCTCGATAAATACGACTCCAAAACCCATACACGCAATTCATACCGCACTCGACGAAATCGAAACCCCCATTTGACCAACACGCCACCTGCCCTCTCCCAGCCACGGCGCCCCTCTTCCGGTATCGATAGCCCCGCCGCCCACTCCACAACAGCTTCGCCGCCACTCCGCCCTGCGCGACCACGCTGCGAGCTTCCTACGACTCAGCTTTGAATACAAGCATTGCGAGAACAAGACCTAATATACTCGCCTATACACGTCCTGCGCCAAAATGAGTTCGCCAAAGAGACGTATCGAGACGGATGTATGTGGGACCTAAACCCCCTGCCATTGATTGTTGGATGGACAAGAGCTAATTGAGCACCCTTCCCATAAACACAGGTAATGAAGTGAGTGGCCTAAACACTCTGTGCATAGTATGATGCTAACAGGTAAATAGGATGTATGTCTAACAACCTAGCACCTATTGCAGCAATTCGCGCCACAGTGATGGGGACACAAGAATGCCAGCTGACAGCGCCCAGGCTCATGAGTGACTATGAAGTAACTCTAGTCAATGACAACAGTGAGCTATCATCCTTTCACCCTATGAACACTCTCCGCTAACATCTAATAGTGTTAGTTCATCTTACCGTCTCATCCCAACATGCGTCCAAGCGCTGACATGTCCCAGGCAAGAGTTCTATGTCAGATTCAAGGGTCCGTCGGAAAGTACGTCGGGATCTCCCTGTCTTACATACCATTTACTAACCACAGACAGCTCCATTCGAAGGCGGCCTTTGGAAGATACACGTCGAACTGCCAGACCAATATCCCTACAAGAGCCCCAGTATCGGCTTCGTCAACAGGATATTCCACCCCAATATTGATGAGCTGTATGTCTTTGCCTTGTATCATCGCCTCGAACCATCTTCTGACATCAATAGCTCCGGCTCCGTCTGCCTGGACGTCATCAACCAAACCTGGTCGCCAATGTACGACATGATCAACATCTTCGAAGTCTTTCTCCCTCAACTCCTTCGATATCCCAACCCGACCGATCCTCTGAACGGAGAAGCTGCTGCTCTTCTCATGAGAGAACCTAAGAGCTACGACGCCAAAGTCAAAGGTACGTACAGTATTAAAGTACCAGTGAATGCGGGCCAGGAACTAAAAAATAAACAGAGTATGTACAAAAGTACGCTAGCAAAGATACTGCCGAGGACTCTGACAAGGATGATGGCGATGATGACGAGATGAGCTCAGTTGGCAGCTACGAGTCTGGCGATGAAGATGGAGCTGCAGGCAACATGGATGATATTTAGATGACCATGCCGGGTTTGACCTGTCTTCCCCTATGGCCCTTTTGTTTGCTTTCTCATGGCTGGACGTTCAAGGCGCTAGTGTGGCGCACACATAGGCTGGATTTCTTCATCTTTTGCTCTCTTGGACTACGCGGGTTGGGTTAATGACCTAGTTTTAGGCAACAGCATTCTCTGTTATGCTCCTTGTTCGTATATGAAATACCAAAGTAGTGTTCCTATTACGTGCACGATGAACATGTATTTGTCGTGCCATCAAATCTTTGTCAACTTTCTTTTATACATTCCACCACTTTCTGCTCACCTAGCTTCATTCCTGTTTACCCCTAATCGGTCCTGCCTTTTTACGTATGTTTTTTTACCAGTGTATTAGTCTTAGCCACTACCAACATCAGATGCTCCACCCAGAGCAGCATGACAAACAGATGATATGCCGCTAATGGTCTAATGTGTGACTGCTTGTTGGATACTCACAGTCACCGCTGAACGCTACTACTAAAAGGATATCCTGTCACAGTGAGCGTGAACTGACTTGACGTCACAAGATGCCGTATCGTTCCTTTCACTTTCACTTGACACGTTACTGGCATGTATATAAACCCCCCGGTTGCCAGCCCAATCCCTTTCGCCCTCAACAAATATCAACTTTCATAGCACTTTTTGCACGTGGTATTGGTTCAACTCCTTCTGAGCAAACACTCCATTGTCTAAGCCAAGACAATGGCCCCTCGCACTGAGCATGAGCCCAAAAAACATCATCGCATCAACCCCAGTGCTAGAGATTGTCAATATCTCAACGCACATACTGGTACTGGTGTCAATAAACATCGCCCCGTCAGCGGTAGAGGCAACAGCCGTGTCAGCTCCACCTACAAATCAAGCCACCAGGGCAGTCAAAGTGGAAGCCACCACGTTCGTATCTCGTCTCCCGACGTACGTGCTGTAGAGCATCCCAAGATCTGCGACGAACATACCCACAGTAAGGACGACCGCAATGGCATTGGTAAACTTCATATCCAGCACCACCGTCTTCATCTCCCCAACGGCACCGACCCCAGCGATTCAAAAGCCAGTGCCGCACCAAGTTCGCCCCATAAGAAACATACCTCTTCTTCTCCTTCTCCTTCTTCTTCTTCTTCTTCTTCTTCCCTTACTTCTGCCACCCAGCCCCCCGACATCTCCACCATCAAACCCCCCGACACCCGCACCAGCACCCGCACCATCATCGCCATCCCCAAACCCCCCCTCCTTGCCCACCGCCCCCGCCGCTGCATCGACCCCGTCAAGCGCGCCTTCACGAACCACAATCTCCGTGCTATTCTGTCGGATAAGCCGTGGCCGACAGAGCGCAAGAAGGCGAGTGTCGAGAAGATGGTGCTGAAGATGGGGATGAAGAGGGAGTATAAGTAAGCGCTCGTTAGAGTGTTTGGTGGAGTGCTCGGAAGAGTGGGTTTGAAGGGGGCTGAAAGGTAATGACACAGACATGGGGGAAAGGGAAGGGGTGGAGGAGGAGGAGGAAGTAGGGAGGGGGGATATGAATGGATGGAATGGATGGAGGAGGAAGGGGAAATAGCCTCGATTATGGAAAAGGGGAAAGGGGTAGGGCAGGTAATAGGTTAAGTGAATCGAGGGAGTATATGTATGGTGCTATGGTTTTCATCTTGTGACTGGGTTGAATCGAGTACGTGGGGAAAGCTGGGGGAGTGAATGTGGGGGGTTCGGGGTGTGACTAGGGGGTTTGATTTAGGTTACGGTCGAGTAGGGTTGGGTGGAATGAGATGAACGGGGGGTATTGTGGGTTAAAGAGGTGTTGAGATTAAGAACAGCAAAGACAGAACAGTGGTTGGCTTAGTGAAAAGCGGGTGCAAGCCGGGTATTCGGACAAGATGGTGAGGTCGCTGGTTGCCAATGTGTGATATTCACAAGAACCAAAACAAAAGAAAGAACGCAAAAATTGTCTCGGAATCGATTCGAGCATGTATCCTATTTCTTTTCTAAGAGCAATGGGATTTTACGCTGCGAGTTTAGATATAAGTATATCTAAGTCAGTCTCCACCTACGATCCCAAAAACAACCAGCAGCACTCTCCAATCCACATTCGTACATACTGTTCATACCAAACACGCTTCCGCAGAATCATCAAACCCACTCATTTCCCCGCTGCCTCATCCGCAATCAAAGCCTCAACATCCCTCTCCATAAGCCACGCTCGCACGCTCTCCATAACAGCAGTCAGCGTCTGACCTCCCTGCATCACATCATCCAGATCATGCACCGTCGTCCCGCTCCTATGATCCGTGACGCGCTGCTGTCCCCAATTATACGTTCGTACTTTATCACCACGCCCCATTTTCGCCACACCAATGACGCTGCGACGCATATTCGCCAATTCCTCCTCGCGTTTTTCGCGGCGAGACTGGGCTATGCGGGAGCGCAGGAGTGTCCACGCTTTCTCCTTGTTCTTGTGCTGGGACCGTGAGTCTTGCATTGCGACTACGGTGTTTGTGGGTGTGTGTGTTAGACGGACGGCAGATTCGGTTTTGTTGACGTGTTGGCCTCCGGCGCCACTGGCGCGCATGACTTCGACTTTGACTTCTTTTGGGTCGATGTAGTAGTCGCTTTCTGGGTCATCGAAATCCTGCTCTTCTGCGGAGTTCTCTTGGATACTGGGAAGCACGTGTACGGATGCAGCGCTCGTATGTGTCCGGCCTTTGGTTTCGGTAGCGGGTACGCGTTGCACCCGGTGGACACCGGCTTCACATCTGAAAACACCGTACGCATTTTCATCTTCTACTTCGATGATCGCTTCTGAAAGTGGTATCCCGGCCTCTGTCGTTCCGTTGACGTTTTCGTATTTCAGGATGTTGGTCCGGAAGCCGTTTCGATTGCAAAAGGCCTGGTACATGCGAAATAGATCGCCGGCGAAAATAGCAGCTTCTGACCCACCTGCGCCAGGTCGTATCTCCAGCAGACATGGTAGGTGCGCAAAAGGATGTACTGGTACCAACGAAGTAATGAGATTTTGAGAAGCATTGGCGAGTTGGGTTCGTGTTTCTGCGAGGTCATCTGAAGCAAGTGATCGTAATTCTGGATCGGTAGAGGAATCGTGTATCATCGAGGTAAGCTCTGCCACAGACTTAGTCCAGATCAGTACCCGTACTGCTCGTAATATGTGCACATCATATGCTTACCTCATTGGCCTTACTCCATTCTCCCAGAGCATTCACAATGGGACTGTACTCGCCCAATTTCTTCGCCGCACGCGTATCGAAGCCATTGGTCAGCTTTTCTGTGAGTTGTTTATGTTCAGAAGTGATTGCCTGAGCTCGAGCAAGGAGGGCTGGCGGTATGGATTCGGGTGATGCAGCTTTTGTGGTAGTATTAGCAGCATACCATAAAACATAGATTCAGACTACTCACCCGAGCTTTGCAGACGAACATTGCGCCTAAGAAGTGACCTCCCTATTCGTGAAAGGCAGCTTCGACATATCCAGGACGCTGCAAGCATAGTCGTGGACATGCGCAGAATTTCAATTGTGACGGAATTCTCAGTCTCCAACGCTCATTCCGATCGGTTCGGAACGCATTGCACGTGACGTCGTCTCTCACGCTCGCAAGGGTCACACCGCTTTAACCACCTTCCGCATGCATATCGTTCGCGTCTTGCCATAAACGTCATGGGCACTTATCGGAGGCCGCTGCACCATGTCCCGAGGTATTTATCGAGCGAGATCGGCACTACAAGCGGCATCGACCATCTCCGGGGATAGCCGTCGTACATAAAAGAGCTATGTCAAGTACACATTCATAAACTTTCCCCGTATTCATAGCAAAAAGAGCTTCAGAAGCTGCCCCAGAGCTCCAGACGCCCTCCAGACATAATGCCGCCTACTCCACGACGAAGCAAGAGGACCAAGGCCAACCACGACCCGGAGCCTGAACCTCAAGCAAAGAAGCAGCGGCTCGCAGAAGAAGCTACTGTTGCAGGCAATCCAAATGTGTATCCTCATCCTGAACCCCAGTTTGTCCACTTTCCCAGCCGGCGCTCCGTGCTGCACAGCACAAAGGGCATCGTATCGAGCACCCAGTCACTCGCCTCGGCAGCTGGCATAGAGATTCTGAGGAAAGGCGGAAATGCAGCTGTATGACGTAATCTATTACCCATTACCATGTGCAAATAACTCACAATTTACCAGGATGCAGCTGTAGCTGTGGCCGCAGCTATCAATGTTACAGAGCCAGGCTCCACCGGCATTGGTGGTGACATGTTTTGTTTGTACTACGATGCAAAGACGAAGAAGGTCTCGGCGCTGAATGGATCTGGCCGCTCGGGTGAGAACGTCACACTTGAGAAGGTCAGGAAAGATCTTAATCTCGCGGATGGCCAGCATGGTCAGATACCTATGGATCACGTGCTTGCGGCGACAGTTCCTGGCGCAGCAGCAGGGTGGGTTGACTGCGTTGAGCGCTTTGGTAGTGGAAAGGTCAGCATGGAGGATGTCCTTGCGCCTACTATTGAGCTTGCGGAGAAGGGCTTCCCAGTGTCTGAGCTATCTGCAACCTTTGTAAGTCAAACCAGGTCCATTTGAGAGATGCCTACTGAGACTGTAATAGTGGGCAGCTAGCGAAGCTGACATTCGACGTGCTTCACCCAACGGCCATGAAATGCTGAAAAAAGACCCGTCTGCCAAAGATGGCTGCAGGGCACCAAAAGCAGGTGAAATCATGAAGAACACAACAATCGCGAATACGTTCAAGCTCCTCGCCAAGCACGGAAAGAAGGGCTTCTACGAAGGAGAAGTCGCGGAACAGCTTGTAAAGGTGGTGCAAGATCTTGGTGGCTACCTCACTCTAGACGACCTCAAACATCATGCCGAAACTGGGTCTGAGCCTGTCGACCCCATTTCACTGAAATACACTGGCCAAGGCGTAGGAGAGAATACTAACGGCGGTATCGAACTATGGGAGCATCCACCAAATGGCCAGGGCATCGTGGCTCTGATGGCTCTGGGCATCATCCAAGAGCTGGAGAAGCAAGGCAAGATTCCTAAATGGAGCGTCAAAGACCACAACAGCACAAGCCACCTGCATGCTCTGATTGAAGCGCTCCGAATCGCCTTTTGCGACGCGCACTGGTTTGTTACCGACCCCAACGTGGTCAAGGTACCTTCAGCAGAGCTCATTTCAGAAAAGTACTTGGCAGAGCGCGCAAAGCTGTTTAATCCAAAGAAGGCCATTTCAGCCCCAGTCCACGGATCGCCGGCACATCTACAAAGCGACACGGTGTACTTTTGCTGCTCGGATCAAGACGGCAACGCCATTTCCTTCATCAACAGCAATTATGGTGGCTTCGGCACCGGCATCATCCCCAAGGGCTGCGGCTTCACGCTGCAGAACCGCGGCGCAAACTTTAGCCTGGACAAGGACCATCCCAATGTTCTGGCGCCAAGGAAGCGACCGTATCATACCATTATCCCCGGTCTGACCACGTATGTTAACGACGGGAGCTTGCACTCTGTGTACGGTGTCATGGGCGGCTTCATGCAACCGCAGGGTCACGTGCAGGTGCTACTGAATCAGGAGGTGTTCAAGCTCAACCCGCAGGCTGCGCTCGACTCACCGCGCTTCTGCATCGGAGCGGGCATGCCGAGCGCAGATGGAACTATGACGGACGCGACTATTTACTTGGAAGAGGGCATTGATGCAAAGGTGGTCAAGGAGCTCAAGGCACTGGGACACAGTGTGGAGCAGCTGAGTGGTTACAAGCGGGGCATGTTTGGCCGAGGCCAGATAATCAGGCGGCATGAGGATGATGGCATGCAGGTTTGGAGCGGAGGCAGCGACATGCGGGGTGACGGCGCGGCAGTGCCGTTGTAAATCTGTGTGTGTGTGTTGACAGGTGGCTCGTGGAGTTGGGTAACGTCTAGTCATGAATGTAACGTCAGTCACGAACAACCGGTAACCATAGTCTCAGAGACTTGAATGAATGGGTATCGTATTTACTCTATATTTGCCTGCGTCGAGTCAGCGCACGTGTCTTTGGTAGCCAATCATTGTCCTAATGGCTTTGTCCTGCCATTCCTTTTCCTCCAACTCCGAACTCCGTTGTCAATCTCTTCTATTGTCACACCGTCCCTAATAAGCTGCATCGTGACGCCTAGGACCTCTACATTTTTATTCCGAGCCTCGTCATCGAAAAAGAGCATATCCTCGTACTCGAGGCCACTGTCGCGGTGTATGCGCTCAAAATGTGTCGTTTTGTTGCCGGGGTATATTTGCAGGTGATCAAAGTAGTCGATTGCGCGGGATGAAGAGCCGGATGGGCTGGGTATCTTGAGCAGCTTTAGCATCTCGCGACCGAGATCTGGTGCACAGGTGCGAGAGGCAGCGCCGATGAGAATATTCTTGGCTTTGAGCTATAGCAGCTTAGTTAGTTGTCGATGTGATCAGATAGGGGATTTGGGGCGATCGTACTGCTTCTAGGATACCCCCGACATCACTGTAGAAGCCGAAGCCCTCGCCATATCGGTCCTTTGCTTTTAAGCCGCCTTCGGTAGGCTTAAGCGGGGCGGTAACGTGCGTGTCGACCCAAAAGGGCCAGAGAGTGTAATCGAGGTCGAAGACGACTATTTTTGGAAGCGGCAAGCCATCTGTGAATGTGGCTGGCCACCGGACCTTCGCTGGAGACGCTGTGGTGGTGGTTGTATCGGAAGTGGGGGTGTTGGTTGAGGGAGCGCGGCGGGGCATGGTTGACGTTGGCGGGCGCACACAGTAGTGGTAGTGAGGGTCTTGTTAGTGGGATAACAGCTGAAGAGGACGCAAGGGTTGTTAGAGATAGAAAGTGAGATTCGGCCAGATTAGGTGTTTTAGTCTAGGTAAACAGCCGCGTGTGGCGCGTTGGTCGCAAAAAAAAAGACAGACGATGACGTAGACGCGTTGAATCGGCGGATCAGGGTATCAGGTAAAGTACTGATATCGCAAACGGATAAAAGGATTACAGCGCCGAACATACGCTGTGCCGGTACATATTTCGCATTTCCTCCGCAAGAAAAAAAAGCTCAGAGACACAGGCCCTAGTCCCTATAGGTGTTCATGGAGAGCAGCCATATATTGCCGGCGCAGTACATGGGCCTTCGGGATGCAAGCATGGCGGATGCCGATTAGATAAGGAACAGCCGCGACAAAAAAACAAAGACAAAGGCAACGAGGCCTGAAACGACAGGTAATTTCCAGCAGAGGATTGGCGGTGACGGGGCGAGGGCGAGGGCGAGGGCGAGCACATGGCTATATCTAAGTCTATTATCTAGTAAACTCTGTTTGTGGTTGAGGGTACTAGGCCTCGGCTGATATGGGGAACGGGTGGTGGGTATGGGAAGTCTCCAGGACGCCTGTTGCTGACCACATGTGTATTACGTCTTCACATACGCCGTACCCCTATTGGCCGCTTTTAATTACAGCGAGGCTTCACAGGGCACATCCACGTAGCCATGGCGAGAGCGTCCCAACATGCAATCCATATGAACATGGCTGCAGAGGGCCGGCCGTAGCGACATGGTGCAGCACTGGTCTGGCGCACCTTCCCCTTTCAGTCGGCCAGCCACTAATACGTACCAGCCCCGCAAATAACGGGCGCCGGAAGGAATCCCGCCTGACTTGTCGCCGCGGCGTCAACAACCCTTCTACTACTACACTCTTCTCGCACGCACACAAACACACAGATTGCCTGCGCACTCATGTCGCCGTGATCCCGCTGTCTCCAGGGCCTCGATGGCGGCAACAGGTGCTCGTTGTACAATCTTCAGTCGCGATCAATAACAGATCGCTTGCCAGTTCCTTGTCACCCCTCCGCAATCTCAGCGCGTGCACTTTCCACCTCTGCCAATTACTACGCAGCAGCCCATTGACCTCCAGCACAACAGCGGGTGACACCTCGCCAATCATCCGCCACAATGGCCGACTTCAATGAGACAAGATCTCCCCTTACAAACGACAATGTCCAGGCCTGGGCCCGCCATCACTTTGCCGCGCCCTTTCGCGCTCTACCGCGTGCTGCCAGGCTGCAATGGATCGAGTTTGACGAGAGCTTTACTATCAGCAGAGCTATCTGGCGCTCCCTCGGCCGCTCTACCCACAAGCAGCTACTCGTCATCGGCGGCTACGCCCCAGGTCCCGCCGGCGACGACGATGAACCCATTGACCGTGTCACAGCCCATGTCCACGAGGACGAAGCAGAGGTCAGCTTCTATCGCATCACTGAGCTCGAAGATGGCAGCAATGAGCTGTTGTCGGTAAATAGCACCAGCACCGTTGCCTTTCATGCCCCATTTTGTGACGTCGGTGACGATACCGGAGGTTCAAAAGCAATCCACCGCGTATCTGCACTCATTCTTTACTATTTTTTGGCTGCCGGCCACGTGAAAGAGCTATCCCGCACACGATCAGATCCTACAATGTTTACCAGGAATTTTCGCGATGCTTGTCTGTGGGTTCAGAATGAAGGCGAGCGTCCATTACTACCACCATCGAGAAAATCAGAACCTTCAACACCCTTCGAAAAAGATCCTATTACTGTCCGACCCAAGCGCTCCTCCACTGTTTCAACAACCCGCCCCGTATCTGACGAATATCAACACCCTCCAATGAAGCGCGCTGCAACAGACAGCTTAAACATTAAAATTAAACGCGAACGCGACGAAGACTACCCAAACATCCCTCCATCCGCCATCCGCCCAAAAAAACACCCCCGGCGCACGCTCAGCGAGCAAATCGTTGTCCCTTCGAAACTCCAGGAGTCTACCTCAATGCCATCCTCGGGATCCATTCTCAGCCCACGCAGTCCTGCTCCGGAGCGCGTCAACCGCGCCCTAACCGACCGAATTAATCACCTCAAAGACGAAAATGCTGGCCTCAAAGCCTCATTAAATGGCCTTGAATCAGAAAAATCCGACCTTCAGCAGCGCATGGCCAGGGAATCCCACGCATATCGTAGCATGCAAATCGAATCCGACGCCCTAAAGCGCGAAGTAGAAAGCATGAAGCGCGAAATGAACGCCATGAAAGAGCGCCTAGAAGGCGTCGAGTCTTCTGGCGAAAAGATGCGCCTGGAAGTGCAAAGATTAGTAGCGGTAGAGAACGCGAGTAAAGAATTCCGAAAAGAGCTAAGAAGTGAAGTAGACGGGTTAAGAGGACGCATCGAGCGAAGCGAAAAAGAAGCCGAAAACGCGAAAGAAGAGCTATTGGCTGTACGGCGGGGATTAACAAAGGAGTTGAGCGAAGCAGTCCAGAAATGGGGCGCGTGAAGAAGAAGAAAACAAAAAGAATTCATGACTTGGATACATTCAAAATTGTATGGGCATAGTCTTTTGTTTCTTGTTATCGTTTCTTTCCTGTCTCTCCATCTTGCTCCTGGTCTGGTCTGGCCTGGTCAGCTTAGACGCGGTATCCGCGCTACGATCTCCCCACTCGCATATTCCGCCGGGAACCCCCCGGTGGTGCGTTTTCTTTTCCCTTTTCGCCCACCAATCGGGTTATATATGGTACTCCCGTGGCCCTTTAGTTTCATTTTTTTTCCATTCATCTATCTCTATGGGCGTTTTTTATTGTTCTATTCTTGGTATATATGAAGCAAGCGGCATTTTGTCCTCATCATCATCATCATCATCGTCATTGGTCAGGTTGGAGGGGAGGACAAAGGCGTATGTATGCATGCATGTATATTTGTATGAAGCAAGTATTTAGGTTAATCTTTTCTAGAAGCCTGTTTTTAGCAAGCTATGTATGGAGTTGAATGGAAATCAGTTTTAAAAATTATCGCAGTTTTTAAGTGAAACATGTGAGCGGAAAAGAAAACAATAATTTATTATGCATTGAATATAACTATCTGTATACACTCTAGCCTACCTAACGAGAAAAAGAACCTAGTCGAACCTTGTAAATGTAGAATCTATACTCGTCTTCATAACTCCATCTACTCACTGACGATACACCCAGTCCTACTAAACATACCCTTCCCCTACCGGTTCACCTCACACACCTCAGCCTTTCCGCTTATCAAGCTCCCCACGCACCTCCCGCTGAACCCTAGGCATCTTGACCGCGTATTTTGAACTAGCAAGACTAAACTTTGCTTCAGACCTCGTCACACGTCTGGCAGCCGACGTAACATTTGGAGCGCTAGTATCACGCTTAGAGCGGCGCTGTCGATGTGTAGTAGCGACAGGGGCAGCGGGAGCGTCATCAGTGTCAGCATCAGTGTCAATGTCCGAACTATCTTCCTGATATGACGACGACGACGAAGAAGAAGAAGGGCAAGAAGAAGATGACACAGGGATGATCTTGAGACGCGAGGTCTTGGTAAGCGGGGTCTTGCGGGGTACGAAGGGTGGGGTAGGAGGGGAAGAAGAGGAGGCGTCGGAATGAGGGGTGCATGTCTCGCTTGATTCTGCGGTCGAGGGTTGGGATTGCGAGGGGCCGGGTGGGGGGAGGGGAGTGTCGTCTAGATCTATGAGGTTGGGGGTTTGGGCTACTAGTAGCGGCGTTATAATAGATGATGCAGGTGAGTGCTCAGTTGAACCTTGCCGCTTGCAAACGCCACCACCAGGTTTCTGTACTACCTCGCTGCCGGGTGCATATCGGTCTTCGGATCTACGAGCGCGGAACGTCAGAGCATCTGGGAATGATCGTGCAGGAGGCATATTTTCAGCAGGCGGCTCTAGACTTTGACTTCTTGCTCTTCCTCCTACTTTGCGCTGCATCCAAGTTAGTGGCTTGGCAGGAGAAACAGCATTTCTCTCCCTCCACCACCTGGGCGTGCCGCGGGTGAAACCTAGTTCGCGGAGCTTTTCAGTCCCAGGCATTTCGTGCTTGTATTTGCACCCTGTGTGCATCCATCTACATTCGCCAGTTGCTATCCAGTGTGTACAATATACTTTTTTTGAGGGTTCTGGGCCGGGGTTAGAGTTGTTGTACCCAGATCGCTGGGCTTCCCTATGGTACACGGCGTCAGCTAGCGACGACTGGCGTTCAGACCGAGTGGTGGACGGCGTGCCTAGGCATTCGTATGTACCAGCTGCTAGTGTCTGCGGCGACAACCGGCCTGAGTAGCCAAGAGCTATGTTTGTGTTCTGTGATTCAGTCCGGACGTTGTGGTCAGGTGCGAGATATTGAGGCTTCCCATCTGGAGAGCAGTGCGAGGGGCTATCGTTGGGAATGGGTGCTTGGACTGAAAGCACAGAGGGCGCGTCTTTTGTTTCCTTGAATAGCTTCCAGCCCTGGTCTGACATTTGACGATGTGTAAGTTGCCGCGGAATCCCCTTGAGTTGGAATGGTAGCTGGTCGGCTGGTATGAGTGGCACCATGGTATTTCCGCGGAGAAGATAGCAACGGAGATCTTCTGGTAACGAGCAGATATTCTGGCTTTGGGTGGCCATGGTGGAAACGACACGTGCTATACTGCTAAGTAAAGATTGTGAGCATGATGACTGAATAGAAAGTGAAAGGTAGAATGTAGAAACCAGACGGCCGCTTTATTCGTCGTTGGACGACTGTGCTTGAGATAGCAAACAGAAACATTGGACAAGTCAGCAAACGGCTTGCCATCAAGGTGCAAGCACCCGACAAGCTGTTGCTCATGGCGGCTATCCGCACTACTGGCTGTTTCCATCTTACTTGCAATTTATGTGTGCTCAGAGACCAAGATCCGGTAATGACAAGCAAAAAGAGTGCAGGACAAGCAGAGAGCAGCTGTGCGAAGCCGACATTTGCCCGCAGTTCTCATCAGTGTTGGTGACGTCAATTGTGTTCACATGAACCGAGGTGCGACAAGCTCCGAGACCTGCTAGCAAGACATTTTACATGAGGCTTGGGAGAGGCTGCTAGTTATTCTGTTGGATTCGTAAAGTCAGGAGCAGAGTTCGGAGATTACTCCAGGGCAGCTGAAAGTACGGTACGTAAAGTTTGCTTTGCAGCTGACTAGTAATCATCCGTAGGGACCCGGCCTGCATTGGCTCCGGCATTCGTGACTACCGGAACGCTAAACTGCTTGACAACACCACTCACGCGGCACGGAGCCTCACAACGTAGCTGATGCTCTGTGGCTGCGACGGCATGTCCCCCTGTTCAGGGCTGTGATGAGCAACCCACGTCTCCGCGCTGTCATCCCTGTGCAGATTGATTGGCGCCATGCTCACATCTGCCGAAACAAACTAACCCTTATGTACCCAACACCAAGCTTGTTCTGACTGTGCTATCACCTAAGAAGTCCGATATTTGAGATTTTCCATGCTCGCCTCGGAGCGTCTCACTGTACCAAGACCGCCTTGCTCCTCCTAGCCTGTTTCACATACCCCACGGTCAACACTCCGACTGTGTGGATATGAAAAGGTTGCTATACGAAGTTCCCTCTTATGAAACAGTCACCTTTCGGCAGTCGTTTTCTGGCACCTTGCGTGAACGCCTAATCCATGTACCCCACATCTGTATACGAATGCGCCTTTTTCGTATCAGCTGTTTATCATCGCCCATCTACCTGTGTATACGGCTAAAGAGGCGCTAATCAAAGTCACTATAATGACTCGGGAAACAAATATTGCTCAGCACATGCCACCCGCGAGTCAGTGATGAACGAGATCTCCGTTACTAGGTTGCTGCTGGGTCTCCGAGGTCCACAATGCCTCTACCATCCTAGTCCAAGCAATGTACCGCTTGGCTGGGTCATGCGGTAAAGAAACCGAGACTTTAGTGCCTGTCTGATAACCCTGCTACTCTTCCTCACGTCTCCATCTTGTACCCTTAGGATCCTCTTGGAAAAAATACCTCTTCCTGACATGGACCTCTTCTAGCGAATCATGAGACGACGCGTGATCTACAAAGCTCGACAACTGACGATACTAATCGAACGAAGAGCTACACCACCATGACATCCGATAATCGGAAGCAAGAGGTCCTCGCAGTAGCAATCCTTTTCTTCGTCTTGACATGGGTCACTGTCTGCTTGCGAGTCTATGTACGCCTATGTCTGAGAACAATATGGGGAAAAGATGACTCGTACATGGTTGCAACACAAGTACGTACACTGCTCGCCTAATAACGCTGCGGCACTAACCCAACCACCCAGTTAGTATTCACTGTTTATCTTTGCTTTCAAATCGTTGCAGCAGTACATGGAACTGGCCAGCATCGATGGCGTCTAAGCGATCACGATGCAAAGACCGCACTACTAGTCAGTCATATGCCTTTTGTCTCAACCTCAGTTACTGACTCAAGATAGTTTTGGTACTTGTGTGAAGTCATGTACGTAGTGACCAACGGCCTTCTCAAGTTTTCCATTGGGTACTTCTATCTCCGAGTCGCCGTCAAGCGAAACCACATCTGGTGCATACGGATATTGATGGGAGGCACTGTTCTGTGCTGTTTGATTTACTTGTTCTTGGTCATGCTCCAGTGTTCTCCTGCTAAGTCCTGATTCAGAAGTTGTACGGCATTTTTGTTGATGATGTTTAGTCTCAGCATTCTGGGAGATACATCCTGCTTCAAGCAAATGTATACCAAAAGGCCCAACCCTAGGCATCAGTTACGCTCTCGCCGCTATCAACGCCGCGGCCGATTGGATATTGGGATTACTTCCTTTCTGGATGGTCTGGTGCCTGAATATGAAGACGAAGACCAAGATCGTGGTTGCGTGTATCCTTGCGTTTGCTGCCATGTACGTTGTCCGTATCGTCAGCTTACAAAGTGCTAACGAGCGGTTAGTGGGAGTACAGGCACCGTCGTCCGCATGGGATACATACACACACTTTATGACGGCCCTGATTTTCTCTGTACGCATTTCCATTTTTCGCCATATACAACAATGGCCTTTCATTCGCTAACTGCACCTTCTAGATGCTACGACCGATGTCGCCATATGGAGCACAGTGGAACCTGGTATAGGCATCGTAGCAAGTAGCATCGCAACTTACCGACCGTTAGTATACCACATACTGCAACTTCTCGGCTTTGCAGATGCACCCTATGAGCAAAGCACATCCTTCGACTACACCGGAAAAGGCCGCGATTACCGCCGCAGCCTGAGCGTATCGGATCTGGTGCCTACGGAAATGGGAATCATGACTTCACACGTCACAGGGCCTGCTCCTACGGGCTGGGGCGGCGCCCCGCGGACCCCGAAAATTGACATTTCAGATGAAATATTGCCGCATACTACTACGCCCGACAATCAGATCTTGCAGACGGTGTCAGTACACCAGCAAAGCGAAGGGCCGCCAAAACTCGAGCTGCGGGCCAGCTTCCATAATAACCTTGCTAGAGGCAGTATGTTTAGTCTTGGAAGATTTCGAATACCTGAATGAGATAAACATACTTAATTTTGCTTACAACCATGCCTAGTTTTAATGTTTTATATGAACACAGCTTTAATGATAGGGACTTCGTCACATGGCGTTTATACGTTCTGGGTGTTATGGCTGAGCTCAAACGTCCATGTATCACACACTCTTGGTATTGAACCAAAGGCCATGCCACAAGCCGTCTCTATGAAGACGCCAAATACTCTACTTCTCAAACCCACACTTCCCAAACTTCCTCTCCAGATCCACCCATCTCAACCCCACACGACTAGTCCACTTACTTCTCCCACTTGATCATTCCTAATTACCCTCCTTCTCTAACCCCCCCACCCCTCCTCCCATTAACCTCAACACACCACCCCACAGCCTCCTGCCACGTCCCCTCCATCTCCGCATCATCCACCTTGCACCCCCTCTCCTGCAGCCCCTTTATTGCCAAATCGCGAAAAAACCACCAACTGGGCAGGAAATTAAGTTTCGCAAGCGCCGCAAGCTTCAGTGGCGAAAACATGGCGCCGTACTGGCATGCCCGCTGCAACAGGTCGCCATGAGCGAAAGCGACATTCCACATGGCGTGCGCGATGTCGTTGATGGGTGTGCTGGTCAGGCGCGTGGTGGTGGTGGGTGGGGAGGAGGGGAGGAGGTGTGGGTTTGATTGCAGGACGTGGGTGAGGAGGTTGGAGAGGAGGTAGGCTATTTGGGCGTTGGTGGTTGCGGGGGGCGAAGATGGAGGTGGCGGTGCGGGCGTCAGTGTGACTGGTGGGAGGAAAGGAGAGGAAAAATCGGTCGGGGGCTGGTGAGTTGGTGAGTTGGCGGTTTGGTTGAGAGACTCGTTCTTAGCCAGGCTGATGGAATGGTTGAAGTGACGGTTGGTGGGCTGCGGGGTGGACTGTATTGCTGTTAGTTTGTTTCTGGCTTGTCGTTCGCAAGTCATGGTTTCAGAGTTGCTTCGAGATTGCGACTGATTGTTCAGATGTGGTGTACTTACGCTAGTGCCTGTGTTGTTCGTTTCATTCGTAGAAGAGTCCGCCGGCGGGGTCATCTGGGTCATTGGTGCTGTGAACCTATAGAGGTTGGTGTTGAGCTGTTGACTAGGAAAGCTCATCTAGTAAGGTTCCGTCAATTTATGTCTTGGTGATACTAAGAGCAAACTCACCTTATTTTTGATCTTTCTTCTATCCACCACGGTAACGAGAGTATCAACGACTGCTTTCTCGGACTTTCGACGAATCGAAATCTTTTGTTTCTCCTGGGTTTTGTGTACGGAATGACACAGAAAGTGGGGTTGTTAACTGCTGCTGGGCTTTTGTAGAGTGAGTGAGCCTTGAGTTGAATTCACAAGTCCCTACACGACCTGAAAAGTGTCCTTTCACTACTCATCCTCTATGACTTTCGCTTGTTTCGTTGGTAGTGGCGTAGCTCTTATTACTGTAGTGACTATTGGGGTACGCTAAAGTAATGTGAATGAGAGGGAAGAAGATCCGATGGTAAACCGTGAATGTAAAGCGCGTGCGAAGTTAGAAAGCCTATTAACAGATATCCTGTACGCGTGAGAAGACATAGGCAAGGTAGTGACTGCGATACTAAAGTGGAAAGTCAAGTTCAGCCAAGCATGGCATAGGCAATTGCGATGTGCTAAGTCTTGTCCAGTTGCCTTGTTAAACTCTGTGTAAAGCAGAGTTACTGCTGTAAAAGTCTTAAAGAAGGTGCGTAACTTCTGCTTAGCACGTACTTAGGCAGCTCGATTGAACCCAACAAGCAACGTACTGAGATATAGATGGCAAAGATTGCATGTGCGACTGTCAAGTACCTTTGTAGTAAAATCAATTTTTTTATTGAACACTGTACGGGAGTGGAAGAAACGAGATGAGGCGAACGTGAGGAATGCACAGTTTGGCGGAACCAATCAAATGAAAAGGCAGATATATTCTAAATACCCATGATAGCCCGTGTTCAGGATAAAATTCAAAATCTGGGCATGATAGAATGATCTTCTTAGGTAGCTAAATTCACCATAAAGCTGGTACCACTCGGTACCTGGGTATCGTTGGTCCCAGAATAACTACACCACCATTCCAAAGTTCCTTCCTTGCAGTAGAACATGGATGATGTATCTCATTCTGAACGCCTTGCATCCATCACCGTGACAGTTTCTCGCAAAATAGAGTTTGAGTTGAGGCACAAACGCTAAGTCCGCCCGCGCGCATTCACCTTCCGCTTCGCTCTCGTCTTCTTCGGGGGCGGTGTTTTCTCTTCCTCAGAATCGCCAATATCCTCTTCCCCAGACTCCATCACCTCATCTTCACTCTCTTGCTTGGCCTTCTTTTTCGGCCGGCTGTTCGTTTTCTGCTTCTTTCGGTTGGCTTCGAATAGTTCCTCAGGCGGTTCCTCCATGGGTGTGGATCGCTTGGAGCCTCGTGATTTGGGTGCATACTTGGCCTCAAGAGAATCAAGGAAGTTGCCTGCTCGTGCCTTTTGTCGTTGTTGGATCAGAGTTGCTAGTCCTGCCATATCATCCGTGCTGCTCTTCTTGCTCTTAGGCTTTGCCTTCGCCTTTGCTTTTCCCTTGGTAGGCTCTGCCTTCTCTTCTTGTTCCTGAGCCTGCTGCTTGTCAAAGGCTTCGCGCCTCTTCCTTTCTACATCCTTAGCTTTTTCACGTGTCTCGTCCGTCTCTTTCTCATATGCGGGATATGAACTAACCGTGCCATTGGCAATCTCTTCGTCAAGGATCTTCCTGAACCGCTCGTCGTCCACCAAGATATCGGATAGCATGACAATATCGTACACTTTGTTCAGGTTGCCCTTGGTCTTCTTGAATGCGTTGATCAAGTCCTTGCGCTCCTCTTCGCTGCCTTTGTATTCATCAGAAATCTTATTGATGGTTTCTTCGTTGATGATATTCCTAAACTGCTCGCGGAAGAAGTCAAGCCAGTTAAAGTCGTCGTCATCTTCCAGGCTCTCTGCTGTACTGCCGGTGAGATCATAACGTTTACGCCTTCGGTCGTCGGAAAGTACTGCGTATGCGAATGCGATCTCTTGAAAGGCCTTGTTGGCGGCTTCTTTCTCATCAGGCGCAGCCTTGTCTGCAGTTGTCAGTAAGAGAGGAGCCTGATACCTAATGAGGGGGCGTACCTGGATGACACTTGAGTGCCATTTTGCGATATGCCTTTTTCACATCATCCGCTGTTGCTTGAGACTCAAGGCCCAGGACCTCATATGGGTCAATAGTAGGTGGGCCTTCGTCACCAAGATCATGCTCTTCATCTTCGCTGTCATGATCATTTGCGAAGTCTTCTTCCATGGGGTCTTCGGCCTCTGTGTTCTTGCGTTGTTTCTTCGCCATGTTGTTTGATTGTTGTTGTGTTGGTATGGGAAGTGAGGCAGTGGTAGGTTGATAAATCGAGGGACGCGACGCGACAGTGAGCCCGGACTTAGCGGAGCTAACTAGCCTCACTGTCATCTCTACTATCGCCTGTCGACCAGAACACGCATTATTTCACCCACCTTCCCTTACCAGAAATGTCAACATTACTCGACTGGGATGGCCCAACGCCTCCTTTGCCGGGCCCAGATCCCAATGATCATCTCCAGTACATGCGCCTTGCCCTTGATCAAGCGCAGGAATCACCACCAAAGCCTTCAAACTTTCGAGTGGGTGCCTTATTGGTCGATGCAGATACTGGCACAATCCTATCAAGAGGCTACACTCTAGAATGCGAGGGTAATACGCATGCAGAGCAATGCTGTCTTTTAAAGTTTGCCAAAGCACACAATTTGCCAGAAGAACGGGTTGGCGAAACCCTTCCTCCAAACACCTCCATCTATACTACTATGGAGCCTTGCAATCTTCGACTAAGCGGCAACCTGCCATGCGCAGACCGGATCATCAGAACCAAGGGGGCAAATGGGGAGCAAAAAATTAAGAGAGTCTACCTAGGCGTCAAGGAGCCAGAAAAGTTCGTTGGCGAGAACCAGGGAAGGAAGAAATTGGAGGAAAATGGTATCGAATGTATTCATGTACCTGGCCTGGAGGATCGGATATTGGAAGTCGCTACCGCAGGCCATGTGCAGTGAATGATTGTATATGAGAATGTTCAAATCTACGCGTGTAATGCATGAAATCGGATCTTCACATGATATGAGCAAATTTCAACGGGAAAGCGCCGAAGGGAATCGATCGATACAATCATAGCTGCTCCAACATTCAGAAGATATTAGGGCGCAGGTTGCAGTTCCCAAAATCCCAATAGCAGTATAATGCAAATGTATAATCCCGCATCGGGAGTAGGTTCCCGCTCACAAAACCCCCCGCGTTCTCGAGATCGTCTGGATCAATCTCACCTAGGAAGACCGATGGCGTCATGACTATTTCCACAGTAATGCATCCCATCACCAGCACCGATGAAGACGCATTGCGCAACCAAAGAACGCCCACCTAACAAGCAGCGCATCATGCTCAATGCTCCGATATGACGCGTTTCATAAACGCACGTGGTCGGGGCAATCCCAAAAAGAGGTCTCTTGGATACGGGACATATACTATTTAATTCTTACCTCTTACCCCAGCAAATCTCACTTACTTTCTCACAATGCTAAGCTACATCCGCCCAGCTCCTATTCAAACACTCAAGACATTTACAACACCCGCGTGCACTCGCATTCTCAGACCCAGCAGAGCAACCATGGCAACTTCAGCTTCAAACATCAACATCGAGACCAAGGACGTGCAAACCGCACCTGGCGTCACCCTCAGTGACTCGCAGCAAACAGTCGTACGCTCGGTACTAGACCTCTTCGCCGGCCGCCCTTCGTTACGCAAACTGTCGCTGTGGCGCGACGACGCCACCTTTGTGGACCCTCTTACCATCGCCCAGGGCCGCGGCAAGTATGCCGCACAGTGGTACGGACTTAAAGCCGCGTTCTCGGAAATCGAGCGGTTGGAGCACCAGGTCAAGGATGCGGGGAACCCTATCTTGATGGATCTCAAGACGAGATATGTGGTCAAGGGGATTGGCAAGGAGCAGATTATTCAGAGTGAGGTTGTGATTCATTTGGATAGCGAGGGCAAGATTGAGAAGCTCGAGGATAAGTGGAATGGGAAGTTGCCTGAGAATGCCATTGCGAATGTGAGTTTGATTGAAAAATTATTAACATGAAATAGACTGCTGACACTTTTTGATAGGCTTTCCGGCATCTGAATGCTGTTTCGGTACCTCTCATGATCAAGGTACCAAAGGATGATGAAGAAGATGCAAAGATGGGCAACCTATGATCGAAGTACATGTATTCGTAATTCGTAAAATCGTAATCGCAGTTACTGTCTATCTGATTATGCTCCGTTAAACATTCTCCCCAGCGCAAAATGCATAAAGAATGCAACGATGCCCGCACCCGCGCTCAGCACCTTCAAGCTTGGGGCTCCCGCAACGATCAAGATTGTGCCACATGATCCCTGTTCAGCTCTTGGTAGATCGGGCCCATTCATGGTGATTGTAGCGCAGAAGCCACCTTGCGCAGGGTCTGGTTGGTGGTACACCGTGGTCTGAGGTGGCACAGCGTAGACTGTTTGTTGCTGAGGGTATACCGTCACAGTAGTGACTTGCGCGACGTTGACGACTCCTCCACACTGGTTTCCGTTCGGACAGCAGCCAATCAATCCGTTGGAGTTGGCGGGAACGGCGCATTGGTAATTTGACGGGCAACACCTGGTCCTGATCAGCAAAGGGACCACTTTTGCACATGCTTCTTCTGCTACTTACCAACTAGGATGGTCGACATTACTACAGCTTACTGAGGCGGACGACGGACACCAATTCTGATCTTGTGCGACAACTTGCTGTCCCTCTGGATTCACGATATACACCGCGCCAGAGAAAGGCGCATTATTTGTGTACTGCTGCGGCATAGCCTCTGGCTTTGCGATCGGCTCCGCAGTACAAACTGTCAGCGACGACAAGAACAGGCTCCATGGCGTAAGGAATCGCATTGCGCTAACTAGTGAGGGCAGAGGCTGACAAGCGGATGAGACGGGATTAACGAGTCCTCACAACAATGAAGCGACTATGTGATTTGCTGTAAAATGGTAGGGTTAGTATTGCGACTCGAAGAAAGCCGGGACTCGAGGAGAGAAGAGGATTGGGAGCCAGCAGTCGTCGGGCGCGCAACACAGGGCTGCTACCTTGCTTATGAACTGGGCGGACTATGACCTTGGAAGCTCTACAAAGAGCTGGGATAGCTCCGAAGCTTGCTGCATATGGAGCTAACTGGTCGCGGAAGACAGCATCATGCCGGCGCTTGGTGGGGACGCGCATCATCGGCAGCCCTGACTGCATCGCGGGTCTAGCACAATATTCTGTGGGCCGAATTCATTGCTTTTTTTGCGGTGGACGACGAAACGGCGGTGTTGAGGTGCGCTGGTTCTGTCGTGGTCGGGTGGATCCTGAATCATGCTTGCCGCCCAACATCTACAAGGAGAAAGTTGCGTGGCAGGAAGAGGGTACCCAGGGCCCTAAGCTGACTTTTTGCGATACGAAAAGCCTGGATTGCTCCCTGCAAGTGCGCGCAAGCCTCGGGCTTGGGAGCGGCAGTGTCGGATGGTGTGGCATAGTGAGGCGCATGCATGTCTATGGTGAGCCCAAGTGCGCGGATCATCCGGTAAGGTGGGGTTACTAAACAAGTCTAGTCCCTGGACTCGAGAGAATCACGTGATAGCGTAAACGGGGCGTGCCTCTTTGCGCGTCGCGTGAACCTCGCTTCCATCCCACCTTGGGCATCGTCACCACAATATGACATGTCAACGCTCCGGCCGACGCGCCCCTATCGACTGTATCCCGCTTATTGCTTTGGTGCATCTCCGACTTTCAATACATGGGTGAAGCTCACTGTTGCCGATGTGCATGCTCTCCGGTCTGAGAAGGACTTCGAAGGTGATAGCCGCCACTATTTTATAATACCCAACTGTTGCTGAGACATCCGCAGGACAGCGCATATACTTCTATCATAACCACCCTATTCGATATGTTCGCATAATCGGCGTTGTTGTAGCCATCGATGACATCAACCTCAAGTATACGGTCCTCACCATCGATGACGGAAGCGGAGCGATTATCGAGCTGAAGATTGTGCGGGAGCTGCCAGCAGAGAAGAACCCCGTTGATACTTCCTCGCCCACAGAGATTGAAAATGTTGAAGTCATCAGTCGGCTTGGCATCTTTGAGGTTACAGTAGACAAGCAACCCCTGGACATTGGATCCGTCCTTAAAGCCAAATGCACCATATCTGAGTTTAGAGGCACAAAGCAGCTGGAATTGAAACGAGTTTCCCTTGTCACAACGACGGATGAAGAAGCACGCGCTTGGGCAGAGACAGCCACTTTCAAGCAAAAAGTACTGGCCAAGCCATGGCACATTTCCTCGACCGAGCATAAGAAGATAAAACACGATATCAAGACTGAGAAGAAGCGACAGCGGGAATATGAGCGACGCAAGGCGGAGTATGAGGTTAAGAAAGAAGAACATAGACTGGCGAGAGAGGCTTACTATGAACAAAGAGAAAAGAAACTCGAGGCTCGGCGCCGGAAAGAGGAGGTTATGATGAATGCTGGCGCCTTGATTTGAAGCATGGTTGGGTCAAGGAAGTAACCCGGTGGTCAAGCCCCTGGATCTCCTTTTAGTTCTTGATTAATCTCCTTGCCGAAGAGTTTCTTATGATTCTGGTATCGCACATCATGTGAGAAGTCTGGAGTTGGTTCGCCTGTAGCGCTACATGTTCCACATGCAGTCCTCATTAGCCATAACAGAGGTGATCTAGTAAAGATTCCGGCATTCGTGACCTAACTAGACGCTAGCCGAAGACGGAGATTCCTAATATCTTAGCACGGTTGCAGTTGACAAGAGTAGAGATTCTTACAACTAATCAGATCGCATTTCTTCGTGCACGAAAACCCGTCTAAGGACTAATGGTAATATGTAGCTAAAGCTACAGTAACCGTGCTGGACAATCATATTTGACTAGTTTCTCCATTAGACCTAGTCGTTAAATCAGGCTTCTTGATATCTTCCAAACTAATTGGGTATCTTCGTGCGTTCTGAGCACGAGATTGGCGGCAAAGAGCATTGAAAGCGGGACCACACCCAATCATCACGGCTATGGGTATTCTGTTAAATCATCAATCCCACTGAACCAAGTAGAGGTTAGAGCTCACCCATTGACGTCTCAATTGTTGTCCACATTTGGAGCCACTTCGGATCGGGTATCTTTGGGATACCGTTATTTGTACTGACTTGAACAACACGGAGAGTTGCGAACAGCTGGTATTGGATTACAAAGTCAGTTGAACTGTGATTCACAAATTCGGGTTTTGCTTGCTTACAATGCATATCCAGCCACTGTCAAAAAGTATAAAAATACCAGTCTTCTGGATTCTGGGCAATGAAGGTTCCAGGTTATTCGGAATGGAAGAAACATGACTTTGAGCATCAGTTCAGTAAGGAATTCCAGAGAAAGTAGAAGCCAGTACCTGCAAGATTGGTAGCTACATCTACCGCATACGCAAACCACAAGCTGAACTGGGCGCGTCTCTGTTCGCGCGGTTTAGCACATATGCCCTGATTGTACTCTGCCCTTTGATCGTCCCACAAAAAGATTGTAGTCAACGAGCTCCCGATAAAAGACTGCGTAATTATTAATAAACTTCGAGTAAAGCGATCCAGCCATTATACTTACAAGATGTAAAATCCCAAAACAGCCCACCAGATGATGATATACCTAGGACCCGCCTTACTCACCAGAAGCCGGTAAAACGCTAATAGTGAAAGTTTCACAAAAGTGAGACACGCATAGAACAAGAGCTGCCCAGCCGTCATCCACCTATGCACCATCCCCGCGTCATGTACTACAGCCAAACCACGCGTTGGTTGCACCCCATCCAATTGACTTAAAAAAGACAAAACGAAATACTCACGAAGCCCCTGATATGCCGGTCTTTCCCCTCTCAGAACACTCTCAGCACGATACAAAGGATCGTTTTCCAGATACATAACTACCATGAGCACGTAACATACGTATGCGATGTAACTAAGGATATCCTGTGCCTCTCCTGCTTTTTTCCCCATCACTCGAAGAATGAAGCGGATAGCGAAGACGAGGAAAGTAAGGGTGAGCATAGCAATGTTAATGCCATCGAGGCAGCATCTACTGAGTGTATCTGGCAGCTTTGCCTTGGTCGAGACAACGTCGTGCAATTCGCTGGATGCCATGGCGATGTGCTTCTCTTGTTTGATAGGCAAAGTACTGGTAGGATAGCAGGGAAGGTTCGGTCGGTGTAGAATGCGGTTGTGTATATTGAGTCTAGGGATATGGTGGTATGGGAAACCTGTTGGAATCAGGTTGAGCTAGAAATGTGGTTTAAGCGCTAACTTTCACAGGACTAATATCCGCGGGAGCGCTGGAAGAGGCGATTAACACGGCGATGAATGCTGCTTTGTGGTACGGTATAGTTGTGACTCGCGCCGGGATCTAGGATTGAGTCACGCGTCATGTTGTTGTTTGTGTGTAATGGATTAATATGTTGTAGCAAATGGCTTCTAGAGACAGCTGCGAATGCATTTTCTGGTCTATCACGATTGCCTTCCAGATTTCCCTAGTTACACAGCTGGATTGTCACCAGTATTTGAGATCTGGTGATATGCCCAGAAGATGAACGAATCTTGTTCCCTACACGTTACTACCTGCGATTTTGCCACCAGCTAATATCGTTTATCACTCTCATCCCTTTCATATTCCTATTCCGTAAGCTGTATTCTGTTAACCAATAGACCTAGTTCCATCCCTTGCTTAACATGTCAGCTACCGTTGTATGACAACCAGCAGTTGTGTTCAGCCCTCTGAGGCGTCATTGAACCCCGCTAAACCAGGCCAGGAACGGCACGCACTGGGATTGCCCACTTGACTACTTCCAGACCCATCCTTTAACCACCCCGCATGCAGCATCTATCCACCTTCCTCATACAGCAGTGGCGATTCACCAATCATTAGCACATGCAATCGAATCTCATTTGTTCTGAGGGACCTGCATATGGAACCCAGTCGCCATGCAGGTCAACATTTTATGCTAGGAGCACCCAGCCACGAAACCTTTGTCCTTTAATTCTCCACCTGCCTTTGAGATGGACAAGAAATTTTGCTAATCTCATTGCGCTCTTCCCCAGCTCACATCCAACATGAGAGTTAAGAGCCTCCTTTCCTTTGGAGCTCTTGTCGCAAGGGCAAGGGCAACCGCACAAGACAGCAACGCCATCTTTGAACCCCAAGATTTCAACGTCACTGCAGCTCTCGAAAAAATCGGTGTCGATGTTTCGAAAATCCCAGACCCAGAGTCTGATTCTAAACTCACTACGCGATCTTTAGCCCCGCAATGTTCACATGCGGCAAGTTATCTCCATATTTCGAAAGAACTATATCGAGTCCTAACAAAACCCCAAGTGTACAGCCTTATCCATACTTTTCAGCTCCGAACAAGTTCTACCTGGAAACGCAACTGCGTACAACAACTTCACAAGCTCATACTGGTCAGCTCAACAAGGCGCACTTCGTCCCTCATGCGTGTTTAAGCCCAAGTCAACGCTAGAAGTGTCTACTGTAGTTCTTGTCTCAAGATTGTACCAATGTCCCTTTGCGGTAAAAGGCGGCGGTCATGCAGCGTGGGCTGGGTCTTCTAGTATTGAGAATGGTATCACAGTTTCGATGGAAAATTTTAGGAAAGTAGAAATAGCGTCCGATAAGCAGAGTGTGGATATTGGGCCGGGGCTTCGCTGGATAGATGTGTATACTGCGATTGAGAAAGACGGGCTTAGTGTTGCAGGAGGTCGGGTAAGTTCATGCAGCCATTTTCCGCATTGTTTTCTTGCTAACGGCTAGTCAAGATGGCACCAGTCGGCGTACCTGGTCTCCTTCTCGGAGGTGGCATTTCCCATTTCGCCAGCAAGCGTGGGTGGGCGTGTGACAACGTAGCGAGTTTCGAGCTGGTTACTGCTTCGGGCATTCCCATTGATGTCAGCGCGTCGTCCTACCCTGATCTATATTGGGCGTTAAGAGGCGGAGGTAACAACTTTGGAATTGTGACAAATTTCAAACTAGATGCTTTCCCGCTGAGCGACATGTGGGGAGGCCAGCGCGTCTACTTGGAAAACTCTTTTCCCACTGTTCTCGATGCAATCCACGAGTTTACCGTGACTGAATCAGTCAAAGATGAAGACGCCGCACAGATTGTTGTAAGTCTACATGCTTATCACTGACTTGGTGTAGTGCTAATGTTACCAGACGTTCGCCAGCGCCCCGGGCATTGGCAAAGTCGCTTTCGCAAACCTGCACTACGCCAAACCGATTGCTAACGCCTCAGTCTTTTCTAGCTGGAACGACCTCACCGCCATTCAGGACACCACCGGTCTTCGCCCAATGTCAGGAATGGCTAATCTTCTCAACGAAGGAGCTCCCGGACCAGGTGCCTACCAAACATGGTGGGGAATCAGCCTGAAAATGGACAGACAACTACTCGATTTCATAATTGAAACATTTTATACCCAAGAAGCCGCCATCGCAGACGTCGAAAAAATTCTACTTATCATGGCCATCCAGCCCATTACCGAAAACGCAATCAAAGCCATGCAAAAGAACGGGGGAAACGCCCTCGGCATCGATCCCTCGAACGGTCCCTACTTCATCCTGAACTTCAACGCTGCCTGGGTTAAACCCGAAGACGAACCAAAATTCCATGCCGTCATTGCCAGTACAATCAAGCTCATCAAAGCCGAAGCTCAAAAGAGAAACCTAGACAACGACTTTGTGTACTTGAACTACGCGTCAGAGTTCCAAGATCCGATTGCAAGTTATGGGAAGGAGAACAAGGAGAGATTGCTACGGATATCGCAAACGTATGATCCCAAGCAGGTGTTTCAGTATTTGCAGCCTGGTGGGTTTAAATTGGTCAAGGGGGCGCCAGATGGGAGAAAGCCGAATGCATTGTGATTGAGGGGTGGGTTTGCTTTGAAATGAGCGGGGAACAGACGGGGGTAGATCAGTATGGAAGTAGAGGAGCTAAATTAGTGAGCTAGAAATAAACATACTAGTGAAGATGTAATCTGTAAGTGAGGATGAGCGGAGCAAACTGAGGAGCGACAGGAGAAAATAGGCAGTTGTTGTTTTTTTCTAGATAGAAAAAGATGACATGTTGGATTTGTCTTTTATTCGCATCAAGCCTGAGAAACACAAGTGTTGACAAGTAGAGTAGTTGTAGCCCCTCCAAGCACTGTATTCACACCATCACTCAAGAAATCATCCAAAGTCAGATAAACAATGAACTGTAACTATGATAGATTTCTCCATCTCACATTATCCCTATATACACGATTAACCTTTTAAGAAGAGAAAAAAAAGGGCTCATAGCGAAATCCATCCTCTCATCTCTCTCGCACACATCGCACTTCTATGCTGGTATTTTTTTCCCCTTCCATCATCATTCAATCCAAATCCATATCCAAACCAAATGAAACCATAAACAAGGGAACATCTATCGTCCAAAGGGAAAAGAAAAAAGAGAAACAAATAAAAGGTGGGGGGGGGGGGATTCGCTAGACAATCTGTAAAAAAAGTCGTAAGAAAATCAGGAAGAAAGAATCAAAAAGTCCAAACTCAGCTTAGTGCTTGGGGCAGCAGCATACATGTGGACCACTCTCAATAACCTCCTTGGTAGCCTCATCCTCGTACTTCTTAAAGTTCTCCATGAACAACCTGCCCAACTTCTCAACCTCGTCCTGGAGGCTGGCAGTGCCATTCCAGCTGTTGCGGGGGTTAAGCAGGTCATCGGGAACACCGGTGCACTTCTTGGGGACCTGGAGGTTGAAAACCTCGTAGTTTTCGTATTCGGCGTTGGCAAGCTCGCCGTTGTGGATGGCGTCGAGGATGGCGCGGGTGAAGCGGAGGCTGCAGCGCTTGCCGCCGGTGGTGGCACCTGCACCGACCCAGCCGGTGTTGAGGAGCCAGGCGTTTGCGTTGTGTTGTTGGATCTTCTCGGCGAGCATCTTGGCGTAGCGCATGGGGTGTAGGGCGAGGAAGGGTTGGGCGAAGCAGGTGGAGAAGGTGGCTTGGGGCTCGGTGATACCTTGCTCGGTACCGGCCATCTTGGAGGTGTAGCCGGAGATGAAGTGGTACATTGTTTGCTCGGGGTTCAACTTGGAGATGGGAGGAAGGACACCGCGGGCGTCGCAGGTAAGTAGGACAATGTTCTTGGGGTGCTGGTTGGAGATGCAAGGGATCTTGGTGTTCTCGATGTACTCGATGGGGTAGGCGCAGCGGGTGTTCTCGGTCAGGGTATCGTCGTCGTAGTCTACAACACGGGTGACGGGGTCGAAGACAACGTTCTCGAGGATGGAGCCGAAGCGGATGGCACCGAAAATATCGGGCTCCTTCTCGGCAGAGAGACCAATGCACTTGGCGTAGCAACCACCCTCAATGTTGAAGATACCAGTGTCAGACCAGCAGTGCTCGTCATCACCGATCAAGGCACGCTTGGGGTCGGCAGAGAGGGTGGTCTTTCCAGTTCCGGACAGACCGAAGAAAACGGTAACGTCGCCATCCTGACCCTCGTTGGCAGAGGAGTGCAGAGTAAGCACGTTGTGCTTGACGGGCATCTCGTAGTAGAGGACAGTGAAGATACCCTTCTTCATCTCTCCAGCGTACTCGGTACCGAGGATAACCATCTCCTTGTCGGCAAAGTTGAGGGCAACCGAAGTCGACGAGGTCATACCGCTGGTATACCTGTTGGCAGGGAAAGCACCGGCATTGTAGATGGTGTAGTCGGGCTTGAAGTGCTCAAGCTCTTCACGCGAAGGGCGGATCAACATGTTGCGCATGAAGAGAGCATGGTAGGCACGAGCGCAGACGACGCGGACGCGTATCCTGTAGCGCTCATCCCAGCCGGCGAAACCGTCGACAACGTAGATACGCTTGCGGGTGTTGAGGTAGTCGATGGCACGCTCACGGTTGATGCGCCAGACCTGGTAGCCATGTCAGTATACAATGCATGATCAGGTATGATTAAGAGCACGTGATGGTATTCCCAAACGAGAGTGAATCGATCGGGAGAATGTGGGGCAAGCCGAGAACCCCAGACATGCGCCACGTGCAAGGATGCGAAGTTCCTCGGATATGCGCCTAGCGTGCATGACGTTTTGACGTTGATCTTCACAAGCCAATGCTTGCAATTTTACGTATTCGCGCGATTTTTGGACAGAGGCAAAGACCAGAAATGGGGTTCGGAGAAAAGGACTTACGTCAGTCTTCATTGGCTTGTTGACAGGACCCCACCAGACTTCGTGTTTTGACGAGTCTTCCTCGACGATGCGCTTATCCGAGGGTGAGCGGCCAGTCTTGGCTCCTGAGTATGCCGAGAGAGCGCCTGATGCTGTGATGGCGGAACCGGTCTCGTATACGAGGGCATCTTCGTATAGAGCAGCGACTGAAGGGTTGGCAATCTAGATGGGATTGCGGTTAGCATCGGAGTGTTGGGCGAATTATGTTTGGTAGTGAAAAACTTACAATAGCTACACGATCATAGTCAATGTGTGCCTTGTCGTGGAGCGACTCTTCAATCTCGGTGTGTCCCTTGCTGGGGCTAAGAAAAGAAAAAGTCAGCCATGATGATTCTTGGTCGAAAGCCAGTTGATGGTGCAAGCATGTGAAAGCAAGGGCCAGACTTACAGAACACCAGAAGGGTGGAGGTTGGTCTTGTTTACAGATTGGGAAACCATGTTGAAGTTTAGGATGGGGAGAATTGGGGAGATGGGGGAGGAATGGAAATGGGAAAGCTGTTGCTTGGACACCTGATGACGGGCAAAGTCTTGTGTCGAAGTGGGTTGGATTGCAGTTGAAGTAAGGGGGAATTGAGTCCTTTTAATAGTTGACGAAGATGTTCTGACGACGCTGCTGGTGCTGAGTGTGGCAGTGGAGGGCCGGGGACGGGCTAGGGCAGCGGGCGGTGATTGGACGAGGGGTGGTGCTTGGATGCTGGCAGCGCCCGTCGGCTCACGAGGGACGAAAATAACGCGGAGCAGGGCTGGCGAGGTGGAAATGCTCGGAAAAGACACTCGGCAAGTGTAATAATGGGCTCCAGCTGTATGGCTGAAGCGGCCAGGGCTGATCAGCGGCATGGGGATGCTCGTGTGCACTGCTCTGGTCGAGCTGGATAGAACAGACAGTCGAGTGCGGTCACGGTTGTGTCATGGTCGTGGTAGACGACACCGTCGCCCTCCCAGCAGCCCTCGTGACGGCGGGCAGACGAGCAGGCGGGCGTAAAGGGCAAATGCAGCAGCTGGTATTGGTCTGGCTGGCCTGGGTTGCACTACCCCACATTCACCCCCGCCCCAAAGCGGAAAGGCGGCACAGCCTGTCGTCATGGCTCCCGCATTCTTGTCATGATTATGTAATGGACATTTTGGCGTCTTGAAATCGGGAGAACCACAGTTCGCCATGGATACAGCCACACCTGCCTCTGCTCACAGCCGTCGCAGGCTGTCCGGCAGTTGTGCTCGTGCCAGTGCTAGCCAGCGGCATTGCTAGTGATGGATGGATGCATCACAAGTACATAATAATAATAATAGTAGTAGTAGTAGTACTAGTAGTAGGTGAATATAGCAGGTATGGTATAGTAGCGTATAGTAAAACAGCACATGGCACCGCGGTCGGTAGTAGTGGCGGTGTACGTACGTGCCTGGACGTACCACTTACATGGTTGCACATGCGAGGCGGTGCAAGAGGGCCCAAACCAAAACCCTCGTCTCATGTCTGTTCCGATATCAGCTCGTGTGCTGTTTGCGGGCGACGCACCAACCCCTGCACGATGATGGAAAGGCCGTTTGGGCTGCCAGCGTCCATTGCCCGTTGCACAAATCACCGCTCTCGGACGGATGGGGGCTGGTCGCCCTCGGAAAAGCTGAGGCATTTGGACAGGCCCATCCACGTTCCACATGCACAATACGCGCTGCTACCCGGGCTGATTCTGACTTTTCTGCTCCTCGTGTCAAGTGCCGCGTAGGCCTTCACAGGCTGCTGATAATCCCGCAATCTCATTTTACTTTTTTTTAAAACCTTGGATGCGAAAATAGCCCTCGGCAACCCGTGGCCAGCTGGCAGACAACTGACAGCGGCCAGCGTGCATGACGTGCGCAGTAGGGATCATGGATTTTGCAGTATTGGAATGCTATTCATGACTAACAGGTACGGCGCGTGATGGAGTGCACTGAGCCGTGGCCTGCTCTAGAAGCCCACAAAGTGTTTTGCGGGGAAAATGCATACCCAGCAACGCCTAGCAGGCCCAGCCTTGCACGTTCCGGCCGCGGGTGCGCTACGACTTTTCCCGAGGTCCCACTCAAACAACAACCACACACACGACACACGACACTCAGCCATACGCCGCTGCTACCCTTTCACCCTCATGCGACCTCTCCCTTTTCCGTCCTCGCCTTCTCCCGCCGTGATTCCTTCTTCTGCTTGCGTGCAGATGCGCTAAACTTGTCCTTTATCTGCCGCAGACCCCCAAGATACAGCCATGTACACACAAACACGACTGCAAAGTTGAAGAAGATGTATGCCCACATAATGCCTGTGCCCATGTTAGCATGCATCTCAATCAGGAAAACCCAATTGTCACTTACCAAAGTCTCGCCAAATATACCGTGGGAAAACATTAAATGACGCAGCAAACGCCTCTCCCGTTGCATACTGACAGAAGCCACAATCACCATTAGCCTGCGTCTCAACGTAACCGCCCGATTGCTGCGCAAATTGCCCAGCATAGCTCTGACAATCCTGCCCAGGCGGTGGTGGGAAAATAGCAAGCTCGTTGGTGGCGCAACGGATCTCTTGGCCTTGTACCAACAGTGCCAGGAAACCCTCCAAGAGGTACTTGAACGGCGTCAGCCAGTACATCCAGCTCTGCCAGAACGACGGCAGTCCCGCATACGGAACAACAACACCGCAGAAAGAGACAATAAAGGTGAAGAACAGCGGCACTAGCAGCGATGCCAGCAACTCGTTTGGCGAAAACGACGCAATCGCTTGTCCGAATCCAAGGTAAAATACCTCAAACAGCATCACAAACAGCCACACACTCGCAGCCGTGTACGTATCTCGCGGGAACCCAGGCGGAAAGTACCAACAGCACCAGTAAATCGTTCCAGAAACAATACGATACGGCAACTCGCTCAGTATCGTACCCCACACCATGGCCGTCCAAGAGTAAATCTTAGCACTGCCCTCTCGCGCATTGTAGATGCCCCGAATATTGATGAACCGAGGCTGCAACTGCTGAATCAGCGGCGGCGCAATCGTCAGCGTCATGAACACCGAAAATAGCCGCGACTGCATGTCGATTTGGCTTTGGCCGAGGTTCCAAAATGTGAAGCCGTTGAAGAGACCGGTGATGATGTGTAGCATCACCATTCCTTGCACGTAGGGCGGATCTCGCCAGATGGCCACAAAGTTGCGCTTGACAACGGTAAGCCATTGCTGCGTATATGGCATTGCGTATTCCCGGTCGTCGCGCGCTTCTTCGTTCTTCGATGCATTCCGCCGGTTCGCAGTGATGTCTTGGATTTCCTTTGTCAGACTTTCGTTCTCGCGTGACCGCTCCCACACATCGCCCCAGTCTTGGCCTTTGTAGTCGGGGTTTCCTGCGCCAATGGCTTCCAGCATGTATTCAGCTGGGTTTGTATGAGGTGGACACTTGTCCGCGCCATTGCTTTCAAGGTACTTGATGAGGTTCTGCGAGTCGTGACCCAGCTCACCAAAGTAAACTGTGCGACCGCCTGACTTGAGAAGTAGAAGCTGATCAAAGTGCTCAAACAGCACAGCGCTCGGCTGATGGATTGTGCATAAAATAGCTTGTCCTGCATCAGCAAGCTTACGCAAGAACCGGACAATGTTGAATGCAGCACCAGAGTCAAGGCCAGACGTGGGTTCATCGAGAAACATGAGCAGCTCAGGCTTGCTCGCAAGTTCCACACCAATCGTCAACCGTTTCCTCTGCTCTTGATTCAGCCCCGATCCAGTAACACCAATAGCCGCACCAGCAATGTCGCGCATCTCGAGTAGATCAATAATCTTCTCAACATACTCATATTTCTCCTCAATCGGCACCTCCTTCGGTTGCCGCAGTTTGGCAGAGAAGCGCAGTGCCTCGCGTACTGTCGCCGTCGATTCGTGCACATCCATCTGCTCTGCAAAGCCAGTCGAACGCTGGAAAGAGGCAGGAAGCGGTTTACCGTCCACAAGGAAATCTCCGCCTACAACGCCAAAGTTGATCCGTTGGGCAAGCGTGTTCAACAAGGTCGTCTTTCCCGCGCCAGACGCTCCCATCAGCGCGGTAAGCTTGCCGGGCTTGACATAGCCTTGGACTCCCTTTAGCAACGTCCGCTCACCCTTCTCGTACGGAATCGTGTAGGTGATGTCCTGGAATGTGAAAATAGTCTCGTTCTTTGCGACGCCTCTAGCAGTTGCATCGGATTCGTCATTGCCGTCCGCAGAGTGTTTTTCCGTGACCGGCTCGCCCTTTCCAGCTTCTTCATCCTTGGGCAATGTCTTAGTCTCCATTTCTTTCTCAATCGTCTTTGGAACCTGACCACGCTTGTAAATGGTGACTGCACCACCTCCTTTGTTGGGCTTCTGCATCTCCATGCCCAAAGCAGTGAGTGCCACAAAGAAAATGAAGAACGCGCAGATGAATCCAAAGTTGCGCCACAGATGAGACCGCGAGTACCCAAACGCCGCCTCAATGTAATCCGAGCCAGCCACGGTGAGCGACCCGGGCCTGTTACCCTGGATAGCGCAGGCCTGATACTGCTCTTCCGCACCCGGAACCTGCGGCGCGATAAACGGCGGAACGCATTGAATATCCAAGTTGTAAAACTCGTTCGCCAGCAACCCTTCAAACCCATACTGAATAGGATTTATCCAGCGCAGCCACGAGAACCACGGATGCATCTTCGCAGGCGGTATCAGATATCCCGTATACACCACAAGTGCCTGGATCGCAACACCAGTGATGCGAGTCGCGACATCCAAGGACCCCACCAACGCGCCAATAGCCCTGAAAAACGCATACATTGTCATCGTAATGATCCACAGGAAAAGTAGCGAAATGAAGAACTGCGACGCTGTCCGTGAAAGATTCGCCATGAAATACACCACGATATCGAAAATCACCACTTGGATCAGCACAAGCGGTACATCGATGACTGTCTGCGCAATCGCATACGCCGCGGGTCTGTAAAACGAGAAACTCTTGTGCTTCAGCAGAATCGGGCGTGATTCAAACGCCGCTGTGAGTTCCGCCAAGGCGAGCAGCGCATTGAAGAGTAGCATGAAGAAAATGACACCACCGCGCGGAAAAACTCCTTGGGCTGTGTTGGGCAGGTTGTAAAACAGCGACCCGACAATTAGCGCTTGGAACAGGATTCCGCCCCATTTGCCTACGAGAGACTGTGGATCACCGATCATGACGAGAAACTGGCGCTTTGTACACGCCATCACCTGTGCAGGGAAGGAAATCGTAAAGTTCTTCTTCTTGGTCGCTTTGGTCTGGGCGTTGCGCCTTTCTTCAGCTTGACGCTGCGTTTCTCTTGCGAACTCCTGGATCTCAGCGAGATTGTCGGCGGCTTGCTCGCTGGCGGCGAAGGCTTCGCCAAAGGCGGCTCCCGTACGCGGGATGCGGTCTTCCCAGCCTTCTTTAATCTGGCGCTCGTGGTCATCAGTGACGGAGGTCAGGAAATCGCTAGTAGTCCATCGTTCCGGCTTTTCGAACCCGAGGTTTTTGAAGTACGACTCTGCTTTTTCGGTGGGGCCAAAGTAGCAGCATCTTCCTTCGTGGATGAGGATTACTTTGTCGAAGAGTTGGTAGAGGGACTCGCCCGCCTGATAGAGGGCGACGGCGGTGGAGACTTGAGCCATGTTGGTAAGTGACCGGAGACTCTGGACGTATTCGAGGGCGGTGCTTGCGTCGAGGCCGCGGGTGCTGTTGTCCCAGCATTGGACTGAGGCTTTTGTAACCATGGCTTCGGCGATGGAAACGCGTTTTTTCTCGCCGCCGGATACACCACGGATGAGCTAGTTCGAAAGAAACATATCAAGTCAGTCAAAAGTTTCCCAAGCCTTCATGGTAAAAGGAACACGTACCTCATTCCCCACCTTCGTCCCAAGCGTATGCTCAATCCAAAACAGTTTCGTCACCACCCTCAAAAACTCGTTCACATAATCCTTCCTCGTCTCCCCCTCTTTCCTTGACTCCTTTCCCGGAGTCCGAGTCTTCAACGCAAACTTTAGCGTATCTTTAACTTTCAGCGTCGCATAGTGAAGATCGTCTTCCGGGTTATACAGCACCTCGCTGCGATACTTCTTGCTCATCTCATCTGCATCTGTGCCTCCGTATGTTACATCTCCCGTGATGTCTTCGAAGCCGTAGCGTTGGTTGCCGATTATCTTGAGGAAGGTTGAGCAACCGGCACCGGGGCGTCTGTATCCATTAGCCTATGTTTGGTGTTATGAGAGTAGGGAGAAACGTACCCGAGGACGAGTATCATCTCTCCAGGCCGTATGCAGCCGGAAAAGTCGTCGAGGAGTGTTCGCACTGGTGGCTTTCCTGCAGCTTTCCGTGGGCCTTTGGTAAAGAGGTTCTTGACGAAGCGGACGGGGTCGAGGAAGAGGGAGCCGACGCTTGGTTGGAGTGCAGCACCGATGCCCATACCCTTTACTGTCAAGTGCTTGAAAATTACGCCCTGGTGTCTGGTCTTCTCCTCTTCCGACGCTTCTTGCCTTGTACGCCCAAACATTTTTGACATTAATTTGTTGATTTCGTCTTCTTCTTCTGCGCTATGGCCGGTCGCACCGGTATTAGTTTTGCTGAGCCCATTGCTCTGGCCTGTCTTTCGTCGAGATAATACGCGGAAGAGGTCCTCTTCGGTCATTGGTTTCGAGTTTCTCGATTGTAGGCCAGGCCGCTTGTCTTCATGTGTACGCTTTTCAGATGAGCCTTCGTGTTCGGAGTCGGATGAGTCGTCTTCAAGTACAACTCGTTGTTCCATGGGCGCTCCTGAAGCCGCTGTCTGGAGGTAGCCATTGGTTGAACTGGGATGCTGCGAATCTGTGTTTTCATTGAGCCCTTGACCGGCATGGGCGTGGGCTGCATTCTGCGATGTCGGACCAGGCGATGGCACTGCAGTTGAGTCGCTCGATTCCAATGATGGTCCCGGGTTGTCCTTTCCATAGAAGCTTTGGCTGCTAGTGTGTAAGGCGTTGGAAATGAAGGTACTCTCGGTATTCCTTGTGTCCATGGCGCCTGGCGTGGCTGAATTGCCCTCGTTTTGTTGTCGTGACCCCATGTATGATTCATGTCGAATAGTACCTGCGGGTGTCTCTATCCAACCGCCAGGGATATGTGATGGAGTTGGGAGGCCATCGTTTGAAGCCATCACGACGATTCTCGTAGCCTAGGAACGGCCAATGAATTAAACGCTCGTAGCGTAAGTACCGCAGGAATGGATCCCCACTACACAATGGTCAAGTGTCAAATGCCAACCCTGATGGCTGAACATAGAATTCGTAAAGCAATCCGCAAAAGTTTGACCGATTTCAGGGGGGAGTCCAAAGAGAAGGTATAAGAACAACACAGACAAAACAATCAATTACAGCGCCAAGTTGATTGTCCAAGCCCGTGTTGGCACTCGTATTTTGGCGACGCGTCGGTCGCGCAATAGTCGAGAGCGAAAGTGGTGATGTCATGTTAACGTGTGGAGTGGTAGAAGCGCTTCAACGTCGCATTCGCGTCGGCGCTTGCCAGTTGCCGAAACTACGGGATCGAAAGATGATCGAAATTACTAGGCTGAAGGGAGATCGATCTTCTCGCCGCTTGTGAAAAACGCTAGGTGTCCGCGGGGCGCGGATTTGCATTTGAACGCGTTTGCAGGGATTGATTGACGCCTACATGCTTTCCCTCTTCACCATGTTTGGTAGAACTTGTACCGTGTGTCTATACTTTTCTTTTTTACGAAGACCCGATAATAGCATTTTCAATGTTTGGTATGTAGATGGACATAGGCGGGGATGGAAAAAAATAGAATGGATTCCTTGAGTGACGTGAGGTGGGAACTTTCCAATTGCGTCATAGTTTAGCAAGGCAACGCTAAGAAGTGCTTGACATCTTGGCCTCGCACCTGCTTAGGCCCTAGATCAGTCTAGAAATACCTTACTCAGTCTTCACGCTGTGTCTCAATAATATTGATGTATTATGGAACTTTTAGTGTTTGGTCTCGAAAATCCATGTACTCGGTCTGGACGACACATAGCGGGACATCGCATTTTGTCCTTGAGGACCTTCGCACCCTTTTGAGTTGAAGAGTGCGTATCGTCTCTGTATGAAACAGAGTATATTCGAGTAATTAACAAGTAGCAGGCCCACTCAATGGATATGTATTGAGACAATTTTCACTTCACAGTCGTTCGGAACACCTTCCCCGTCCATCAAGCCATGCACATATGCGTCACCGACGATTCTGTAATGACCATCAGGCGCATCTTGCATAGCCCGGATACAAAATGGTACTGTGCTTCCCATAAAAAGAACAATGCTGTCGCCGGGTTGCATCTCAGGCGGACCCATTCCCATGCAGCCATTGCTGGCGAGGAAAAATCGCCGGTCAAGTGTTGCGCCCAATGGAGAGCGGTAAAACGCTTTGATCTCATTCATACTGCTAGTATGCTCTTCGCTTTTCTTCAAGTCGCCTTTCGTCTTGGATTGAGCCCAGTCCCAGAAGCTCTCTGCTATACGGCTGACATCGGTGTCGCCAAATCGTCGGTATGCAGTGAATACCTCACCACTGAAGTCAAGTTGGGCGGAAAGTATGTCGACTGAATTCATGCGTTGTGGTTGCCACGAGTCATTAGTAATTGTACGCCAGAATGCCTTATTTTGCGGGTTCTTTGAGACAAGAGTGTGATCCATTGGAGTTTCCAGTCGCACCATATGGCGCCACGATGTAATGCAGTCGATTAGTTCGCGCCAATCATGATTTCCTGGAAAGGTTGAGCCCACTTGCGAAAGGGTGAGAGATGGTTCGAAGGCGTCTGTAATCAAGACATTGGCCTCTCGTCTAACACTGGCTGGGTGACCGCCCGCTGCAGAAAATAGCACTGCGCGGTTAATTCTATAGCCAGTTGCTGAGCTAGAACTCTGCGAGGTACGACCCCTTTGTGTGACTCACGATGGCACACCAGGTATACCAGTTCGGGTTGTACCCATCAATATATGCAAGGAAAGAGTGCTCTGGACGTGCTTGGTAACTACGCGCATAGAGACTTCGCTGGGGGACAAGTCGTAGTCGGAAATCAAAGGCGGTTCACCAAACCAGTCAGTGACCAATCCTAGTACCCCAAACACTTCGTCCCGGACATCTGTTGCATTGCGTGAGTGTGTTCGACTCATGACCTGGTATAGGCTTAATTTTTTGTTTTGTGCTCTTGCAGCCCTCAGCCACTCCAGATCGTCGTACCTGGCCTTTCTTAATTCGACAATGGCGCGCAGTTCGCGACCCCCCCGTGCCTGGTGCAGATCGCCGCAGCAATGAATGTGGCGTGCGGCAGCGCGGGTAGATTCCGCAACCAGAGTCCAAGGTACAGTAATGTTACCGTATAAGACGGTTGCTTTCCGAGTGAGTATCGTTTCTTGGACGACCCAAATCCGCGTCCACCAAGGATGGCTACTCAGCGTATGCATAGCCTGGATGATGGCCAACCATGTCTTTCCCGTTTGTAGTTTACCTCCTTGAACATCAAAAAAAGGTATTTCATGAACATGTTTGTCCATAGCTCGAAGTTTCATGTAGACGAAGAGGCCGACGACGTCTTCGGTTTCTTTGTCCTTTTCATTTGAGCCATTTTGCAATACCCCTTGCTTGAAATACGAGTCGACAATTTCCAAATCTCTGTCATCGCCAGTCCATCGGACAATTTCTGGCTGCTCCGAGGGAGAACGCGAGTCGCGACCGTAACCTAGCCAGATGAAAACTTCGTTGGCGGAACTGTATATCTCCCTCATGCACTGCACTTGCTCGGATCGCTCGTGAATATCCGATTGATTGACGCACACTGCATCAAGCCAGAGGGCCAGAGTCTCTCCTGTAGCGCGGAGTCTTTGAAGGCCAGTGACTACGTTCTGAGTTACCGCCAGCTCTTGTCCGTTGACCGTGATGGATAGCTTATTTGTCGTGTCGCCCCATACGTATGAGATGGCTTGAAACTTGGGGTAATCTTTCAAAGATACGATTTCCATATAACATTCTATGCCATCATTCCAAGCAGCAGGGTGGATATGCAGTAAGCGTATCTCTTTGCGGGAGACGTTGAGTGGTGAATACATGCGTAGAGAGTGAAGTGTGTGCGCTATACGACTGCAACCATTGCCGTCCTTGGCACTTTTGAACGAGGATAATCGACACTCGCTTACGAGATTGATGACAAAACATGTTTCATCCTTTGACCCTTTAATGATACAGTCTTACATCGGAATTCTAACGGGTTTACCGACATGTTGAAGTTCCATAAGAATTCTAGGCACCCACTGAAGGTACTGAGTAGGGTGCAATCAGAACTTCATCTTGCGGCTTACTTCAACACTGTTCCATCCACTCCAAATGCGTCTTTCAAGAAGTATTTTCCCGTCTACAACTACGTATGAAACGTATGAAGAGTCCTAGTTTAACCACTTTGTTGTGTTTTAGCGTTACTTTGCCGCTGACCTTCCTCAAGAACTAGGCACTAAAACTTTTGCCGGCACACACAGCAGATCGCTTTGTACTTTCTTTGGCTTTGGAGAACTGAGGAAATGTGTTGTTTTGAGTTTCCAATTTGTCAGTTGCACATAACTAGGGGAGGCCTAACTACACACTGTCCAGGCTATATATAAATCACGTCTAAAGTGCAATTGAGTTACGTTGCACCTATTAGTTCCATGACTGGAACAGTAAACAATAGTATGGCATGAATTCCCTGATCATTAATGTTCTTCTTGCACATGTCGTAATGATCCAATCATTTTTGGTATTGTAGTCCGGCAAAAGGAATGTCAGCACATCGTGTTCTTCGTATCGGGAGGTATGGCGGTCCGAAGATGGGGAGAGGAGCGCTGCACAACAAGGAAGATGGGCTATTACAAGATGATAGTAGCCGAGAAGCTCTTTTTAATAAATTCGCGTTGTTCGCCATATCAGCAAAGAAGGGCAAGCCAACGGTATGGATGCAGCCTGCACGCAGATGCAAGACCGCCAAGCTACGATCGGCGCTAGGCCAACCCCTGTCGTATTGCCTGCAGTAGCGCGCGTGGAGTTAGGAGGCTCGGCGCGGAAATATGCGGCTGGACGCAGTCCAGATGCTTTCAACCAGCGCCAGTTCCAGGTTCTAGAAACCTACTTTCCTTTTGTTGTCCTTTCGCATACTACTATAACCCGCGCTCACCACTCATGTGCTGTGCTGCCCTGCAGATTTCAGGAAACGATCGCGCACCTTGGAAGACACGATGGTGGTGAGAACTGCATCCGGAACGCTGGGCGGGGTGTCGATGAAGCACCTCTCTCTGGTCACGGTAACTAGACATGCGGCTTGACTGTACATGTCAAAGGTAAGCTAACGGCTGTGCAGTTGACAGTCCAGAACTCGGCCCTCATCCTGGTATGAACATCCCACAATCCGAACAACAACCTTAGCATGACTGAAAAGAGGCACGGGAATTGGGGTCGACTGGAAGCATGCTCATGCCACGGCTGACGCGAACCAGATCATGCATTACTCGAGAATCATGCCTTTGGCTGGAGGACAAAGATACCACACAAGCACAAGTGTCTTCTTGAATGAAGTGATCAAGCTGACTATTAGTTTGACCATGGTACGAATGCTTCTGGAGAAACCAGGCGCTGAGCCATGCGCTGACAATTTAATAGGCAATGTACGAGATGTCAAAATCGCTTCCATCGAATACTACTATCGCAACGCTCTCGCGCACCTTGACGACCGCTATATTCACCAATGAAAGCTGGAAGCTTGCCGTACCCGCCGTCATATACACTATACAGAATAATCTTCAATACTTGGCTGTCAGCAACTTGGATGCAGCTACGTTCCAGGTCACCTACCAGCTCAAGATTCTGACGACAGCCATCTTCAGTGTCATGTTATTAGGGAGAACGCTTTCGACACGAAAATGGCTCTCTCTGCTGCTGCTCATTGTCGGTGTATCCATTATACAGGTACCACAAGCACTATCGCAACCAGACGTACCGGCAACAGGATCCACACCCTGGACAAAGACCGTTGAACAGCTTCACAGTCTTGGCAACAATGTCGCAGCACGAATGGCGAAGCGATCTGGATCTTACGAGGGCATTCATGAAGATCGCGCGTCGCAAGTACCGCATATGGACAGACGGGTGGGACTCTTTGCTGTTCTGATCTCCTGCGCACTATCCGGCCTAGCGGGAGTGTTGTTCGAAAAGATTCTGAAGGACTCGACAAGTGGCAAAACCACAACATTGTGGGTGCGCAACTGCCAGCTTTCCTTCTGGTCGCTATTTCCCTCACTGTTCTTAGGCGTGATTTGGAAGGATGGAGAGATCATAGCAAAGACTGGGTTCTTTGTTGGCTACAACTGGGTAGTATGGACTGCCATCGGGTTCCAGGCAGCTGGTGGTGTAATTGTCGCATTGGTCATAAATTATGCCGACAACATTGCCAAGAATTTTGCGACCTCCATCTCCATCCTTCTCAGCTGCATTGCTAGCGTATACTTTTTCGATTTTAAGGTGACGCAATCAGTAAGTAAGCGGCGAAATGCTGGTTGGTCGATACTGACGAATTGCAGTTTTTCCTGGGAACATGTATCGTCTTATTTGCGACCTATCTTTACACAAAACCGGAGCGGGGGATGCAGCAATCGTCTGTGAAGATTGCCGATTTTCAGAAAACTACAGTCGAGCGGCCTTACGAAGACCGCGGGTACGACAATGTACCACCAAGTCCGTCAAGTTTTGACAGGCCTCACAAGCCATCAGCTGGATCGCCGACGATAGAACGACACGCTCACAAACGAGAAGCTTGAAGACTGAGCAACGTAGATTTTATAGATTTGTATGAGACGGAACAACAAGGTTCTGTAAAACACAAAAATGGGCCTGTTCATGATGTTTAGTGACTTGAATTGGTGAGATAACGTACACAGACCGCTGCCTGTTTGGTACGGCCTCACTCTTTACTAACGCTTGGCCAAATGCGACACGACCAATCTATGCAATGGCATGGAGGCGGCATTGCGAGAACATGGTTTCATCGCAGCAGTACAGTATACAATAAATGACTTTGATCAGCTCACGGGAGTTGAGATGTTCAGTGTGAACTGTCCAGTTCCGGCAGTCGTAACTTCCTCCATGGTGCCTTCTTCTTTCGCAACCACTTTTCTCACCTGACATGCTACTCCAAAAAATTCCCACAGCTTTAAAGCGTGACTTCACCTCTGTTGCCGTGTTCCAAACGAATCTATCCCTGATTTCTGCACACTCAGAATGGGCGAGCGCTTCTATCACCAAGAACAGCCAGGTAGCTCGCGACGTGTGTCGCGTTACAACATCCTTCAACCTCAAATCAAACAGCCGGCCCGTCTGACTGCTCCCCGAGATCGCTATCGTGTGGCCCGATACGATGATCCCATGTACGACACCGTTGAAGACGACCATGCCAACGGCCCAGGATCTCAGCTCGATTCTTTTGGTACCCATATTACCGTGGCTGTCTAGAATCAGAAGACTAATAGTTTTAGATGAGAGACTGCTTCAGCAGTCGTATCCAGATCGACAGCCGCAAGTCACGCACGGCAATGGAAGATTGTCGTTTGCGCCCGCCCCATCACAGCCCTCGTATGGTGGCCGTGGCGACCATATATATCGAAATCAGGGTAAGCATACACTACCGACACATAAGAAAGAGTTATTGACTTGCCAGGTGGATACCGATCGCATCCTGAGCAAGACATGGGAAGCCAATTGAGTCAGTACAGATGAAGTTTGGTAACTGATGGCTCTGCTAACTACCTACGAGGTCGGTTTGCCTACGGTTCTGTACAATTCCAAGATTCAAGTCCCGACCCTCAAGTTGGCCAGTCCTCCAGCCCAGCATTCAAAGCAAGTCAGCGCCGCATAGAGCACGCCAGCGCATCCACTGCGAAATGTGGTTCAGGGACCCAGACGTCTAGGGATACTCGACGGCACACTATAGAGCTTAAAGCACATGGATACCAGAGACATCATGGGCAAGTAATGTCTCCCAAATATCAAGAGCGTATCCTTGGGGAACTGCTGTCCCTGACTCCACGAGAAGACCAGGAATCTCTTTGTGGTCGGTGGCAAAATCCCAGCGAATTACAAGAAACTCTCTTGACCATACCGCATGCCCCTCCTATGTGCCAGGGCATCCGTCTCGTCCCGGTCGTAACCTTGCCAGATCGGCTTCGGACAATATTCCCTTACCCGACATTTAATGCGGTGCAATCCAAGTGTTTCGATACAGTCTTCCGTTCTGATAACAATTTTGTTCTTGCATCTCCAACAGGAAGTGGCAAAACAGTGATTCTCGAGCTTGCCATATGCAGAGCATTTGCTACTAATTCAACTGGTCAATACAAGATTGTCTATCAGGCACCTACCAAGGCTTTGTGCTCAGAACGACAACGTGACTGGGAAACAAAGTTCAACAAGATCGGTCTAAAGTGTGCTGAGCTCACTGGTGATAGCGATATATCGGACCTCCGACATGTACAATCCGCGAACATACTCATTACGACACCTGAGAAATGGGATAGCATGACCAGGAAGTGGAGAGATCACGAGAAGCTGATGAGACTCATCAGAGTGTTTCTGATCGATGAGGTTCACATACTCAAAGAGGACCGTGGCGCTACCCTTGAGGCAGTCGTGTCTCGCATGAAGTCTATTGGAACAAATGTTCGCTTTGTGGCACTGTCAGCCACAGTACCCAACTTCAATGATATCGCAACTTGGCTTGGCAAAAGTCCAACAGACCCAAACACTGCGGCCGCGAACGAGAGTTTTGGCGAGGAATTCCGACCAGTGAAACTGCGAAAGCATGTTTGCGGCTACATGTCCAACACCAACAATGAATTTGGATTTGAGAAAGTGCTTGATAGCAAGGTAAACGATGTCATAGCTACTTACTCTGAAGGTAAACCGATAATGGTGTTTTGCGCTACCAGAAACTCCACGCTTAACACGGCGAAGCTGATCGCTAGCTGGTGGTCTTCAAGAATGGACAATGATCGCTTCTGGAAAGCACCATCAAAACCAATCCGGCTTTTGAATAAAGAACTTAGGGAAACAGTTGCTTCAGGTGTCGCGTTCCATCACGCTGGTCTCGACATAGAAGATCGGATGCAAATTGAGAGAAGCTTCATCACTGGCGAGATCAGTGTCATTTGTTGTACCTCTACACTTGCTGTCGGAGTCAACCTGCCCTGCCATCTTGTAATCGTCAAGAACACGATGGCGTGGGGGCCAGCAGGACATCAGGAATACTCCGATTTAGAGATGATGCAGATGCTTGGTCGCGCAGGCCGCCCTCAGTTTGACGACACTGCTGTAGCTGTCATTATGACGCGCCAAACAAAGGTTCGACGATACGAACAAATGGTTACTGGTCAAGAAATTATAGAAAGCAAGCTTCACCTTAACTTGATTGATCATATGAACGCTGAAATAGGCCTTGGGACGATCTACGATTTGTCGTCAGCAAGAAAATGGCTCAAAGGTACCTTTCTCTTCGTTCGACTCCAGCAGAACCCCGCACATTACAAACTTGAGGGGTCTAGAATCGGTCAGAGTATTGAAGAGCAAGTGGATGATATCTGTTTTCGCGACGTCAACCTCCTGCAACAGAGCAATCTAGTCTCCAGCGAAGAGCGTTTCACATGCACCGAGTTTGGACATGCTATGTCGCGGTACTACGTTCATTTTGAGACTATGAAGTTGTTCATGGGACTCGAAGGAAAGTCTTCTCCCTCTGAGATTGTGAGTTACTCATTGCCTTGATCTGTCTTATGTGACCAACTAACGCAAACTCAGCTCTCGGCTATTGCACAAGCTAAGGAATACTCCAATATACGTTTCCGCCAAGGCGAAAAGACATTCTACAAAGTTTTGAACAAGTCGCCCTCGATTCGTTGGACTATTCCAGTCAATTTGGATCTCCCAGCACAGAAGATTTCGCTCATGATACAATCTGTCCTGGGGTCTGCTGATATCTCATGGGATGGCGACATGGCCAAACACAGATCACAGTACGCAACAGAAACAATGATAGTGTTCAGAAATATAGGTAGTCTCATTCGATGTATTATTGACTGCCAAATTGTGCTAGGCGACGCTGTCAGTATTCACAGTGCTTTGATGCTCGAGCGGAGTTTTGGTGCAAAGGCTTGGGACGATAGCCCGCTCCAAATGAAGCAGATTGAGACTCTAGGTGTGGTTGCTGTAAGAAAGCTTGTCAATGCGGGTATCAAATCTATAGAAGATCTCGAGGGTTGCGATCCACATAGGATCGAAGCTGTGGTTGGAAGAAACCCACCTTACGGCCTGCAGATTCTTGAGAAGATCAAGTGTTTTCCAAAGCTTCATGTTTCGCTTCAAGAACAGCCTTCCACAGTAAGACAAGTCATTTTAGTTGTTAATGGATTCGCTAATGATTACAAAGATCGGTAAGACTTTGGAAGGAGTCAAAATGCAGATCAAGGCAGCCATTGGCTTCATGAATGAGCGGCCACCACTGCGCTTCAACAATAAGCTCATCTATGTTTGCCTTTTGGTGGAAACATCCGATGGACGTAAAGTACACTTTGCCCGCATCAGGTGTGTATGAGGCTCCGCTCAGCCTATATGATACTTACCTTGTCCTAGTGGTACTAAACTTGGTACTGGCCAAAGCCTTTCCGTTACGGTTCTGTTAACCAGTTACGACCAGTCCATCAACTGTCATGTCATGTGTGATGGTATAGGTATGCACATATTCGTTTTCACAGTGATATTATCTGACCTTTTGAAGCTGGCAGTATGCGCAGCGCCACTGTGAGACCTCAGATACCCCCATCCATGTATCCAATTCCAAAACCTTCTGTTCTAGATTCATCGGCCCCACATCAGTCTAATATGTCAAAGCGACGCACAGAGAATGCGAGAGAAAGCTCAAAAGCATCTACTACCAGTGATGATTTTGGAGATGATGGACTCGACGATGATACACTCGTGAAAGCTGCTTGTGGAGACCTCAAATTCGACCATATCGACGCATATCCCGATCCGCTCGCAGAGAAAGTCGAGAGCAACAACTCCAAGGCTATTTCGAACAATAAAAAGGATGTCAGGAAGATCCCAAGCCTTACAGGGCTACGCAAAGCTGTCGTTAAGGACACTGCTCAAGATCCAGTACAGCTTGCAAATGGTAAATGGGTATGTAACCACCCTTGCAAAGACCGCGAAGCGTGCAAACACTTGTGTTGTAAAAACGGCATGGACAAACCGCCAAAGAAGAAGCCTGTGACCAAACCTTCTCAGCTAGAAGAACCCCGAATGCAATCGCAACAGAAGCTCCCTGCTCCAAAAGTCAAAACAAGTCAAACTATGCTCCAGCTTGCAGCACCTAAAAGAAAAGCTTCGATTCAGATTGAAGAGTTGGATCTCACTCAGCAAGAAAAGAGGAACAAGGTGGACCGAGCTCTGGATGACTTGGAAGCACAAAGCGAGATTCAAGAGACTACGAAGAGTAGTAATCTATCTTCTACAAGTCACTCGATTTCGCATATGAAGCCGGCGTACTACCATTACCAGGGTGATGCAGGCAGAGTTTCTTTCTCGGAACCTTTGGTCACGGAACCATTCCTTGATTCAAGCGACTACGGCAACATCCAGTTTGACGATCCTCCTGATTTTCTTGATCCTCCGCAACAACCCAGTGCACTATCCGACTGCAATACCCAAACAGAGTACCGTGACTCTGTAGATTGCGAGGCAATCGCCTTAAGTATCTCTCCAGAGTCTGAAACGTTTTATGATGATGACTCACTACTTGGAGACGTGCTGGTTGGCCTAGCTGACTCGCATAGCCTACAAAGTAACAATGAAGGCAAGTTTGATTCAATGAAAGCTGTGGAAGGTTTTCCCGACTGCGCAAACAAAGAAATCTCGGGAGAGGCGCGGCGTTTGAAAGACGATGAAATCGCAGATGTCAAGGGGATTACGAAAAACTTTTTGCCGAGGATTACTTATACTGGAGGCCACTGTCAATCCCATGAGTCGCCAGCTGAAAGAGAAAGCTCTCGCTCTGACACACTCATGAGTAGTTCGAGAATCAAAAGCGTATTTCCAAATATGGTAGCGAACTATATCGACGACAGCAAGACTGAGAAGCCTGCTCCCCGAAAGAATAGCCCTCCCCTCGCCCAGTTGAAGGAATTCCAGCAGACATCAACTACTAAAGAATTCCCAGAACACTTAGCAAAAGCTGTTAACAAGACATCCTGCTCAGTCTCACCAGAGGAGAAAATAATTCCCAACGCTCTCAAAGACCTAGAGCCATGGCTCCTTGAAGAATTCGGCGACATAGTAGAACTCGTTGATGAATGAACGTCCAGTCCAGTGCTGTTGCTAGAATCACTACAAGAGATAAATATAGGCATGCCATTATATGGAGGTGTTTTTGTTCAACGTCCTCGATCAATCAGTGTTTGTTCTTCGATCATTAGAACCTCAATTAGCGCTACCATCCATCCTGCACAAAGCCATTGTTGGGAATTCTTTTGTCAGCTCTTTCATGAAAGGACATCTTTCTCTGAATTAAGATTATTTTGCATCACTTGTCAATATATACTACGCATGCTGAACACAGAAAGCATCTCTATTTAGAATATAGTGATTTTCAAGTTGAACACTAAAAGAACATTCGATCACTAACCCCAAAATGAACAACTCGCCGCTGACAACCGTTATCGAAGAGACATCGAGTGCAGGTACAACAACAACAACCCAGGAACCTAGCTCTACGCCGCCTGGCTCTGTGCAGCAGGGGATTGAACTTGGTGATACGGACGATTGGCATTGCTCTGATTTCTTACATTGTCTTGGAGCGGGAGATCCAGAAGGAATTATCCAGTGCGATGTCGCTACTCAGCAAGTCTGCCCAGGGTTGGCGGCCGCGAATTTAAATACACCAAATTCTTACGTCAATGATGGTGTTCACGCCGGTGAAGATCGAACTCGAACTTGCGGTAATTGCAGGCTGCATGAAGGGCATCCTTTGTTTCCAAACAGGCTTGCACTCATCAATAGTTATTCCAATGTTGATCTTGGAAGCGGTATTCGCAGCCAGCTTTGTCGCAGTTGCATCTACGATGAAGTAGAACTATATTGGTTACGTCAAGGAACACTCAACCCCATGAATGCCAGGTCGAGTCAGCATATACGACAATGGCCTGCAGCAAACGGCTATCAAAACCTTTGCATGTGCGAAGGATGGACAGTTGATACTCCTGCAATCGACTGTTGCCATGCCTGCCGCGACAGGCTCTTCTTTGAATTGTGTTTCAATCCCTTCCAGATGACCGAAGACGTTCTCCACAGCTGCGTCCAGCCCGTCATAAAAGGAGCCCGGCTTTATGTCAACCAGGATCATGGACGCTCCATGCGCGTCTCCGCCGCCACCATCCTCAGACGCCGAGATCAGGGTATCGGCCGCATGTGTCCTTGCGGTAATAAACCAAAACGGCCAAGTGTACCCGAGTACATCACCTATTGCATGGCTTGCTCGGGCGTCCGAATCGTCCCTAATTTTTTGCCGCGGGACTTGCGACAAGGACCTGTTATGGCTAGGTATGAGAGACGTCAGAGTCTGAGGAATAGCGGGTTTAAGAGGACAAAAGGGCCTGGAGCCGCACGGAGACATCCAACATATAGGGTTAATATCGAGCGTGCGTGGATGACACCTGATCCAGAGATTGGGGGAACGTAATTGTAGTAGTAATGAGCTAAATACATGTTAAGATTTGTACGATGAAGACAAGGGGAACTGGATAATTGTGTGTTTTGGATAGTCGCTGTTGTTTCGAGTATTTAGAGTTATGTACGATAGTTTATGAGCAAACGTAAGGCGTAGTCTTTGAATGCGAGAACCTTTTTTAAATCCTAAAATAGAAAGCAATGGCACTAATGGATGCTGTACGTGTACTTGATGTGCATCCCCGCACAGTAGTGGTCCCGCCCTTTGGAAATCGAACCCAATTTCGCACTTCTGATAGGGCATCCCTTCAGCTTATGACCCCAAGATTAACCACTTGAGTAATCCTAATCGTTCCACCTTTGAATTTGTTTCTGCTAGAGGCCCCTCTTTTCTTCGCCACAAACACAACGTGGACGATAATCTGCAGCCTACGAACCAATGTGGGTGCGCCACGTTAACATGGGTAGCCTTGGCGCTTAGGACGAACACTTTGATCGTTCTCCCTGCAATAGCCAATAAATGCTTGTCGCATGTTCAGATAAACAAAGTCAACAAAGGGAGTAACTTCTTGAGCTGTCGTGTGATTACGCATGCAAAAAGTTAAACTTTCGCGCGTGAAAAGTATCCCTTCATCAAGTCCACACAACACCAACCCAGGACCACCAGATAGTAGTAGATTACAAAATGGCGCAAGTCTACCCCATCATCTTCGATAACATCGACTCCGAAACATCAACAGTCTGCACCTCTCCCACCGTCTGCACAACATCTCCCGTCTGCACCCCCTCAACAACAACCTCAAACCCCACCACAACCAAGGAGCACCAAAAATGGGAAAGCTTCCAATCCTCAATCCCCTGGCCCGGCCGCACATTCATCATCCGCTCCCACGACACAGGCCAAGTAATTACCTTCCTCGACGGCGAAATCATCCTCGACAAACCCGGCGGTTTCGGCACCTTCCGTTGGCGCTGCGTCGAGAGGAGAGGATGGCTGGGCTTCCGGGACCCGGTTTCCGCGCGGTACATGGGGTACGATAGTCGCGGCTGGATCCGGTGCGCGGTCGACACGCATAATGACCGGGAGTATATATGTGTGAGGAAGCGGCCCGAGGGCGGGTATGTGCTATTGGTGCTTGTGGAAAACAAGCTTTTGCCGATGGGGGTTTGTGCGCAGGAGACGGCGGGTGTGGTGAGGCAGAGGGTTAAGATTAGGGATTGGAATTCGGAGGGGACTGTGTGGGATTTTATTGAAGTGCCGTGTCCATCGGTTTGAAGGGTGGGGGTAATAGGGGGAAGAGTTTGTAACTTTAGGGCGTTGTGGCTCGGCTGATATAAGCTGGATTTGGGGCGAAAGAGTAGAGCAAGAGTACTGGGATATGGAGAACTTCTATTACATATGGGATCCGCTGAGAAGTTGCAGATATTAACAAGATGTGGGGATCATAGCGGGCCTGGATACATCAGATCTGACATGGGTAGACACTGTCGATTGGTGAACGGCCACTAGTGTTTGGGAGTTTGGGGCATCAAGATTCTGAATACATGGGCCAGGAAGGAGTGAAATCTGCTCAGTTTTACTCTATCATGATGTTTTGGAGCTACATTTACGGACATTGTGAGAAAATTGAAAAGAAGAAGAACAAGGGAAAGAACATGGAGACAGTCAGTGGCGAGCGGTAGGTCCCGCTTATGGCGTCTTGGTGATTATCAAGTAGTAGAATCAACACATTTTCTTCGTAGAAATAAAACCCATGTTATTATTTATGTTTGCTCGGTAGATTACCAATTTCCACATTGAAGAAGAGACGACGTTTCTTACAAAAGCTACCCAAGATTCTTTGCACGAGTCGCCACCCATGTTACGAAGACGCTAATCGCAGTTACCACATAAGCGCTAACCCCAAAGGCACTCTGAATATCCTTTTTCAGCACGGTCCACAGAATACCGAAAAGGAGGCTGCCGAAGAGAAAAACAGCGAATACTGCACCAATGATCATGTCAAAGTCAATCCCTTCTTTGTAGTATATGCCCCAGCCTTCTGCTGGTTTTCCTACGTATGCTTGGAGTTCCCCAGCTGTTCTTTTTGGTAGTTGATTAAGAACCCATGTCTCATCTTCATGGATGCATTGTGGCGAGGAAAGCATATGCATCAAGTCTTGTGACAGGACTGGGGGCCATGTTGCTAGAGGTCCAGCTGGTGAACAGCGATATTCGGCGTCCTGGGATGGTTCGACCTTTGGTTTTGGAGGTATGCACTCACAAATGGCTGGGTTCGTTGAGGTACAGCATGGATTATGGTCTCTGACCTCGACGTTGTTGCCCATACGTAGGCGAAACTTATATTTTTCAGACTTTGTCTTTGTTGTCAATCTGCTAATTTGAGACTTACCTTGACAAAGAACATTCCTTGTATACTTCTCATTGCTAGGATATTCCGAACACGACTATGATTGCGCCGTATTTGTCGTTTCATGAAGCAAAACAAGCCTCGATCCGTAGACACAGAGTCGATAGGATCTTGTAACAGGCACTTCCGCCGTTGGTTTCGGTGCGCGCAGGCTAGAAGATGAAGTGTAAGCTTTGAACCTGCTGGTGTATTTGTAGTCGGCGCTGACGACGTCGAAGGAGCACAATGATTGGGAACGTTGTACTGCGGTAAGCCCCCTCCATAGTTAGGGGCAGTTGCTTTAGCCGAAGAAGAAGAAGTAACAATAAATCGTCGCGCACAAGCAGGGAACTTGAAGTTCCAGTTTTGGTTTGTGGATATCTTACTGTACGAAGTTAGAGTGATATTGGCACCGGTGGAACGGCTCATTCTGTCGGTGAGTTCATGGATCCCATTGCGACGGTACTCCATCGCATCGCCAAAGAAGCTTTCTCCGCATCTCTATTATTTGATTAGTGATTGCCTAGAAATCTGCGTCTACCTCTGATGTCTACTTACGCATCTCCATCTCACACGAATCATCCCAGGCTCGAGAGGCGGCTCCAAGAAACCTGCTGCAATAAACAAGTTCTCGAGCGCCACTTGACTCCGACTCAAAAGTTTCCGATGAAATTTCTCTTCGATGAATTCTTCTTCGGGTTTCATGGGAAAGGCCACTTCAGATACTGGATTCGGCATCTGATTTGGCAATTGTACCTTTTCCTTCTCACTGCTTTTTTCTTCGACAGGCTTATTCAGCACGAACGCTTCGAGTTTTCTTTGAAATAACGCAAAAGCTTCTCCGTCTGTTAAGAAACATCGAAAATCGGACAAGTCTTGAATAAGGTCTTCGTCGATGTGATTTTCTGGATCTTCTTCCTCGTCCTCTTCATCATCCTTGTCTTCCTCCGCTTCCTCCTCGTCCTCATCATCCTCCTTGCCCAAGCCTCCAGCGTTTGTCTGGGATGAATCAATTGAATTGGGATTTCCTCCAAAATTCGGAAGCTGCGAAATTTGATACTGTTCAATCACAGATCGAGCAACATAAGTAGCCTTCATAGACACAAGGCGTGCCGCCAGTCTTTTAAGCTCTGTATCAGCGGCCGTTTGCAAGTCTCGAGCAAACCCTTTTAGTAACCGTCGAACATTCCTCTCCAGCCTATCTGGTCCAATAAGATTTCGCTTAAGAGCAATTTTATACAGCGTCATCAGATATTCGTGCTCAAGGAAGATGCGCAGCAGCTCGTTGGTGGCCGTTTCAATTTCCACGGCGCTGTAGCCACTGGCAGCTGAGATCCCGGTCGCTGTGGAGCCCAGAGATGCTGATGACCAAATTGAATCCGCTTGAGACATAACAGAAGCTCGGTCAGAATCATTTTCGGATAGATCCAAATTCCTGTCCCAACTTTGGTGGTCACGATCCAACAACATCAGAGATTTCTTTACTTTCGCAACGATGTCTTTGTCTGATAGATCCCAAATTCTGTTCCAATCTTTCTGGTCACGAGCCAACACCACAAGACGTTTCCTTACTTCTACAACAATATGTTTGTCCGATATAGTCCTGTTCCAATCTCTGTTGTACCGAGCGAACACCACAAGACGTTTTTTTACATCTGCAGGTAGATCCGGGCTCCCGTCCCAATCTTCCTGGTGAAGAAACAAAGACGCCAGATGAGCCAGTGTCTCTACAAGAAGGGACCTGTCACTCCTTGGATTCAGTTGTATCTCCATGAAGTTTCCCAGCTCGTAAATATAGCGGCTGGAAATCGCCAACTTGAAAATTCCCCTGCTCTTTGATCGAGCTCTGTTTGCAAATAAGTGTTTAAGTCTTGATCTCACCACTCCCAACATACTTTGCTCGCACTCATCAAGTCCGTCAATTACGCAAAATATTGTACCCAGCTCCACAGAGTTGACTAATCCAGCAAAGATTTGCCACAACACATCCAGAATCTCCAACGTTTCTTCTTGTCTTTCTAGGGTCTCATCTGTTTCCTCTAGGATTTTCTGGATATCTTCCAGTGTTGTGATATATGAGTACACGTACTCTTCTAACCCTGGGCGTTTCGTGATAATCTGGGTTATAAGCCCGTAGAGGACTGCAGTACATGTATTGCGCCGTTTGTCTTTGAAGTCGCAGAAGAAAAACACCAGATCCGTATGATCTATTGTTGAAATGTGTCTCTGCAGTTCCTCCAGAAGAAACGTTGATAGCACTGTTTTCCCTATGCCGGCGCGACCCAAGATCAATAACAGCCGCGAGACATGGGTGCTATTGCTGGTCAGCCAGGTGCGGTAGCAGTCGTCATTCTTGATCCATTCGCATGTGCCTGGAAGTCTGGGGTTGTGCTTGACAATGTTCTCCAGGCCGATATAGGGATCAGTGAGAATAAGCGCATTGCGACGCCAGACAGCCGTTCGCTCTAGTAATTTTATTAGGTAGTGACCTTAGTAACATCCCATATAAGAAGAATTAAACCTACCCTTTGCTTTTTCTTTATTTCTTCTTGAATATCTAACATCTTTAGGGGAAATTGGGATTCTGAGCCTTCCCAAGCCTCCTTCAGAGTGCTTGCCTCGGAATCCGTCTCTAGACATCAGATACTATCTGCGCGATGCTTCCTGGAAAGTAGTACTAAGTCTTTAAAGACATTTTGAGAAAAATGTAGTTAGGTATCAGTGGGACAATGCTTTGTGAGGAGCAAACTGAACTCGGTGTTTGGGACATCATCTAGGCACCGACGTAGCACAGCCCCACTCACGGCAGCAGCTCAGCCTTGTCAGCCACAAACACGCAGAGAGTATTGCCATGGTTAGAAAGCAAAACTCCCTTTATGAAAGCAAAATAAATAAATTATCTCCAAAGAACAACATAGTGCTAACATATATTTATTTTCGATGTTGTAAGTTGCCGCAGTGAGGAGTCATAGTCACGTGACATGGCCTAGATATATGCACCCAGGGATCTTTCTAAGCCTAGACTAGCTAGCTCATGACATCCATACCACCAAAATCTATCCCGTGCACCCGCCCCCCCTTATGTTGCCTGTGAGAGTTGTTGCATTTTTATGCCAAAGAAGCTTCAAGGAAGCTTTCTCCTTTGTTGACTACTGTACCTTTTTTTGAGAAGAATTAGCACGGCGTATGCCCCAGCAACCACTCATTCAAAGAACACGGAGACGGAGTAGGTGATTTGAGGCTAACAATATCTCCAATCCTAATATCTCAGCTAGCCCCGTCAAGTTCAGCTCTTCCAGCTTACTCTTGTGGTTGTTGCTCATAGCAGTGAGATCAAAGTTCACCTCCTCATATATTTCAACTATCTCCAAGTGCGTCATCCTTAGAAGTATAATTACATGCTTGTTACGGGAGTCTAGGTGGCACTTCAGGGTATGTCGACTCGCTACACGCGAACTTGGCCTTAATTATAGTTAGCACGAGCTGCAAGGGTGTAGTTTCCAAGCTGCTGCCTAACATCCCCTATCCAATGAACACGATAACGTGATATCGTCGTGTCAACGGTCAGTAGTGGTACGGACGTGGGGGCAATCATTGATACAGTATTGAGACTTGCTATACACAGTTTTTAGGCGCTGAGCGCGATATCGTCTTGGACAAGCTGGGCGGTGGTCCAGGGCTCCTTCGCTAGTGGATTATGTAGTAGGAGTCGTTCCATCGACGCGAAGGGTTCAGATGAATTCCTTGATGTAGCACTGATGAGAACCAGATACACAAGTGGGGCCCTTTCGACATGATACATGATATTACGTGACTTGCACATAGATGTGTCTGCTGTGTTCTTTAGATCAGGGCGCAGTTAACAGCTGAAACATAACTTTCCCACCATAACATACACACCAGAGCCGCCTGTGACACATGACGCTATCAATGCCGCTATGCTACGAGTTAGATTCTCAGGAAGGCTACGCTACTTCAGCGGTGTGGGTATTCCTACGATTGTACAGGTGAACAATAACATGATCAATATTTAAGTTGTACTTACAAATGAAAAGCACAATGTATCACCATGATTAGAACAAGAAGCCGCAAGTAAGCCTACCTTCTCCATTACAGAAGTTGTTCGTATAACGAACATGTGCAAAAGGTATAGCATTGAAAATCGCTACCCACTCTACTCTCCCTCTTTCCATTTCCAAAACAATCTATACATACGCATGAAACATCAATGCCACCCCCAAACATTCTATCCCCAAGCCCCAAACAACAAAAACCAATACCACACAAACTCCCACACTTTATACAAGCCCAAATCCCTTCGAACTTCGTATAGCCAACAGCATCTTCCCCTCCATAACCCCCCTATCCCTATATTCGGGCAAATACAACTTCCCAAAGCACGTCGAGCTACTTGGCAGCGCGTGCGGCGCGCCCCCAATCCGCGCAATATGAAACGTAATACTCTCATACCCAGTGACAGGCACACGGTCCGATGCCGTAACGAACTCAAGGAGGTGTCTACAATCCTCTTGACTGTATTTCTCGACAATTTCCCAGAAGGTTTGGATGGTAGGATTAGTGGTACTGTATCCTTCTTCGTATTTTGCGCAGCGCTTGAGGTCGGCGATGGAGATGTGCTGGGTTCCTTCGACGAGGGCGCGGAGGGTGGCCGGGGTGAAGAGATGCAGGCTTTTAGGTTTGATGCAGGATAGGAAGCCTTTGAGGAAGGATGCGAGTTGAGGGGCGACGGAGTCGTGGGTTAGTGCGCGGATGTAGTCGCGGATGTATTGGGTGCGGTTTTCGTTGGTGATCATGTCTGGTTCTTCGCTAGGATTTGAGTTGCTGAATGGGTGTTTGAGGTTGTGGTCGATTCTCTGGCCGTATAACTCATAGCTAAAGACGTATTCGCGCATGAAGACGTCTTCGACGTCGCTGTCGCTCCAGGATAGTAATTCTTGGAAGCTGTCTGCCAAGGCTGGCCAGCCGTCTCTGATGTACTCTAAGGCGTCCTGCTCAACAGCATGGGTATAGCGCGGACTACCGTTAGTCTGGAGATACTCGTAAAAGGCCAATGGGAATGTGACCGGAAGCGTAATACCATTATAGACAGCGAGGCTAAACAATATGCCAAGCATCTCAAATTTCCATAGCGGTTCAAGACTCTTGGGCTGAAACCAAGTCATTCTCGTTTGCGGGTCGATTGTGAACATGCCTTGAAAAGTTAAGTTATGCCTCAATGCAAAAAAAACCCCCGCAGGTACTTACCATGCTGAGGTTTGAAAGCCTCACTAAGAATCACACGGAAAAACTCATATGTTACTCCGCCGTGATCGACACCAATTTCTCCTTCACCATGGCCCATCTTAACTTTGAGCGGCTTGAGAAGCATTCTTTTGTCCTGGCCCCACAATTGATCAAGCGTGTCTTTTAATGGATCTTCTCGACTGACATCCAAGACGAGGTATTCGCTAAGGGTAACCTTCAGACGACTCTTGATGACCCACCAATAAGGTTCTCGAAGGAATATCTTGAGTGATGCTTGCATCTGCTGAGTGCGCATGGTGTGGTCATAGTGCTTCATCATCTCTGAGAAGTTGATTGTGCGAAAGTACGCTACCAGATGTTGAGCGGAGAATAGGCAAGTATACTGCAAAATGTGTAGGGTATTTGGCTTTTCCTTCCATGCGACGAATGCTGCAGGCTCGCTCACAGCGTTAAGGCGCTCGTTCAGGATAGGCATTTCAAACATTTTGGGGCGCAAGTTGAGAGACTGGTATCTCGAATCTGGGAGTGTTAGCTTGCCCTATGAGCTGGATATCGGTGGCTTACGAAGTTTATCCAGCATGATCACGGCAGTACCAACACTAGTCCATTTGTTGATCTCAGCTTTGCTATCCCACTCTTTGATTATGACGGTTCTTAGCCACTCTACAAATGTAGCTGTCACAGTCCAACCCGGATCACTCTCACTGTCTTGCTCACGATTGAGTTTGCGCTTGTTCGTCAATGCAACACGCTCAACTACTTCCAAGTGATTTATAACAATATCCAGAAGTGACTGATCAGTAGTTGGAGATTCTTCGTCACTATCTCTCAGACTGTTGAGGATGTGTTCAAAGCAACATCGCGTTCCAATTGCGCGACACAAGCGACTTGCAAGGCGTAACGCGGGCTCATATTCGAGCTCATCAATAATGTCCATATACGGGTCTGTAACATTATCGGTGTTAGGGACTGCATGTGGTACAATGATACCCCACGATCGTAACTTTCGGATTTGTGCCCACGTATGCGGCCAACCTATCGGCACCAATGAGGTCAAAGCATGTATGCATATCATGACAATATGAGCAGCCTCTTCAGTACTGAGGTAGCGTGGCGGAGTGTTTGATTTACCGTTGCTTTTTGCTTGCCCCGACAGACTTTTTGGAGGGGTGTTCTTGATTGAAGGTCTCAGACGAGGGCTTTTGTGGAGGGTGAGTTCGGGAGGCGGCCCAAACATGGCTTCTAGTGACAGGCACAAGCTATCAAAAACGAGAGCACCATTCCGGCGGTTCCAGTCTCGAAAAGAGATGGCCAGTCGATGCGAGTCAAGATGTGGAAGCGGCGAGTCCTTGAAAGCTGCGCTGCTCTCACGGAAAGACGAGAGCAACGTTTCAGGGTCGCTTAGTGTGTAGAACAATGATCGATTAATAATGGGCTTCGTTCGTCGGTTCGGGGGATGACCGTCAAAGTCGACGACATGATTGAAGTCCGCTGGTCTTTTGTCTCCATGAGGGCGTATCTCTTCTTTGAGTTCATCGAGAATGCTGCAGCTTAGGCTAGACAGGACATGTATACTGTTATCCATTCGGTTCGAGCTTGCAGAATCTCCCTCTGGAATCTCTAGTGCCTTTGGAGTTTTTCTTGCATCGTTCGAAGGGACTGAGTTGGCTCCTCCAATCGTGAAACTTTTTCTACCGGACTTTGAAATGGATAGCATGGTTGCAGCTGTCACTCCGTCGGATGGAGTGCTGTCTGTCTCTGTGTAGGATTGGCTTCGTACTTTACTATTTGGAGGGTGGTAAGGTATCCTGTGAATATGCTGACCATTGTGAACAACTTGGGCAGTTGGCTTGCCCGTTGTTGCCTTGTCACAAGCCCTTTGTGAATGTTCACATTCCGTGCGGGGCTTTGCATTCACATGTGCTAAACTGATATGTTCGCTTGAAGGTATCAACTCGACACTGGTGTTCCTATCATGCCCATTTGTCCTGGGGTTGTGTTCATTTTGGGGAGAGGCGTCATGGGAGGGATGTAGAGAAGCAAGTATGGAGGCGGAAGTGGGTATTTGTTTGGTATAGGAATATATCATGGCGAGACTGTCGTACAAATTCTGACCAAGCGCCTTTGGATCCTTCCTAACCTGTTGCCTGCGCGTGAGCTCGCTCATAGTGCTAACCTGCTCTTGTTGAGGTTGGTGACGAACATGTGTGTCGCCTTGGCCAGTCCCAACATGTTTGTCTCCATGCTGACGTGCTTGCTGCGCTGATGGAGCATGCACGATAGAGTCTTTTTCCAAACCATGTGTCGACTGTACTGAGCTACCACCCAATTCAAATGAAGACGGCGCTATGTTGAGGTCATGAGGACATAGCTCTCTCTGGGGATCGTCTTGACTGGCAAGGTAGTGGGCAAGGGCGGTGGCAGTAAGGTGTGTAGGAGGACGGTGGGGTTTAGAGGCATTGCGTTTGTGGGACGAGAGGCAAGTGGGGGTAGTGCAGTAGGGGCTCTTACAGCCGTAGAGGATCTGGGACAGGTAGCTGTCGTGGTCAGCGCATTGCCCCAAGGTGCACGAGCCGAAGGGGGACTTACTGTCGCACAAGGTGCTGGAACTGGCGCTGGCGCTCCGTCTGGGAGCATTCCAACACCCGACGAGGGTCTTGCACCTCTACAACATTGCTCAATCGGGTGCTGTCTAGGGCACGTGACGGACGCCTTGGCGGTTCTGCCAGCATCGCCGTGGATGATAAGGTTGGAGGGGAGAGGGTGCGCGGAGGGTCGCGTGGGTGCTCCGTTGGTTGTGACATGGCCATGTCATCGGCAGCTGCAACCATCTAAGCGCGAAAGGGAAGTGAAGACGGTGGCTAGCAGTGCTTTGGTGAATGTCATGGCGCGCTGGAGCGGTCACATACTGAGCGTCTCATCTCAGACGAGCAGGTCTCGACAGGCCATAGGGCTGAGTAGCGGCCAGTGGGTTGGTCGCTCTTGCCATGCGGCTCTCACCCGCTGCAGGGATGCCATGTGCCCGCGGCTTGGCGCCACAGCTGATGTCATGGCCGTCCACTTCAATATTCGCCGCATCCCTCGTCGCTGCGCCCTTTCCACCATCTCCGCCGTGACTAGCATTGCCCGCAGTGTCTGCATCTCAAACACTGCCTCTGGTACCCATTAATCAGCGCCGTATGATCCGGTTAGAGAATTTTGCCCCCCGGCCAGTCATAAAGGCCGTGACTCCAACCGCGCTACCGTTTCCCACACTTACCCCCACCTATTAATCGCCTTTTATTCCTCCCCTCTCCTCTCGCCTCCCTCCGCCCCTCTGACTGCAATAACGCTCAAGTCCTCGAAAACAGCGGCAGATATGGCGTCGCAAGTGCCTACTCAGGCGAATATCCAGTCCACACATCCTTTTACCTGCAACACATGTCAGGTCGCTTTCCGGTCCAGCGAGTTGCAGCGGGCACATATGCAAACCGACTGGCATCGCTACAACCTCAAGCGCCGCGTTGCCTCCCTCCCTCCTCTGTCCTCCGAAATCTTCACCGAGAAGGTCCTCGCCAACAAAGCCAGCGCTGCCGCCACTGCCGCCAAGGCTTCATTTGAAAAGTCGTGCTCCGCATGCCAGAAAACATACTTTAGCGAGAATGCCTACAACAACCATCTCAACAGCCAAAAGCACCGTATGAATGTGGCAAAATCCGCAAAGGGTGCGCACTTGGATGACTCTGCGTCCGTGACCGGTTCCATGGTCAGCTCTGCCTTTTCTCTCGGAGAGTCAATGGCCGAGTCCGAGGCTACTATCAATGGTGATGCGGATACTGAAATATCTGATCTCGCCCATGTTGTAAAGAAGACTACCCTCAACGGTGAGGCACTCGCGTCAGAAGATTCTGCCGAAGCCCAAGATGATAAGAGCTCAGTCGCTGCCTCTACCAAGCCTGCTACTGAACCTCTACTTGACTGCCTGTTCTGCAACTACAAGTCTCCCAGTTTCCAGCTCAACGTCACGCACATGAGTCGATTCCACGGCATGTTCATACCCGAGAAGGAATTCCTTGTCCAACCGGAAGAGCTGATTAAGTACCTACATGAGAAGGTGCATGTCTACCACGAGTGCTTGAAGTGCCACAAGGTACTCCACACTGCTTCTGGCATCCAAACACACATGCGCGACCGCGGTCACTGCATGATTGCCTTCGAAACTGAATTAGAGCTTGTTGAGATTGGCGAGTTCTACGACTTCCGAAGTTCGTACCCAGACGCCGCCGCTTTCAATGAGAGGGAACAGGAGGCTGAGGATTCAGACGACTCTTCGTCAACCACAGGAGGTGGAATCAAGCTTGGAGCGAGACGCGAGACCAAGACAACCACCGAAGATGATGCCGCCATGTCTAGCAATGCTGAAGAAGACGAGGGCTGGGAAACCGATAGCACCGTTTCGAGTGTGCCCACCGATGAAATCACAGCTGTCCCCATCGACCGCAGCCACCGCCACAAGTCCCTCAGCAAGTCCAAGCACCATAGCCATACCGATCCGCGTCCGCATCGCGCAGCAGACGGCTTCCACTCACATGCCCACCACACCCCTCAGGCTGTCTACTATGACGACTACGAGCTGCACCTGCCTTCCGGCCGCACCGCTGGCCACCGATCCCTCAACAAGTACTACCGCCAGAACCTCCGCAACTACCCCGGCGTAGCCGAGCGCATGGAAGAAGCTCAGCGCCGCGCTATCCCCGGCGCCCTTCCCGCCCCCGAAGACCAAGACGGCGACACCAACATGGACGCCGATCAGCAAGTCCAACTCCGTGGCCGCGGCCACGACGTCAAGCGCCAGCTCATCTCGTCTCGCAACAACGGGCTGCACGGCATGACAGGCGTCACGGACGCGAAGAAGAAGGAAGTCGAAGCTGTGGAAAAACGCGACCGTCAGAAGGAGCAGCGCGCAAGGAACAGATACCAGGCTGGCAATGAGCGGAGGAATAACCACCAGAAGCATTTCCGTGATCCGCTACTGCAGTAGTTGGCGTCGGTTTCCTTTGAGGGTCTGCGACTTTGGCTTCTTTTCTTTTATTATGCGGGTTTGGTCACGAGTTATGAGCATGATTGGCGTTTTTGATGGACTCTTGATTTCAGTGTAAAAGCGGGGAGGAAAGAGAACTACAGACTAGCTGGCCGGTTGGGCAGAAGGAATTAGGCTGGGTGTGTAGCTTGTATTGCTAGTGCTGTAGAGCATTTTTGCTCCCCTCCCCCCTTTGGGAGCTTTGAACGTACTGATGTCACTTTCCAATGGCACGTATCTTTCTCACAACTTGTTCTCCAATCCTGAAATTGCCATTATAGGTCCCATGCAACGGATGTAGATTGTATCAAGCCACGAGTTTTACTATGGAGGATACGAGCAACCTTCACCTTTATCTGCAATCTTTGATGGACAACCAGCTGGACGAGAAACTAGAGTAAAAGAGATCTACTAGACAAGCTAAAAACTCATGACTTGGATGATGTGGAGGAGTAGTGATGCTGAGTGTGGACCGCGCTGAGACGTTGAGTTGTGCAGATCATTTGCTTGTGGTCTTGGGCAAGGGGACTTAGGATTCAATCTTGCTATCCCTGCTCTGCATGAAACATTTGTTTGAGTAGTAAGCAGTTAATCATTCATTACTGTACATCCATCTGCTGCAGATGTTGAATCAACGCAACCACAAAACAGAAATCAAAAGCCATCAATGTGATGCTGGCATGATGCATCCACAGTTTCCCTCTCCTGCTCTTTCTCCTAGTCGATCTCCTTCTCACCCTTCAGTACAACCTCACATAGCGAACATCGGCAGAGACACGAATGCTGGTCAAGCTATTCTGGTAGTTGGTACGGAGCCAAACCTACAGTTTCCGGCCCTATACAACGCGTCAGCTCTACACTATTCCATCTATACAGAGTACCACTTACTAGCAAATGCAGGTTTCACGACCTTTTTCCCCGTGACTCTTTCGATGTCCTGGATCACAAGGCCCATTGGAATGAAGAGGGCGTTTCCAGAGCTGCTAATCCCAAACAGCAGTCCTAGATGCGCGCCAGACTCTTGATGCAACAGTATACTGCCAGAGTCGCCAGAGTCAAGGAATTCTGAATCCTTAGCACTGGCTTTGACTGCCTCAAAGCATGATCCACGATATGTGTCAGTGAATCCATAAATTTTAGAGATCTGCGCATCTATGGTGGGGTCGATGAGGACAATCGTAGAATTGATATTTCCCCGGGTCTCATGTGTGGTGCGTCCAAACTTGACAACGGCAATATTTTTTTGGTTGGCATTGAAAGTTGACCATTTATCGCAAGGCATGTTCGGCACTAGTGGCAATACCCTTCCGGACACGTTTTCGGGTAACTGATTGACGACATCGCGTTGCTTGGCGTTGTCGATGCGTATCAAAGCCCAATCTAGGATCCAATGGCCTTGAGACTCTGGAATCTGTTTCTCCTTGAATTTGTCTGTCTTTTCATCTGTTGCATACTTGCTAGCTGCAATGGTCCTGCGGCCCGAACCTGCGTAGACTCGACCAAGGTAGCGATTCACCCTCGGGACAGCCCCGACCTTAGTCCGCTGATTCGAGTATTGAAAGTCGATGCCACTTCCACTCACATATTTCAACAATATACCAGTATTCGTACATGTCGATGGGGCAGAAGGGGGGCCAGCCCTATAAGATGCCGAGGAGAGTCACCGTAGGAAAGAGGGGTGATATCTCTCTCGTTCAGACGAAGACATACCGTGCTGGGTGGTCAACTCTACCACCTATACCTATCGACACTATCTTCAAATATGCATTTAAGGCTGTTATTCGCTTACTTCGTACACCTTCTGTTTTCACACTTCTTCAAGCTCTAACACGTACAGTGACACACTGTTTTGGCGAACCAGCCCTATACAACGCTAAGGCGAGTAAGCGTAAGAAGAAAAAGCGGTATCTATCTCGCTCAGGTGAAGATATATCTGTCTTGCTCGGACGAAGAGATCCAAGACAAGATGGACAAGGGAGGGCTTAGCTACACTTGCTAGTAAGCGCCAAGGTTCAAGACGGCATAGATATACTCTAGATACTTAGGCCTCTAATCGCCCCAAGACACCTACTCCGCAAACATATCGAAACATAAAACTTACTAGCATCTACTTCGACCACATAGTTAAGCTGCTAACTAAGACCAGTAAGTATGTACAATATATGTATCCTCGGGATCACGTCATGGGAAGACCGAGTGACAGCCCCAAATTAACTTCAAATGCAGCCACGTTTTACCAAGCTAGCAGAAGAATTCCTGGGACGTTCAAAAGAGGACATCTCCCGGTGTATGCTTAAGACTGAGTGACAGTCCTTGACAAGCCGCGGAACGAAGCCCAGGACCGAAGACAAAACCCTACCTTCGAGCCGGCCTCTTTTCGCAGTTTCCCTATCCGCCAGGGTAGCTTCACACATTACAACAAGAGGTTCAGATACGGTGGAAGGTCGTTGATTTCTGGTGCATCGCGAGGAACGCTAAAGACGAAGCTCTATACCCCATTGTAGATACCTTGAGCCTGTGGTCATGTAGTGTCAGATTGCATTGAAGAGGATGGCTATTCCGCGACAGAAAATCTTGTGCAAAGATTTGACCGTGAAGATGGAGTAGATTTTGTGCAGGCTGGAGATGTTTGTCGCGATGCAGCTTCGAGGTCTTCGGGGATAGCAGAGATGGTGGAAAAGGATGCAGATTCGTTGTTAGACGGGGCGCTGTATCGAAGTTGTGTAAATGAGAGATTGCACTGGCAGTTAGCAAGGTAATTCGGGCCCCTGGCTTGCGATCTTGTGATGAGTTTGATGTGAGACCGAGTTAGGATTTGATTCTGCTGGGCAAGACATCTTCGTTGTGTGCGTGTATATTTCACCCTATATTTGGTTGGGGGGAAGACGGTTCGTCTCGAGGGTGAAACTGGTGACAATACCAAAGTCGTTGCTGTAGCCGCTGCGTAGTGGCCAATGTGGATCTGGGGATTGTGTGGGGCTTGTTGCGACGCTGATACCGCTTGTTATGACGATCTGCGAAGAGGTCAGCTTGGAATCCTTTTTGCGGACAATTTAGATGCCCCAGTTCGAAGGTGGCAACATTGAATGGGTCTAGCCGTAATATCTATTACAGTTCTAGATCACGCTGCAAGAATATTGCCCCGGTTGTCGTCCGGCTGTACAGTGATCGTATTCTTTTCATCCGCCCCCTTGATACTCTTCCGATTTTCGAACAACATAGTGATGCCCCTTTGATCTTGGCGGCGCCTAATAAGGCACCATGTCTACCATGCTTGATAATAATTGGATACTGCGAGAGTCATGATGGAGGCACCAGTAACAGAACTAAAGAAGAAACGAGAGGCTTGTATTGGTAGATGCGATACGGCATCACTTCGGCAGAAATCCCGGATCAGAACAGAGACACGAACCCAAGGTAACCTGTCTCATATGGAAATTCAGTGGTGTGATCCTCGTACATGCATTTGAGCGGGTGGAAATGATGTCTGCGATCCAGATCGAATGCGTGACATCGAAGTCGGGAGGATCAAACATCTGCGATGCCACAAGACACATGAAGGCTGCCAAGGTAAAAGACCGCGCGGCCCACTGGAGATAAGCAGGTGATGCCGAGGTATCCTACTGCGTCGGCTAAGAAGGCCGAAGATTGATGGATTATGAAGACTCAAAGATCTTGTTGGCCCCGAGTCGGAGGCTTATGTAGAGCCGATTAGGTTCGGAACCTTAATGAAGTAATGCGATTACCATAAACGCGGCACGGCACGGCTAGATCGTGGTCTGTTACCCGTTTTTAAATTGCGTAATTGTACCTTTTGGTTATAAGAGAGAAAGGTTGCTTTAACTGGAGGGTGACCATCTTCAACAAAGCGTACTCGTTACGAGTGGAACTTGTAGTCTATTTGACGATAGGAAATCGAACAAGTAGTACCATGCACACTGCCATATATTAAGGAGCAAATCAGAGCCCAATTATCCCCTCCCCACAACAGGACGAAAGAAGAATCCTTTCTTGCATACGAACGAAATTTGTGGGCGCTTTCGATACGAAGGTGATACGCGGCGCTGTGGTTCAGAGGACTTTGTTCTAGGTTGATGATGAGACAGGCACAAGGGGGCTAGCCGCATGTGGGTTTTTCCCGCCCCGTCATTGGCCCGAATCCCTTAGTGCAATAACTATATTTGTATTAAAAATTGGCTAGCATGAAGAGGTGGAGAAGGGGGGCCCAGACTGCTACGTACTTACTGAAAAAGGTGCATCGACTCATGGCTGTGCAGCAAGAAGGATTCTGCTCGGGTGAAATGAGATATCTTGGCTGGGATATTAGACCGTGTCGAATATATACAGGTATTTAACTCCATGCTTCGGGGCTGTATCGCCTATCATAAACCTTGGACCATGGATAAGGCCTCCCTCGAGGATGTACACTCGCCTGTGCTTGTTTGGTACTTGGGAACTGGGATACCGCAATAGAATGGCGTTCCATTACTACTTATCTGATTTCTTGGCATGTAACCTGGGCGTTCGGACTATTTGTCTTCCGCACGAGTAGTGGTTGCGCTTGTACTGCCTATTCCAATAACAATTGTGCTTGGCCATATACGTGCGGGGGATAACGCAATGCCCCCCCAGCAAGAGGCTGAATAGCTTGGATTTCAGCAGCTTTTACTTACATACCCCTGGAAGCTCTCAAGGTCTAAACCAGGTGCTACATGACGGGCCTCCTCCTCTTGATCGCGCCTCGTGTACAAGCCTTTCGGCCTCGTTCTCGTGAACGGGCTTCTCGTTGATTTGTTTTTCGTTCCATGGTACATGACAAGTCTCAATAATGCCTGCATCTGGATGCACAGAAGATACCCTTCGAGGCGCCGCCATCGGCCTCATGGTTGTTACGACCATCACGATCTGCTCACGAGCTGTTCTGCGCGTCGACAGGAATACCTTTGTGCAGTGGGATGAAATATGGTTATTCGTCGGCTACCTATTGTTCATGACAGTAACGTCTGTCTACATAAGCAAAGCGGGTGTCCTATTTAGGATCCTGGACGTGGAAGAAGGGCGACTTGCCCCTTATCCCAGCCTCGCCGAAGACGAATTCCACGAGCAAAAGACATTCTTCTTCACTAATCCGGGACTATGGTTCACGCTATGGAGCGTCAAATTCTCCCTGTTAGCCTTCTACAAGAGAATCATGGCTGGCATCAAGTCATACGAAAACTGTTGGTGGGCGGTCCTAAGTTACTGTGTGATTGTAAGTTTCAATCCTCCTCGATGTGCACTTTGTCGGCCATGAACTAACATGAGAAACTAGTCTCTGGTTGTAGTGATTGTCCTGCATATCACTGCTTGCGGACCTAGTCCTTCACTCTGGTTTGATCAAGATGGATGTAGCGCTGATGATGCTCGCCAGCCATTGATTAGTTTTTGGGCAGGCTTCACAGCCGACCTCACAACAGATCTCATGAGTAAGTTCATTCTGCTCCCAATACTCCTAAGTAATGCTAATCATGTTTTCTAGTCATGATTCTTCCCATTGGTGTTATAAGAAATCTACATATACCCATAGTGCGCAAGATGCAAATATGCACTCTGTTTGGGCTGGGTCTCTTGGTCGTCATTGCCAGTATCATCCGTGTGATTCAGGTTGGCACAACTATCGGCCCAAAAAGAACAACGCCGGCCGGAACGTGGCTTGCGTTGTGGAGCATAGTCGAATCGTCTGTTGCCATTATCGTCGGTTGTGGTCCAGGGCTATATCGAAAGGCGAAGTCCGTCCGCAGCAACACTCCATCATACGCATACAATAGCCGCGGTTATATCAAAACATCGGACAGCAGAAGGGCAAACGCTGAGAAACATTCAGAAGAGCTGTATGGACTTCCAATAAATACCAAAATCTCTGGCCGTTCTAGTGAAGGAAGTAAGGAGGAGCTGATAGAGAATGATGGGGCTGGCAAGATCACGGTAACAAAATCAGTTACAGTTCATTGAATGAAAGTAATATGCGTGCATCTTCACAGCTGCGAGAATTGGAACCCCAGAGCAACTAGCTATAGTCATTTAGGATGAGGGTTTTGGCACCAACAAGTTATTCCCGATGACCAGGAATACTGGTAAATGTACCAACTTCGAAGCTAATATGCCGGGTTGGTCCAGAATTTTCAGCTATGCTCGTGGGCGCTGATCGTGCTGTGCTTGAAGGGTATTGTCCATCACGATGATAGGGCAACCGCTTTACAATTCTGCCAATTGAGAGAGAGAGAGACGCTCACTAAACAAATCGCCAAGGTTGCTGCCGACGAACGCCGATCCACTGCTCGTGTCTCATTATTGATTAGGCATTCTATATCATCCCCTGGCCCACCAATCCCACAATAGTTGAGACAAATCGATCTTGTGAACTTCGGCCGAAAGATGCTTGTTCATTCTTGGAGATTACCTTCGACACGACCGGGGTAGCATGGATCGCATTTGGCTTCTGGAATGATCCTTCAATCATTGATAGTACTGCTTTGTATGTATACATCAACTTTGAGTTGAATAGCGTGTTGGCAATGCTTCGGGATTTTTTGATATCACCTGAACTTGATCTTTAGGCCATACAAAGAAATGTTTGAATCGTCCCAGGTTGCCTTGCTCAAAGCAGATAATAGCAGAGCCTGCGACAAAAGATGGCTAAGAAGACTTTGCAAGGTCATTTCGAAACTGGCGAGCAGGTTGCGTGTATTCTCCCACATATTGCATAAGCAGCGGCGAGGCTCCATTAGTGTCGGACAGCCATAACCCAGTACAGCCGCAGTACATATAATATACATATACAGTCGAAGGTCCCACTTATTTGCCTCCAACTCTTTTGTTCTTAAGCTTGATCGTCTCTCCGTTGACAAAGATGCCCTTGCCCTTGTAAGGTTCCGGTTTTCTCCAATTTCTGATCTCTGCTGCAAACTGCATGACCACCTCTTTCTCAGGACCCTCTAGTAGTAAGCGTGTTGGCTGTGGTGTGCTTGCGGCAACGCCCTTGGGTATGCCCAGCTCGACTGGGTGAGAGTATCCGACCTTCAGATTGATGAACTTTTGACCGGGGTATTGTGAACTGACAGTAGTTGCGCTATCTTCGACCGAGGCACGGAATCCAACACCAACGAAGCGGAGAATAGCGCTATGGCCTTCACTCACACCAAGAATGTGATTCTGGAGGTATGCGCGGGTGGTACCTGTTCACGCATTAGCAATTGAGGGAGTTTGGAAAAGGTACAGCATTCGTACCCCACATGGCTCTTTGCTTCGCATCCGTCGCATCGTCAATGGAGAGTGTGGGACCATTCGGGTTCGCATCTTGGTTGATATTGATGTACGGAGGGATATCCATAGTAAGTTCACCAAGCGGTCCTTTGATATGTACTGTAGACATGGCTTGTATGCGTGATCCCTTGTCTCTTGCTGAAGGTGCGTTTACCTTGAAGGTGACGCCCTGGGGTATCGAGAGCGGCGCAGAGCCGATCTTGGACTGACATGGCGCGGTGCTGGTAAAGGTCCTTTGCCGTGATGGTCTCGAAAATGCGGGTAATAGAAAGGTCGGTATTGCGTCGGCGGATTGAATTGGTACCTTTGCAAGGCGCCAGGCGCACCGTTGTCGGACTGTGGCGAACATCTTGTATCACTGCTGGTAATCACTTCCGCGAGAATTTCGGGAAACCGTAACTTATTGCTGACTCATCAAATCCCCATGTCTCGTGATAGCGCGTCATCGGGGGGTCTGATTGGTTCGCTCGTCAACACCTTCCTCTTCTCATCCCATCTGGGAACACCACAGAATGCGCATTTCTTTTCTGCAAATCATGTTGTGCAACTACAACAGTTAATACTGACGGTCGATTTGAACTACGTGGTCTCATCTTCTGGCCAAAGCTGTTCGCTCTCTCACTGACCAAAGACCCTCCTACAGATTTGCTCTCACCCAGATATCACCGAAAGTCTTGATACTTTGGTACACTGACCGCCAATCTTCCCCCATTCTCTCACTATATAGAGGGCAACTGAGTACGCCACTAAGGTCGTTCGTGGTATATGCTGTCTCTCGCCCTCTTTCTCTCTCCTGTTTCTTCTACTTTGGTCGTTGTCTCGCTCACGGGTTTACCATCATTTCCACTACTATGACTATTCAACAACAAAAGCAGCTTCTTAGTATTTGGGGTGGGGTCACTTTTGCGAAACTTCTAATCTTGGGCATCTTCTTCCTTCCAAAGGCACTTGCCCACTATCACTCACCGCTAGCAGACGCAGCACCTACTATCAATGTCAATTCACTTTTCCAACACACAACATCCAGGAACCAAAAGGTGATCACACAAGCCCTTGGAATCGTATCGTCCATGCAAAATGCACCCACATGCACCCACATGGCCGCTTCGCACCTGATGAACGAATGCAAACTACTGGAACATGCGCCAGAGTTTACGAAAAGTCGACCAGAGGCTTATCTTGATAAAGTCAAAATAGAATATGCAGCCAAGCTAGCTGTTTGCGAACTACTAAGCACTCAACCAGTCAATTCAGTTGCGCCGCCACATTGCAACATACTCGTTCCAGCTGCTAAGCATTGTGACAAAGGCGGTAGCTGGTGGCTTGCTCGACCAGCGATGGTATCTGAAGACAAGCAGTGCTACCCTGATTTCAAGGAATACCAGTATATGCAATGCCTCAAGAGCCTTCAATCAACACCTCAGTACTGGACATCATTTAGCAATGCCCGTCAGAATGCAATTGTTATGTGTCAGGCAAGCAGAGACGCCATTGAACGAGAAAACCACTTGGAAATTTTCAAAAACCTGACCAAGGTTGTGGGTGGTGTGACTGAAAACATGCACAAGACAACAGCAGAATACGAATCTCTGATTCATGAACAGAGAAAGTACGCCGAGGAAGCCAGAAACACGCATCAAGAACTCAGAGACGACATTCAAGCGGTTCGGATAACAGCAGTCGCAACAGTGGAGGTGATAGATAACAAATTCAATACCTTTATGAAGTCTTCGATCTCGAACCTCATAGCAGCGCTGGCCACCAGTCAGAGCAAAGAGATTGATCAGATACATGAGAAGATGCAGGAGTTCTTGCAAGACTTAATGTTGGAGAGCTCACAGCTTGCTAAGTACTTCACCGATCAGCTGCAGCAATACCACCAAGGTGCTCTGTCTAGTTTACAATCCAATCACAAGGCACAGGTGCGCAGCTACGAAGTCCTGTCAAACTACATGGGTGTTACCCAAGACACCATCAACAGGACAAATCAAGCCGCCGACCGCTCTCTCTACAAAGTCGACAGCATCGCCCAGCGACTTGATATCTTTGAATCGCAAACCAAGCACATCGCCGAGGGCTTTGCATTCCTCAGCGCTATGCCGACGCTCGTCAAATCGCTTGTACATGGATTAGTAGCTACAGCTGGTAGCATCTTCACTTTCTTTGTCCTCTTCAAGCTTAACATGAGACTCGCTATATACACTGTCGGCGCATGCAGTTGGACTTTCCTCTTCTACACAAGCGGTACCCTGTACTGGCTTGCATCGCCATCTTCACACACGCATGATACAGAAGCCTTCAATCCGCTCGCTATCTTCGACAATATGTCATCGTGGCAAAAAGTCACGGGTATGCTACTGCTATTGTGGCTGAGCGCATATCCCATTTGCCGGCTCAATATCTACCTTGGCGGCTTTGTTACCATGGCGTTCCGACGACTTGCAGGACTAATCTGGTTGTACGAATACAGCAATGAGAGTGGTACTGCATATCTACCCTGCATCGAAATCCCTGCACCAGTACCAAATGTTCCACCCAAAGACAGCATTCGAGCCACCCGGCAGCTGAACTGACAAGGCTAGAACTGCAAGGGGTCTGGTCGATCTATTTCTGCTATTCAGAATTCATGCGAGCGATATAACACATTAGCAGCTTTTTGTCATTTTGAAGGACATATCTAGGGCAGCCGAAGGCGAAGGGGGACGCATATTCACTACCAATTCATGACGAGAAACAAAACGCCTGAGCTAGGCAGGGGACATCTTTTTTCCAAAAAGTATTTTCAAGGACGACATCGTTATGCAGGAATCGGCACATTTTCATTCGCAGCGTAGCCTCTCATGAGCAGGAAGCACAGGCAAAATAGGGAGATACTTGTCTCATATGATAGTTAATCATAATATATTTTTCTTCACGTCTTCGATTCGCCGATCCATAGGTGGTCTAATCTTCGTCATCAGGTAACTCCTCTATACGCCCCGAGCGATACGCCTCCTCAACTGGATTCTGTACGTTCATAACGCCCGTAGCCTTGAGTCTGCAATTCATCATTAGTAACCTCTTATACAAGCAAGCACAAGAGAAGATATCAACGTACCTTTCAAACAGCACAAACAGCCGCTCTGCCTCCCTCTCCTTCTCCTCCTGCGTCATAGGCTCCTGCGGCACCTGGTCTTCCCTGTCTAATCTCTGTCCCGTAATAGGATTGATCGGGATCCCATTCGCGATATCTTGGGGCGCATCGGACTTGATGACTTCCTCGGGCATCTGGATGTTGTTCGACATGAGGTATCCGGATGCGAAGCCGTATCCGACGTTATGCACAAAAGTCGCGGGGTCCTTGTGCGAGAATTCGAAGAGCATGGATGAGATTGAGCCGCGGAGGGTGGAGGTATGGGCTGAAGTGGAGAGATTGAGGAGGCGCGAGGGGAGGGTGTCTGATTTTCCGAGGGGGCGGTCGCGTTCTTCGGTTGTAGGTAGGATCATTTTCTCCATTGTTTTTTGGGCTTCGGTTGGAGCGATTTCGTAGACGCGGCGGATGAGGGTCAGGAGGGGGGTTATGGTGTCGTCTAGGTCTTTGGGCGGGTAGGCGATGATGGCTTTGTCGAGGGTTTTGATTAGGTGCTCAGCGTTGCGTTTGGGGTCGTCTGCTGGGAAGACTGCTTTTTTGCCCTCTTCGTCTTCCAAGTCCAAGTGTAAGAGCGCATTTACTAGTTCTCTTGCAGGGGCTGCGAGTGGCGGCTGGACAGTGCCACTCAGAACTAGGATTTTAAAGACATTGGGTATCGACTTTGAGAATTCGGGGCTCAGGTCTTTGTGGAAGTGGATGATGTTGAAGACAAGTTTGAGTGTCTCGGACAGCGCCATGAGCTCCATGGGTTGGCGTGATGTGGGTGAGTATCGGTTTGCGTGCCGTTCTATGGCGGCGTTGATACTCTCTGCTAGTTGGTTCTCGCGCACGAGCTGTGTGTAGTCGAGGTGCGCATCGTAGGTCATGAGGAAAAGCACGCGCGCGGCAAGGAATTCATCATCAACACTGTTGCTCTTCACGAGATTCAGTACGGTGTTGTAGAATGAATAGGCAGTCTATATCTTACCTTTAGCTTTTCTGCTGCATGCGGACCATGGCCCAGGTCGACTAGGATCTGGCGCGTTTTGGACTGGAGCAGCAGTGCGTTCGCTATGCATCGGAGGGCCTCTTGCGATGCTGGAGTAGTGTTGCCTTGGAATGCATATTGTCCTAATGTTCGTAGGCCCTGTCGCGGTCATCATACTGTTGCTAACTGACAGGGTTGGATAGCGTACATCTTGGGTAAATATGGGGTCAGAATTGTCGACTGACCGCCCATGTACCTTGAGCTGCTCGAGCAGATTTCTTCTTTCTGTTTATTTGGTGAGCAGTCTTGCTTGCTATGCGCTGCAGAGAATCGTACGCTCGACCGAGAGTTTGTTTGCGTCGAGGTCGGTCTTGAGCTCGGCGAGAATGCGTGTGACGTCGTCAAGTTTCGCTAGCAAAACAATTGATTAGCAACGGCCAGGCGCAGCAGCACTCGGCTTCTCGTTGGAGCATTACACACCCTTTCCTGTCTTTTGCGACAACATGGCGGTTGAGGCGCGGGGTGATTGCTAGAAGATGAACCGGCGGGCAGCATAGAAGGTCCAGGGCGGGAAGCCCCGCCAGGGACATCAATGCGACCGACTAATAATAATGGTTACTGAGGGACCGTAACCAACTAACTAAGAATAACTAATTAGACGATCCAAACCAGAGACCGACAAGTGCACGCGAGACACAACCAGCGGCCTCACGTGCGTCTGGTGTTTGGCAGGGGGCGGTCGTTGGCTCGAGGGTCCGTCTCCCGGTGAATGGGGCACTTCTGCCACTTTACGCGGGCGCGTCCCGCCTAAACGCGTCGCCAACACCAGCCTTTGCATCTCGAACCGGGGCCAGTCGATCCCTCCCGACACGACCACTTGCTCTATACATTTCATCGCGCGCACGGGGACGGCCATGTGAATGCGGTCTCGGTTCCTTTTTTGTTTTCCCTCTCTCTGTCTCTCTCGTTGCCAGTTGTTTTACGCATAGCCATGGTCTTGTCCAAATTCGATGCCCTTTCTGTTCGCCCACCAACACCACCCAAAGACCAGGAAGACACTGGCGTCGACGAGACACTGCAGTTTCTCGAGGATCCCTTTGGAGAACAGCCTGCCGCGCCCAGGCTCAAAGTCGTAAAGGCGCCAAACACGCCAGAAAAGTCGCCTTCATCCGACATCGACGTTCCCTCGAGCGCGGCCAGCGCGAGGAAGAGAGTCAACTTTGAATTGCAGACATGCGGCAACATCACCAACAAAGCCCTCGCACACTCCTGGACACCCACACGTAGCTCGCCGCTCCGCCCACTGCCCCAAACCCGCCTCACCAAGCCACTCAAGTCAATCCTCAAGCCCTCCGACGGCACCCCTACGCCTCCACCCGCCGACGACGCGGTTGCCGCACACAAGTTCAGGTCCTTTGCCGAGATGCTCGAGTCTATTGTGAAGCTGCTTGCTTCATCAGAGCGGTCGTCGCGCATGGATGCATACAAGTCGCTTGAGAGGACCATGCAGGCCTACGACAAGATTCCAGATGAACAGGCCCTCAAGCAAAAGATGTCCTTGCTGACCCAATTCATTCGCCGCGACTCTCAGGCTCCCAGTATGACTGGCACAGGACTGGATTCGCAGCTGGTTGGACAAGCAATGAAGTTGCTCATGGCTCTGTTCCGCATCCCGGACCTCCTATCTACCATGGATGACGACTTTTGCGCCTTTATCATTGAGCGCATCATTCGCATGGCCAGTGATAGCACCATACCCAAGGCTGTCGTTAATGTCCATCTTGCTGTTCTCATGCAGCAAAATTTCCGGCCCAAGATTGTGACTGTAGCCCGTGTTGAGAAAGCTCTGGACGCGCTCGACACCATCCACGAACGTGTTTCCGGAAATGCTGTACAAGCCTACAGAATACGCATATATCGAAAGTTTATCCAGCAACGACCAGATGTTATGATCAAATATACTGAGAGATGGTTTACACATACACTCAAAGCTCTGGTGTCAACTTCAAAAGATATCAGCCAGAGTGCCCTCGATACTACTGTGACAGCCGCAAAATCCATCGGCCACGATCGGAACGTCGCCAGATCCGTACTAGCTGTGCTTAACCGTACCAAGAGCGATGGTGGGACCATCGCGGGTGTCTTTACAAAAGAGTTGGGGCGGATGCTGGATGGCGATCACGCTGTATCGGTGCCTCAAATCTGGGCTGCAGTCACAGGTCTACTGAAAGACTCGTTGAACGGCGAAATGTTTACCACAATGAAGGAATGGCTCGAAGTCTTCCAATCTTGCGTCTCTTCCGAAAAGGAACAGGTTAGGGTTCACTCAAATGTGGCTTTCTGCTTCCTCCTCTATTCTGTCAATCTAGGACCAAACACCACAGAGGCGTGGTCAAAGATGTTCCTGAGCATTGCACTGCATGCGTTGCAACGGAGCACATCCGCCAAGAAGCCTGAACGAGCTCCAATCTCGTCTAGCTACTTCACGCTGCTATACTACGGACTTCGCCCCACAGCTTCTTTTGCACAGCTTGACCGATATTGGAACGAATTCGTGGCTTCTGTTTGGAACCCATTGATTCATTCAGCCCCAGGCCAGCATGCCCTCCCTGCATGTCGGTTAGTGTCTGCTCTATTAGGTGGCTCTCGGAAACCGTGGAATGAATGTCGAACACTGGATCTCAGGCCACAGTATATGATCCAACGCGGTGAGCTACCTCTAGTTGATCCAAGATGGGTTCGAAAATCGATCGCCCGGGTACTTCGATTTGTTGAAACTCTGTTGGATGCCACTCTCTTGACCGAAACCAAAGACCCCGAGGACGAGCCCGTCAAGGCAATGTGGCTCTCACTAATCAGCTCACTAGTCGAAGCAAGTAGCAAAGAGATCATGGCTTCCACAGAGACCAAAGATGCCATGGCGCAGATTGTCAATTTGTTGCGCCGAATCTGGGATCGACATACTGCAAAGTTAGCGGTGCCGCAGAAAAAGGAGGATATCTGGGCAGACAAATTCTGCTTCCTGATAGAGACAGTTATCCAGAAGATGGGGCCTTTCCAGTTTGCGGATAAGAGTCTTAGTCGCAACGACAAGAACGAGTTTGAGGTCGCATCAACACCATCCCACAGGTCACGAAGTCATGGTACGCGTACATCACCACTTCTCTATTTGGTGGATCTTTTGGTTACTCAATCCGAGGGCAAACTTGCTGATCCTGTTCGACTCCGTGTCATGGAAGTCATCATTAAGCCTTGTTTTGCGGCTCAAAATACTCGACTAGGGAAGTTGGAACTTTTGCGAGACTGCGCCGCGACTGTTGGTGGCTCACTCAAGGGTGCCGTGTCATCGAGTTTTTGGGCTCAGATCTCTAGCTTGTTAAATGCAACACTGAATGAGTCCGTGGTCGCATCCAACGAACGTGTCGTCGGTCCGCTTGGGAAGGAGTACGAGACTGTTGTCGAAGTCTTGGGCTTGGGAGCCGACTCGTTGATGAACAAACCTTGTGGCTGTGAGGTGTTGTCAACCCTTATCGGTACGGCTCGGCGAGAGGCTGGAGATGGTGCACTCATCCTAGGCGTCATCGAAAAAGTATCCGAATTTGTGGTGAAGCGCGTACCCGAAGAAGAACAGTCTTCTTGCCTCCCATATGCAAGCATATTGCTCCGCAATCTTCCTAAGCAGATGAGTCGCAAACTGCTAGATCAGGGCCGACAAAACCTGTGGCCTTCAAATCAAGCCACTGGACGTAACGCAGATTTCGATCCCTACGTTCATCTATATGGAGCCATTGCCGTCGTCAGTGCGGCTGCATACCGGGATCTCGACAGAGACGATGTTGAGTCAAGGAAGGATTTCCTATCTGCTCTAGCTACGTCAATCCAGCACTGCCCAACCTCTCAACTTGCCGTGTATCTCCGGAAGACGCAATACTGGATCACAGTTTGGATTGAAGACCCCGAGGAAAAGATGCAGAGCAGAGACGAACCGTTGAAGAGTCTTCACCGCGAGGTTGTCAGAATGTGGCAAGAAGTGAGTAAAGCTATTGAGAGGCTACCAAGGAGGGATAGTCAGACTTTGCTCCATCTGGAAACCTTGATCACTGCAGGCTTTGTTAGTAGGCGGCGAAGTATCGTCAACATCTCCATCGAGACCTGGAACAGCACCTTTGGAAAAGAGGATAGTTTACAATATCCTGCTAGTCTTGAACAACCTTTGCGTTGTCTACGTGGCAGTGTAGACCTTTCGTTACCCTCATTGGAAGTTCGAAAGGAAGATGCCGTAAGTATCCATCTGATGTTCAACGTACTCCAGCTAACCTCGGAACAGACGCACCAGCCTTCATTCTACGAGTCTGACACTAGCACTGATGATACCAAGCGGCCGTTCAAGAGTCCCCGGGTAAAGGACTCGCCTTTCAAAATCTCAAAATCAACACGAAGGTCAGCGTCAAGATCTCCAGCAGTTCCGAAGTCAGCGTCGAGAAGGGCGCCTGCAAGGGGCACACCCAAAGCTCGTCTGCGACACGACAACTCCCAGATCCAGTTCGAATCCATCGTTTCATCGCCGTCAAATCCATTCGATCAAGAGTCCCAACTATTGACCGAGCGCCAAAAGGAGATGATTGATCGCCAGAGACAATCGACTGGCTTATTTTCGAACATAAGTGCTCTCTCACCTCGACCGGACGAAGTGCCCTTGCCCATGGAGATTGACTCAGATGCCCAGACTGCGAATGATTTGCCAGACCACAATGTTCAAGCCACTCCACTGAAGACTCTTGCAGCGATGGGACCGATGGACGCCTATCTTGGATCCTCGCCTACCCCACATACCCGCAAGAGCATCCAAAATGTCGTCAGTGAGGATACTGATGTAGCGACCCCTACTGCCGTAAGGAGCATCCAGTACGCTGCAGATGACGAACCAAGGTCTTCACCACCTGGCTTCCGTAAAACAACGCAGTTGGAGGCCGATACAAACAATAGTGTTGTTCTAGTTGGGTCCAGTTTCGAATACCGACAGCCGGAGAGTACCTTTTCCACCTCTTTCGACGAAGGAACCACCATTGACGAGGAAGCTCTACTTGAAGCCGTGGCCCATCACGAAAATCCACAAGCAGACGCAGATCTCGCTTCGGACAGTATAATGTCTGGGTATCCTAGCTCAACCATCGACCTTGAACTGACTGCTCAAATCGACGCTGACATGCAAGCACACGATGAGCCTGTGACGGATGGAACAGAGGTAGCAGCGTCCGAGTCCCAGAATGACTTTGTAGACGCTGCCTCCCACCAGCATCTGTCTATCGGAGATGGTGACCAAGCCGGCAGTTATGCTGTGGAAAACACACCAACGCCTACTCGCGCCTCCACTCGCCGTACTTCGCGCAAAAGCTTCCAAGCCGGCACAAACAGCACAAACAGCACAAACAGCACAAACAAAATGGAAGATTCTCTTGCTGGACTTTCTTCACAAGACACGCCCAACTCGCTCCGCCGCTCTACCCGCCACTCCACCGGCATCCCTCCTCTCCCTCCAAGCACGAAGAAACCCCGACATCCCCCTGGGAGGAAAGAGAGCAAAACGCAGAAGGCCCAAGCAGAAGCTGAAGACGAAAAGTCGCAAAATCAAGATTCAGTAGAGCCCAACGGTGCAAATATGCTCAATAACATTGTCGTCGCCGCTTCTCCAACACCTAAGAGGACGCGCGGAAGGAAGCGCAAGTCAATGAGCAGCAGCGCCACACCTGATCCTGATGTAGCAACCCCTCAAATCAACCGCAAAATGAACCTGCGCCGGTCGCACTCGACTCTGAACAAGGTCGAAAACTCACAAGACATAGCAGTAGATGAGACACCAGCGCCCAAGCGAGCAAGGCGGGATGCCCATCAAGATGTCAGCGAAGCCAAAGAAGAGATACCGTCCAGCCAGACGAAGCGTCTGAGCCACATTCAAGTCTCGCAGCGCCCGCAGTCACAATCTTCTAACCAGACCTCACCAACGGCCGATCTCTCTATCGAGGCATATATGGACCACTCCGCCACCAACACTACCATAGCTACAATCCAGCCACAGCCCTCATCCTCACTTGAACCCGAACCATCTCACCATCTCACACGCTCGTCTTCGCAACAAGCCGCCCAACTCAAAACACCCTCGCGCTCCTTTGCCGAACGCGTCATCCTTACCCCACGCAGTATCATCAACCAGCTCAAGAGTCTCAAAGACTACATCTTTAGTACCCCGCAGCTTGTCTTTAGCAGGGAGGAAGAGAGGGAGGTTAGCGATGCCGTGTTTCATATCCAGAGAGGTGTGTTCACCGCAGGGCTGAAAGCAGGCGGGGAATTGGAATACGAATCGTCTGAGCGGCGGTTGGAACAGTGATGACAAAGACTCAAAGAGAAAAAAGCGATGACCAGGATTTGGGAAAAGTTCAGTGAATTGATATGTGTACTGAAGAGAATTAGGATAAAAAAGAGTCTCATATTTTTGTTTGCGTTGTCCATGGAAGTGGATGAATATCTGATACGAGTAGTAGGAATACCATTGTAATGTTGAATATATGAGTGGAAATGATGCTTGTAGTATATGTGTGAATGATGGTTCAGTGACCTTATCCAACTCGTCCTCTGTTGTAAAATAGTCATGTCCTATGTATATGCGCCACAATATTTCTCACATGCTTGTATAGACGACAACGAAGCCCAAAGAAAACAGCTTCAATAATTTTAATGCTGAAATCTCACGACTGAGCAACTTGTGAGTTGGAGCTATATGAAAAGACTTACAAGCGATCCTTTAAGAGGTTCATCATTCGATATTTCAAGAGTGACAAGGCTAACGTGGCTGGATATAGGAATTCTTCTTGGAAAATACAAAGTAGTTAATCAAGGAGAAAGTTTTGAGAAAACATTTCTGGCACTAAAATATAGATACTTGTTAAAACACAAGTCTTCGAATTTGGAAAGGAATTGGTTCGGAACGCTGATGTGTTATTTGGTAATCAGAGGTTCATATTGATTCCGTAGGGTGAGAGATTTGAAACCGATTTTGCATAGAATTTATATATACAGATGATGTTATTCCTAAAATATTTCTTGGTGCTACATTGCCAGTATCACAACGTACTGCTCATGGTGCTACGAAATATAACTGCGGATACTGTATTCAGTCCAGTAGATAAGGGATTGTACCGTCCTTGTTCTGATTCACCCATCATGATAGGCTGTGCGGCTATCCCCGCTACAAAACCACGGTCCGCTCAAAGCCTCGCTAACAATCGTTACGCAGACGCTCTACATGGTTCAGGGCTACTTGCACACACCCATACTGGGCAAAATACTTGGTCCGACAGTCTCCACCCAACTGTCACATCCTCCCATTTCTGAATACTTAGCATTTTGTATTATCACCACGAAGACCATGCTATCTTCCAAGAAACGCGATCAAAAGAATGACCACTTCTGGGCCTATAGCGGTTGGGAGGCGCTCGAAAAGGCTATGAGCTCATCTAATAGTAGACTGTCAATAATGGTCAACCAACCCGCTTTATTCTCAAAGTCGAGTCTTCATCCGAATTCTTTGATCGAGCCAGCAACGGCGGCAGCAGCTAGGGGGTATGCGGTTATCAAGAGGGAAATGCAACTGACTGACAATGAAGCGAACCCTAGTATCCTACGAGATATCGGATTCTCGACGCTCGTGTGTCTTGCTGTCTCCAGACATTCCACAGAAGATAAGCGGTCAGAGCACCTCAAGCTCATACTAGATGGTCTGAAATGGCGGTTGCAGATGCAAGAGCGCTTCGCACTGGTCTGGCAAGAGATGGTGAAGCATGGGTTGTTGTCAATGGAGTGCGTCATGAGGAGGATCGATCTTGGCGCCGCCACGGGCTCGGATACAGTCCTCGCTCTCATCAACACGATTGAACGTTTCGAGTACGTACAGGACCCAGGCAACGGTCCTAGGAGCAGGAGCGAACGAATTCCGAAAGATTCTCTGTGAGGTAATTTCGAACACCCAGTATATCGGCTTGCCACACTCATCGCACGCTGTAGCACGAACAATATTGCGAAGGCTGTTGGCTGGTTGGAGACATCGCAGTACTTTAGTCCCATGTTAGAAGACGACCCGCTTGACGACGTTAAGAATGCTGACTATGTTGACTACGTCGATGGTATTGCGAAGCTCTTTGGCTCGTTGGACACATCACAATACTATGGTCCCATGTCGCAAGACGACCCGCTTGATAATGTTGACGATGTTGAAGATGTTGACGACGTTGATGATATTGAAGTTAAGGGACCGGATGAGAGCAAATACAGCAGCTGTCCAGAGGGCGAATTCAGTACGCTGACCAACTATCGAATTGGCTTTATCCTTCCCCATGGACAGTCCATCCGCGCCTGGGCAACTTTGACGGCCAAGAGGTACGAGGATGTCTTGAATGCTTACGTGGACATGTGCGGTGCTGGCTCATTAGAGATGGACCCATGCTTCGCTGCCATTATGCAGGAATTCAGTCAGTCAGTACCTCGTGAGTATGAAGCTGTCCTGGAGATCAGCAGAGAAGGCATGTGAAAGTCGTGCATACGAGGGGCACCCTGATTAGATGAGCGAGTGACTAGTAAAGTAGTTTATAGATAGAGACAGTATACCCCTCTTAACTACAAAGTTTAAGTTAAAGTGGATTACCACGATGTACAGGTAGGATTGGCTGGTGTCTATGTTAAGCAGTTGTCTGAGCTTCCTCTCGAAACCGATGAGTTAACTTCAAGAATAGCTTTTATAGATTTAGTTACTAGGTATCTATTAAATATTCTTTACTACGCTAAGTTATACTATAAACACAGGAACTAACTAACTAATTATCATGCATTTACGTGCTGACATGTCTAGCGCCACGTCTACGGACTTGGCGCTGCTAATATGTTGTTGGTGTACTAGAGAGGCCTGCAACTTTAGCAAGAACTACTATTGATACAGCCTTTGATGCTGCCACTATCATGGCCTCCATGATATCCTTCTGCGGCACGAACACAGGCTTCTAGGCGGGCAACGTTAATGGCTCTGTGAGCACCACATTCTACTCTTGGCCTACTAGTAAGTTTCTAAACAGCACAAGCAAAGCCTTGGCAGACGCTACTTAACTACTACTTATAGAGGTGCCGGACGGGCCAACGCCGCGGACGGGCCAACGCCGGATTTCTCCCCAACAGTACTATCACAAACTTGAAGCTGTAGAGCTCTACATAAAAGCTATTATCGCGAGAAACTCTAGTATAGTAATCTCGTAGTATTGTTTATTTGATCTATCTACTGATATTTGATTGGCAGCTTGATGGGGCGGCCTGAACGCGAGCGTGGTGATGGTGGTGCAGCTGATCGATTAGCTCGCTGCGCACCACCACTACTACTGCCAACGATAATATTCTTTGATGCTAGCTCAGTAGAGCGCTTGAAGGTAGGCTTCTTTCCCCTTTGTGAGATTTTGATAGCTTTCTGAAGTCGTTTGTGGGCGGCTTGGCGGGCTATCCGGTGGGCAGCTGCTTCAGCTTTCTGCCTCTCACGATCTAGTTTTGCCTGTGCCCGCGCCCGCCGTCGCGCATCTAGTTCTTGAGCTTTGAGTAGCTTTCTCTCCTCTCTAGCTTTAACCGCGATAGCTTTTTGGCGTTGTAA